AATATAATTTAACAATAATCCTTGCACTTGTAGCACCTTATGGTGTGGAAACGTCTCAAAACACTTTTTTTCTGCAAGGTTCAAAGTCACACAAACGGCCATGAAGTGAATTTTTTTTTAATATGCGGGATTATTGACCAGGAAACCAGGAGAAATTCCCTTTTCATTTTCAATAATGCCGTCGAACTTTTAACATTCACCTGAATAGCAAATGAAAATTTGGTTTAATGTTTCATCCGAAGGATGGCATTTCTGACAATGTAGCTCCCCCAGCACTGCATTGGAGTGTCAGCCGAGACGATGAGCTAGAAGTCCCAGTCATGGGGCTTGAACCCACATCCTTCTGACAAGAGACAAGCATGCTGCCAACTGAGCCAGGCTGATACCTAAGGATGCTTATCTTAAAAAAAGTTAAGATCCAATAAAATTTCACCCACAAATATACAGTCAATTCACTTTACAGTATACACCTCTGAAGTGCTTTGAGACATCTAGGAGACATGAAAAGCATTATATCAAATGCAAGTATTATTATTATTAAAAATATTTGATTGGGTCAAAACAGCTATTCTGCAGATCATAAATGAAATGGAACAGTCAGTGGATATGTCGAACAAATAATATCCCTCAATATCCTTCGTCCCCCATGTCTAATGGCCAGAGAACTCTAAATGAGGAGACTTAAAGTTGCCTCAGAGTTGGAGGAGGGTTGTCGAGGTAGGACTGAATTTGTCAATGGCAGTGAACTGGGATTGGCAACTTTCCCAGACTTGGAATTCAATCTCACTCACTGTAATGGAAGCTGTTTGAAGTGTGACTCATTGGATATGTCACTTAAGTCTGTTTTTTTCCGTCTGGAGGCTGAGCATTGTGAGTCTACACAAGGCTGCTTTTGGACTAGAACAACTAGGAATATCTCTTTTCGGATAGTCATTTTAGTGAGTTACTTTGAAGATAGTGTTTCTTCTTACTTCCTGCCCCCCCACCCCTCCCCTCCCGCCCTGGCTAATATTAGTTTTGTTGGAGAACCCATAATGTTGTGGGTCATTAGACTGATTATATGAATGTGGTGCATGTTTAACTTGAAGTCTGAACTGTTTGAAGTAGTTGTTTTGCTGGTTCTCTGTGATGCTGGTTACCAGTATATAATTTCCGCACTCGTTCACTTGGGGTTGACATAGTTTGATGCTGTAACTTTTCACTTGGAGATTGCAGATCTAAGGATGTTTTAGTGCATTGTTTGCCTGTTTTGTTCGTCTGCATCATCATGAGCCGTACTCTGTTTCAGGTAACCGATTTATTCAGGGGTTTTGGGGTAGACGTTACGGTGTATACCAACGCGTGCTCAGTGCTCTCCTGCCTGTTGGCTTTTCTAGACTCAGAGATGTCAGCGTCATCACCATTGTTTGTCATAACAATATAGAAAGCATACACCAGCATATAGGCCAAACCTGGCATGGTGACTCCTCAGGAAAGTTAGCTTTCCCTTCGCCCCAGAAGATATATCTATCATTGTATATCTCTAGGCTGTTGGTCTTGCTTCTGGCATTGGGTCTGTTTTTTGCAGTGTACTTTATTTTGTTGGAGTTCATAGTTCCACCAGCCTGTTGCTACAGTATTACTTACTGCACAACAACTGCGCATCACTGTGCTGGAGACCAGGGTGGTGTCAAAGCTCAGTGAGCTGCTACAGTGAATGAATTAAAGGTTTAAAGGGACTCACTCTCAGAGCTAAGCCTTACTATGAATGGAAACATGGTCTTTGTCCCAGCTGTTTTTGGAGCCAGCGCTTTGAAGCCTTGTGCTGTGGCTTTCAACTCCACACTTCCTGCAGGATAGATGTGGCTTCTTACTCCAAGGCGTAAACGTGTGCCTATTTTAGGGTGAAACGCAACTGATTTATTTTCTAATGTGCGCTTCAACGTAAATAGTGGTCCTATAAATACAGCAGGCAGGAAGCTTCTTTGAACAAGCTTGTAGAGCTTCTCTATTAGAAGTTTGCTCCACAGCCATGTATAATTTTCAGTGTCTGTTTATAGCATTGCGTAGAGAGGAAGGGCAGTTGAAGAGGATTGGTGTGGCTTTGACTGATTGCCCTCCATTACCAGCAAGCGTAGGTGGCCCTCAATCCTGTAGTGATGCACTGTACGCTAGGTGCCAAGATGTGGGTGATGGCAGCCCAAGTCAATTCTCCCCCTTGTTTCCCAATCTATAGGCCTGTACATTGTACCCACTTGTGCAGGTGCTCGTGACGGGTTCAGGAATCCCTGGCTGTGCTCCCAGAAGAGGGGGACAGTGAGCAATGTGTTTAGAGACCAAGTCACACAGTAAAATTGTCCTTGTACATGTCCTGAAAATAATAATTGGCAGATAATTTTAAAATTCGCAGTCTCAAGTGGTTCGGATTGTCCAGAGCAGAATTGAACCGTAGACTAAATTCTATTAAAAAGTGCACCATCTCTTGAGTTCTAGGGTTAAATATAAACAGATGGGCAAATATAACATTCTGTGTGGGGGTGAGGGGAGATATATCGGTGGAGACTAATTTTAAATCTCTTTGAGAAAAATACTTGAGTGGAAAAAGTGACACTGATCGCGTTTGAGCTGATCTTTGATGTGGTCTGTTATAGCATGTGAATGAAAGGAAACTAGATAAACAGGGTCTTACTCAAATGCACACTCCCTGCTGCTGCAAAATTAAAAGAAAGCTCGTAACATTGATATAAGCTTCAAATCAGGCCTTGGGGCAGATCAGTCAACAGACACATTTCCGATTCAAAGAGCCATAGTTTCCATTTTGTGCAGAAGAAGAGATGCTGATAATTGATAAGTGCATTTCTCAGCTCGAGCTGAAACCACTGGCGATGCAAACCAGGACAACACCATCACAACAACTTACAGTCTCAAAGAATGTTCTGGTGACCACACAGCGTACTCTTGGTTTCTGTTGAACCCCCAGCATATTGCCACAGTGGACTTGAAGCCTCTTTTAGCATTGTTTAGAATTAAGTAACAGATTGGGGAAATGTAACATTTCTGTATTTTCGTAACTGGGTGATTAATTTTAGTCCACATACCCCGTTTTTCAGTGGAACTATTGGACAAGTGAGAGGACAAGCAGTGGTCACTGTATGTGTCAAAGTTTCTCACAGAGGCTGGCTCCCACATTCAATGCAATACAAATTTACATTTATGCAGTGCCTTTCATGTTAGGAGGACATCCCAAGGCCTTTGATTCCATCCCTTTGGATCTAAGGATCTAAAGCGTTTATCATGTTTCGACCTCTCACCATTCTTTCTCTCCAAATTCATTCCAGGGAAGCTCATGATCTGACTTAAAGGAGAATCGAAGGTGTAATCCAATGTACAAAGATGGGTTAGACGGCACTTGATCTGTAGAAGGAATAGGCTTGATGTCCTATAAATTAGCAATCACTTGTGCCCTTAACTTACAGAACAAACATTCGTGCTATATATTTAGAAATGTGTGGTAAGATTAACATGGGCTTAATCAAACTACTTACACATCAGATTAAAATGCTCTTCTAATCATCCAGCGTCTATTTCAGTTTATCTCGATTCCATGACTAACCTTACTGGAAACTGGATGGGAATATGTAAACGGTGAGATTATTAGGCTTTCATCATATTATTTACACAGTAGATTGCTACCTCGAGCACCCAGATCCAGCTCGCTGGAACTAATAACTAAAAGATTGGTTTCTTGAACTTTTTTTATCCTTCATTGCCTCCTTCTGCACTGTCACTCTAATTAAGAGTGGAATCAGCAACTGCAGGAAGAATAATTGAGTTGACCAGACCAGGAGTGATGAGGGAGTTTTTCTCAGTGAGAGAGCTTCGCCACATCTTGGTGGATAAAGAGGAGAGGCTGCAAGGAAGTCACATCTTTAGGAATTTTATTCAACTTCATTCTGCAAATGTAGCCAGTTAGCTATTTATTCACTGCCACAACTAGGGAAAAGTTATCAGGATTCCAAACAGAATCACCTGCGAACAGAGAAAGTCAGTAATTGAAACAGCGAACACGTAACATAAGAGGAGACAAAAAAATGATCCTTAAAGTCATTGATGTACAGTAATACTTGTACAGGCCACATTCCCAATGTATCAAATCTCTCAGGCGACTGTCTGCTAGATCTTGCCTCGGTGGCTGAATAGATTGTTTGTCTGCACAATTGGAGCTGGGGCTGCTCAGAACAGTAGAAGTGGCATCAGGCCAGGCTGCAGGTTTGATGGAATCTTTAACATTTGCTAAATAAGGAAATGAAAATGGAAAAAAAACTCCCACATCCCCCAGTGCCGAAGATCGGAGAACAGAACCTGACGAGGAGAACTGAACACTGTGACTGCCGTGTGACGAGTGAGTGGAGCATCTTCTGTTACAGATCTGCCGGAACACAGTAGTCATCTCTTCTGCTGCGGCTTTGCCGCTTTGAGAAAATCGCTGCTGTCTCTTTTAGTTTAAGAAAAACTCAAAGTAATTGATGTAAAGGGGTTCAGCATCAGATTAGGAACCAGACTATGAAATTCCACTGTAACACATCGTGATGTCACTCCGAATATTTTTCAGACAGATTGTTAATACATAAATCACTGACTTTGTGAGTTTAGTTCAGTGGCATTGAGGTGGAGTAAAGCTAACGGTTGAAAATTGTGTTATTTTAATCGTGTGTATATTGTTGACGAGAGTAACTCCTAACCAGGTTCTCTGACGATGCTATTTGCACTTACTGTTTAAAAATTGTGTAAGAAGACAGCTCAAAAAAATAGGTGGCTGTTAGTAAGAATTCTTGGTAAAGCATTCAGCTTTTGAAAGAATGTGGTGACGAGATTTCCCCTGTTTCAGGACCTAGGCTGTGGTTCTTTCCACGTCTAATGATGACTTTTGTCAATAGGAGCTTGTCAGAGGAACCGAGTGATAGGCAGCAATCAGTTCATTCATTCTTTAGTGAAGAGACTTGTCTTCTGCTTGTCCACAGATAATCACCCCTTTTCGAAAGTTGATTCTGTGTGCTGAGAACCGCAAGGAGATGGAGGATTGGATTGCTGCATTGAAGACAGTCCAGAACAGGGATCATTTTGAGGTAAAGTAGCTCCAGAGTAAAACAGCTGCTTTCAGAAATTAATGTATGATGAGAGGTGCCAGTGAGGCTCCCCCTGATAGCTCAGTTCATACATCAAGTGAGGCATAGATCTGAAAGAGAAGGGCATCTTGTACCGTGTTGAGTTTGACGATCTCAGTGGTTAGAGGTGGTATAATTAGCCTATCAAGCCCTGTCAGCTTGATTCCTTGCTCCCAGAGCTACCTTGACACCCTCAGATAGAAATTATGCAAGTCTCAACATCCAGTGAGGACTGGATCTAGCTCAATAGTCAAATAGTTTAGTAATAATTGTTGTTTAGGCTCACGATGGAGAATGATCATTTGCAATGAGGTACAGGAGAGTGGCTTACAGGAGAGTGGCTTGAGGAGAGGAAGTGAGGCAAAAACAAGAGCTGGGTGTGACCAAGCAATATGTTGCTGATAAAGCTGGTGTAACGTCACAGAAAAAAATCCCTTCTCTGTAACCTCATTGAGAGCTGCACTGAGATACTGCCGCCTCGCAATAAGTCACTTGGACTTGGTGTCACAGAAGAGATCTGGGGGAAGGAGGAAAGATTTGTGTTCAGGCAACACTGTGATTTATAAAGCTGCATCTGAATCCTGGGATTAGGTTACAGTCTTCTTCAACACTATAATCATTCTCTTCTGTGATACACAGTGCAGATGACAGTTTTCTTTGCACAGGCCAGCTCTAAATGAGGTTATTCAGGGGGATTTTGTTCTTACAGCAACTTTATCAGATGATTTACGGTAGGGTTAGGGGAAATTCCATACTGGTATATATTGCCAGGTAAAAAACAGTGAATCTAGTGGCCATATTTTGTGTGCCACAGAAGCATCTTTTAAGCAGCGATGGTAATTTGATAGCATCTATCGGTGTTTTTTTGTTTTTGATTCCCTCTGAGCAGTCAACACAGTACAGCATGGACCATTTCTCAGGGATGCACAACTGGTACGCGTGTTCTCATGCTCGGCCTACATACTGCAACGTGTGCCGGGAAGCACTGTCCGGGGTCACATCACACGGGTTGTCCTGTGAAGGTAAGGAACTGAGATTGGGATGCTTTATCAACTTACCTGTCATTTTACAGACAGCATGCTTTGGTAAAATACTGAAGGCACAATCGGGAGGAGGGGGTTTCTTAACAGGATTATTTAATAAGGAAGACGTAGAGAAATCAGTCCCAAGCTGGACACTGATGTGAGTGTTGTACTTTAGTACTGTAACAGTCTAAGTCACAAAGCTGGGGACAAATATCACTCAATCCAACAGCGACTAGTGTATAAGTTTTATTGGAAACAAGTTTAGGACCCTGCTGTCGGACGATTGCTTGTGGAATGGGTTCCGACAGTGCAGCCAATTAAATTCTATGCTTGCTGGTGAGTTAAACTTTTTTTACTTGGTTTTAGGTTCGTAACGTAGATTTTTTTTCTCATTTTCAAACTCAGTAAAATTGCTTTTCAAAGCAGGGAACATGTCACTTGATCTGCCTGCTTCATTTCCGCCCCTGTCCCAAAACCGAACGGAAGTATTCCTACACTACAGCTGTAAAGAACCTGCTCATCATTCTTTGCATTTCTGGTTCGACAGTGTGTAAATTCAAAGCTCACAAACGCTGTGCCGTGAGAGCCACCAACAACTGCAAGTGGACAACGCTGGCTTCAATTGCCAAAGATATCATCGAGGATGAAGATGGGGTACGTCATGAGAGTTGAGAGACATTTAACTGTTGATGAAGGCAATTTGGAAAGAGCTCAAGAAGTAAAAGTGGACTGAATCATCTTTGTATCCGATATAGTGGTTTTCATGGCAAAATGATTCAAAGTACTGCACACAATGAGCTACCTTTAAGTGTAGCGAATGTTGTTATACAGTCTTAAACCATTAGATTATAACAGAAATAGCAATGAGATAGATGAACAACTAATCTGCTTTTTTAAAGAGAGAAATAAAGTCAGGACATAGGAGAACTTCCTCGTCTCTTTAAAGCAGTGCTACCGTATCGTTAATGCCCACCTGAAGCACGAGATGATAATCCTTGCATTTGATATAGAGCCTTATAACGAGGTCAAGACATCTCAAAGCATTTCACAGCATATATCGTAAAGTGGATTAACTGCATATTTTGTGGGCCAGAAAGGACCTCAGTTTAACATCTTTAACAGTTTAACCAGTTTATAATGAGGGAGAAAAGAGCTTCCCTGTTGAACTGAACAGCAAGGTTGCGCACTGGGATGAAATTCTCTTCATCTGAGAAAGGCGCAGACATTGAATTTTCATGCAGTATATTGGTGCAGAGTGCAACTACCTTTAGTTTCAAAATACAAATGTGCAGTTAAGTTGGACGAAACTTAATGGAAATCTGGCTGCAGGATGTTTGTCATATACATATATGAGCTCCTTCTATTGGTAAACATTGGTAGTGCAGTGCCACATTTTGCAACGGAGCCTCCAGTATTTTTCTTGGAGCTCCAGAACCTCACGAAAGAAAATCTTAACCTATGGTTTACTGTGGCTCAAACTAATCTGTATGCGGATATGGTTGAGTATAATCTACTTCCCTCTTCAAATCTCTGGCTGGAATGTACTGCCAACGTGAAAAGCGCTATATCAAATGCAAGGATTATTATTATTATTACTGTGTGCTATGGCGAGGTGTAAACCCAGAGGCCTGTTATACTGGTAGTGGCATTGGCTTTTTTTGATGTTTCTCTTTTTCCTGTTGTAGATCTCGATGCCACACCAGTGGTTGGAAGGGAACCTGCCAGTCAGTGCAAAATGTACTGTCTGTGACAAAACGTGTGGCAGTGTTCTTCGGCTACAAGACTGGCGTTGCCTCTGGTGCAAGGCTATGGTGAGAAGAGTCTGTCATCTGTCTCATACACACACACTAACATCCTCTTTCTTTCTCACTATCTCTTTCTCACACATGCTATCTGTCTCTCCTCCCTCTTTTGCACATTGTCTATCCATTTCCCTCTTTCTCTGGGGGGTTTAATATTTGCCATGAATGTCTCAGAACCTCCTGATTCCACACAAGCAGCTGGTGCTAAGTGTGCGCTACCAGATGGGTAATATAACAATGGGATTATTGTCTAACCCAGCATGAAAAATAATATGCTGATTTCTGTGCTTGGGTTGCTCTCTGCAGGTACATACAGGCTGCAAAGACATGCTTCCTACCAAATGTCCATTAGGCCAGTGTAAGGTGTCCGTTATTCCGCCAACTGCACTTAACAGCATAGATTCTGACGGTGAGTTGGACAAATCCATCCAATATTTTGTTTCACCAGCGATATGGGAATATTACGTAATAAAGGATAAAGCCGAGGGATTGAAGGACTAAACTTGGAATAAGTCATTTCAAGTTGAATGCGTCGGGGAAAGCTTTCCAGTAAAGAGGGGTTGAAGATAATTGGAAAAAGAATGAGAAGTTTATGACGTTCATCTGCAGTTGATTATTTTAAGAAAATCTGCCTCATAAATTCTGGTTTCAGCCAATGTTGATGAGGGTTTTGCCTATTAAAAAGTGGGAAAATCTGTTCATTTGTGCCGAATAATATTTTAGATTAAGATGTCTGGGGCATTGTCCCACATATTGAGCTCCCCCATCCCCACTCCCCGCCTGACACATCAATCGCTACATAATATATATATTATAGATATACGTAAGCCCACAAAATATACAGTCAATTCACTTCATAGTATATTTTGTGAAGCCCTTCGAGTTAGCTCAACAACATGATTAGGCGCTCTATCAAATGTGCACACCTGGATCAATCAAGATATTGATCTATGATTAGCAACTGCAACTTGTTCAATCGCATACCTATAGGCAATAAAAGATATTGAACCGACACTGTGTAAAAGGGTGGAAGTTTACGTCTGTATTTAATAGTTTACATGAGGTCGCTGATTAACCTATATTTGTCTTTGCATTATATCAGTTACTACTTATTACTTTAATATAAAGACAACTACTTAACATGTTTTTTCACTTTCCTCCAGGGTTTTGGAAAGCAACTTGTCCGCCATCTTGTACCAGCCCACTTCTTGTCTTTGTGAACTCGAAAAGTGGTGATAACCAGGGGGTGAAGTTCCTGAGGAGATTCAAACAGTTACTAAACCCAGCTCAGGTGTTTGACCTGATGAATGGAGGCCCCCACCTCGGGTAGGAGTTCAAAGCTTCTCAACGTGTTAAATCCCTCCCCGTAGAGAGTCCGATTTGATATCTAGAGGCATTACATGACATGGAGTAAAATGGTAGATTCTAATCATTACTAAGGAATCTCCCAGTTAAATGCAGCCTAAACAGTTTTCTTAAAAGAGTTGGACCTTTGCACGTTTTATTATATGATCTTAATAATTTGTTACGCTTATTAATTTTCAAACTGGTAAATGCAGTAGCCAGAGCTGTGGTTTATTTGTCGTCATTTGTTTGTAGTTTACGGTTGTTCCAGAAATTCGACACGTTTCGAATCCTGGTGTGTGGGGGTGACGGCAGCGTGGGCTGGGTATTGTCTGAAATTGATAACCTCAACCTTCACAAGCAGGTATTGTGTCATGTTTTATCGCCTACTTTCTTCTAAACATCCTTTTTTTCCTTCAGGTTGGAGTATGGTTTCAAAGTAACATGCATTTTATTGCAGTATTGAAGGGTGAATTTCAGGGTGGGCTGGGTGATTGAGTCGCTCCACAAGTACCCTATTAGTTACATTTATGGGTCTGTATTGGCCCGATATTTCTTTGTATGAGGATAGAACAGATCTCTTTGAAAACCTTAGGACCTGTGTGATCTTCAGGCATATGAGCCATTGATTTCTTCATTAACACACTTGAATAAACATTCACTACCACTTGAAATTGGTACAAATTGGTACAAATTGGTACACTACCACTTGAAATTGGTACAAAGACTAAATAAACAGGATAACCTGATGAGGCAGTGAGTTTGTAGAGTCCTGCAGCAAGCAACAATCACCTGTGTAGAACTCAAGCTTTTGAAGCTCAAATAAATGCTTTTAGGCTTACAAATGAGCAATTATAGATAAGGAACCCCACCCAGTATTCATTTGAAGAGGTTTCAATAGCCTTGGATTTAATTCCAGTCTTGGTTTGGTGAATGTTTCACAGAGCACTTAGAGCACATGCACCTTTGAGTGCCCTTTGAGTCCTTGCCTCATCATGTATTCTAGATCTTGATTTATTATCATGTAAAACTGCCAACTTCATCAAGTATTGCGGATGGAAATGTTCAACTCAGACTTGTAAATGAAATGTTTTTCGTTGCCAGCAGTGCTCCAAGATGTCTGGTTCAGAGAGATATAATACTTACATTCAATATTGCGCTTTCACATGGGGGACGGACATTTCAAAGCTCTTCACAGAGATTTACTTTACAGTGTAGTGACTGTTTTTGTAGGTGTACAGATTTACTGTTGAAGCTCCTCGCTGGTTAATGGGCTGTACCATGAGGCAGAGGGCTCAGGTTAATAATATAACATTCCTTGCATTCAATATTGAAGTGTCAGCATATACTGTATGAGTTCCAAGTCCCAATGTGGGGCTTGAACCCACCACCTTCTGACTCAGAGGAGAAAGTGCTACCAACTGAGCCGGGCTGACTTGTAATTGTATGAATGAGACTTGGTGATCGGGGAATGTTAGATTTTCCTTTAAGTTTGTACGTTTTCCTAGTAAAATAACTGTTAACTGTTTCAGTGCCAAATGGGAGTGCTACCTTTGGGGACAGGGAATGACCTGGCCCGTGTGCTGGGCTGGGGCTCAGCCTGCGATGATGACACCCAACTCCCTCAGATCCTGGAGAAACTGGAACGAGCGAGTACGAAAATGCTGGACAGGTAAGGGGTAATTCTTAAGGATTCCTGGGATTTTATTTAGTGATCTCCTGTATAGGATTGTCACTGTCTGAGCAAGGAAAGACACTCAGGGTTGATTTTAATCTGATTTTTTTTTACAGGTGGAGTATCATGGTGTATGAGACCAAGATCCCTCGTCATTCATCATCTTCAACGGTGACTGAGGATTTCAGTGATGATTCAGAGGTAGAGATCCTTGGTGTGGGTAACAGGGAGTTACAAGCACAAACTGAGCTTAGTTTAGTTTAACTGAAGCTTAGTTTAAAAGTCAGGCATGGATATGATGTGGTGCCATAATCTTGACACCCTTGAAACATTCTCTGCTCTGCTCACCATGTCTGAATGGACCTTTGGAGATTATGGAGGCTTAACACAATTGTTCTTTCACAAATAAACTTGGTCGCTGGTCAAAGTCAATTTTTACTCCCCTTGAAAAACACTGGATGCTTTAACTCCCGTCTTTCGATCATTATGCTGTTATACCAGTGGAGAAGTTTATTAATTAGATGGAGTTGAGGTGTTTCTAGGGACTCGATGACAGTTGCTACATTTCTGGGAAAGATCTGAAGGCTAACTTAACCCACTTGATTTTCAGCAGGTTCAGCAGATATCATTTTATGAGGATTCAGTCGCTGCGCATCTGTCTAAAATCCTGACATCAGACCAGCATTCAGTGGTGATCTCATCAGCAAAGTGAGTAACAGCCGACAGTTTCAGCCCGTCAAGCTCGCGAAAACCTGAGCTCAGAGTCATTCCTGGCGTATATCATCCCGCCCCACTTTCTTGAGAGCTCACATTGCTGGGCCTCCAGTGAGTGCTGTTTTGAAGAGTGCACTCTCAGATCCCAAATCTGTAGCAAATTACACGGATCTTGTTCTTGCAAATTACAAGGCCTGTCAATCCCTGCTCTCCCATTCAGTTTGACTTGTCATTTCCTGCTTTAACTTTTTATGGGCTCCAATTTTCGTCATGTAATCGGATGTTACTGTATGTACTTGGGCAACAAAGTCTGTCTGCTCCTGCAGCTTATCAGCTGATTAGCTATTTGTGTGGATTGCCTTTGCTGCATTGGGAACGAAGGGCAAAGCTATCTCAGCCTCGATAATGTAAGCTCTTCCTTTACAGGGTGCTTTGTGAAACTGTCAAAGATTTTGTTGCCCGAGTTGGGAAGGCTTACGAAAAGACCACCGAAAACTCAGAAGAATCTGAAACCATGGCAAGAAAGGTAGGCTGCAAATACAGGCCTCTCAGCAGGTGTGTATTCTCGTACAGGAGAAGTTGAGATGCCGTGTCACATTGTATCAGTCCAGCAGATCAGGTTAGTGTGTCAGACAATGCAGGAGGCCCCCACTCTCAATCCAGCCCACTGTAACCAAGAATAGCCTCAAAACCTTATCTGTCAATCCAATGACGTCTTGCTCGTAACTCCTACACTTTAATAAGTCTGCCTGAACACGCACTGAAAGTCCTATCACTTTGTGAATTCTTTTTAATTGTTCTCTTAAAATGAAGCCAGTGAAATTGTGAATTGTATTGAAACTGAGCTTCTGAATGAACAGTGTCAAAAGGCAATTTCACCATAAGATGCATTGGAGGTGAGCCTGCTACTGGTCTCACCCAATGGTCCATACACGTGTGCATCCCTTTCCAGCATAGGCCACTGAATAGCAATGAAGCTGATCCTTTAGTTAATTTTCTTTCCCCTCCTCTGTCACCCGAGCTGTTTAAGCTTCTAAAATGCCATCCAGGCAAAACTCAGGGAACTGCGAGCCTGGGCCATCCTTTGTCTTTATGGGCCAGTTCCACGGCATGCCACAGAGCAACCTGCATTTCCGACAAACTTTCTTGTTTAACAGCAATTTTTTAAGCAGGTCCCGTCTATTGTCACAGATTAAGTGGGCTGTTCCGTCTGTTTCCCCCATGCATTCAATCAATTGTCAATTTGTTTTGACTGTTGGGACATTACAAGCCTCTTTGAGTAACATTTATCCCCTTTAACTGCAGTGCTCGGTCCTAAAGGAAAAGCTGGACTCATTGCTCAAGACTCTCAATGATGAATCCCAGGCATCGTCGTCCCTAGCAAACCCACCCCCCACCATCGCTGAAGAGCAGGAGGATGGGGAGGCACTGAGCATCGTGTGTGACCCTGCTGAGGAACGACCTGTCTGCTCATCCAGGCCACAGATCTTCCGCCCAAGGGAACAGCTCATGCTAAGAGCGAACAGTTTGAAGAAGGCGATACGACAGATCATAGAACATGCTGAGAAAGGTAGTGCTCTTTCAAGATCTCTCTGGGTTAAGGTCAGACGGTGGTTAGACCCAGAGCAATTTGCACTGTATCTAGCCCCCCAACTGCCAATCTCTATTTTCTATCACTGAAGAGGTTACATTTCCACTGATCAGTTTCTCTCCTGCTTGCAGCTGTCGATGAACAAAATGCTCAGACGCAGGATCAGGAAGTTTATCCGTTCGGCCTCTGCTCAGATGAAGAGGGGAGAGAATCCAGGAGCGATGACAAGATCTCGCTTCAGTCATCGTATAGCACCAACTACTCGGGTTCCAACATTAAAGGAAGAGTTTACCGAAAAGGTACTGAACTGGAATCACAGTTCAACATTTTGTCTTATGCATAGACCAAAACCGTTTGTGTCATGAAAGAAGAGGATGTGGGTTTGTGTTTGCGGTTATTCACACGTGGAGTTCCAGATTGTCAGAGGTAAGTTCAGAGCACGAGTCAGAATCTATCCTGAAGAAGCAAAATTAGCCAAACTGAGGCCAAACCAACCTGACCGAGGTCTGGGAGCTGGTTAACCGCCTACCCACTTGGAAATGAGGAGGTAGAATCAAAAACAAAATAGCAGGGCCATAGAAATAGACGTGAAAGAAATAGCTCACAAAATTACAGAAATTAATTGCACAATTGTGTGCACATATCTCAGTCTTCCTCTGATACCTATTGATTTGAACAGTTTGCACGCATAGCGTAAGTTTCCATTTCTGAAAGCCGAACATTGCATCCAGCAATAAAGGCATGAAATAAAAGCATGAATCTCCAAAACAAAATACAAAAATAATAATCATTATATTTGGTTTAGCGCCTTATCACGATTTCGAGAAGTCTCAACGAGCTTCACAGAATATGCTGTAAAGTGAATTGACTATATATTTTGTGAGAGAAATTAAAGGGGAACGTCATTAAAGTGGAAAAACTATAACTGAAAAGGTAAGCTAATGAAGGAACGATGCCTTTCCCTTTCTAAATCACTGACCTCAGGTACAGTACAGCCCACTTCACCTTTCGGAAATTGGAAGCGGTTTTGAAAATAATGGAGAAAATAATGAGCATAAAATCCATCTAAACTTATACTTTATTAAGATTGCTTCACAGATGATCCAACAGTTTGAATATAGGATTTCACCATCTCAGAGTCATTTTACTTTAACATTGTCCAATGTTGGAAAGTTGTGCTGATATTTATGCATGTTAGTGAGTTGTACTGTTTTACTGAACAAGTGCTGCTGTGTTAGGTGTTTGTATCTAGATTATCTGGTGTGATAATTTCAGCCATTGGGCACCACATGGCATGTCTGATCCACAAGATAAAGCTAACTTGAGAATCGTTTTCTCCTGGTTGCAGTGCCCAAGTCTCCGTGTGAGAGGAGGATCAGTAAAGGAAACTTGTCCATAGGCAGCTCCGCATCACTTCCTGCTCAGACCACACATCGAGACAACTTGTCAATGTTGAACTCAAAAATTCTTTATCCGAGTAAGTAATGTAGTTACGTTTTATGAAACACCTTTTGTGTAATCAAAGCTGACTTTAAATGGACCACTACTTTGCAGGAGATTTCTTGCCTTGAGAGCTGAGTGGAACAACACAAGATAGGAATACCATCCTATTTTGTCATTTGTGTGTAAGTAACACATGCAATGTTAAAAGTGGATCACAAATCCACAAAATTACTGAGGATATACTTCACACGCTTTCAGATAATGGATTCTTTTACTCAGAACGACGTCAGTGTTCTCAACTCAGGAGATTGCTTTGCCAATATTGTTGTTTGTTCCCTCATCTGTGCAATCTAACATCAGCCATTGGTCTGTTTCATATGCAGCGGTGAAGAGGGGAAAGTTTTACCTCTGAACACTGTTGTGTTAGACCTATTATGGTTGACAATAATTATCATGTTTGTAAGGGAGTTACATTTATGTTTATTTGGAGAGAGTGAATGATGGAAGCATTTTGATCCTGTTGTTATTTCACTGATTGTCTACCTTGTCCTCCCACCATCAGGTTTACGAGCTGGTTTGGCTGCATCGTTGGCTGGAGGATCTGTTATCAGCAAAATGTTGTTCGTCAACGCTGACACTGTGAACTCCGACCTTGACATTATGTATGTGCCATTAAACCAGGAGTCATTTATGTTAATTTAGCAATTTAACCGTTATCCAATTAAGTATTCAAGGTTGTGGATAATTTGACCTAGTTTCCGATTTAAAATAGTTCTTTTTATTTATGGATAAAATTCACATAGGACCCTTGACGGCCAGCAGACAAAGGAGATATTCAATTCATCAGTCTAGCTAAATGCAATAGCCAGACTGAAAACCAAACCTCTGAGAAAGTATTGAAACCTTCTCATTGTTTTTCATCTGTATTTAATCTATGTTAGCAAATCCAAAACTTTACAGATTGGAAAGTCAGCCTGCATTGATAATAACAGTGTAGAATGCAAACACTAACCAGATGTTAACTGTTTGTGAAAGACAAATAGTTTGGGAACTTATTCTTGTACTGTAAAAATGATCAGCATAAGTTGTATGTTTCATGTTTTGGGTTCACTTTATTGATCCTTTTCCCCTTTGTGTGTTTCCTTTCCTACGTCTCCGTTGTATGTAGTCTGTTGTATGTAGTATATGTTAGTTGCAGGAGATAATGGCAGCATTAACTGGTGTGTATGCATCTTTCATATGTTTGCACTGTACACCATCTGCAGAAGGTGTCAGGTCAAGGTGTCTTACCGTGTGAGTAGCTTCTGAAAGTAAAAATGGCTTTCAGTATGATATTTTACGTGCACAATATACTGGACACATATACCCCAATGATGTAGCCTATAGTGAGGTAAGGGAAAGGAATATTATTTATCCAAGTGAGCAATCTTAGTGACATTACTGGCTTTTATTTAGCAATTTGGGTGCAAGTGTTTCTCGGGGTCAATCTCTCCAGGTTATCAGCTGTTTGGGAACTTATCTCAAAGCTGATTTTATACCAGGCTTCCTTTCCCAGCTGAGCAGATGGCACTCTGATGGCAGTTTAGTGCACAAATGCAGTCATGAGTGCTTTATACATGGTGCTAGTAAGAGGAAGAGAGTCACTGTGTGCTGCACAGTTATAATTTTGCGGCATTGCTGGTGCCATTCTCAGATTGACATTCTTGGAATTGCATGTTGGCAATGCTAAACTTGGCATACCTGGTTAAATTTCCCTTCCCTTAGAGAAGGGAAATCCAAGCAATGTCTCACCCAAAGTGAAGTCAAATCAGGTTATAAAAGAAAAGTGGGATTAAATTTCATGCCTTCCAGGTGAGAGGTAAGTGGCTGATGTGTTTGTTGGAGTAAGGAGAGGTGGAGTAAAAGGGATTTGATTTCAGTCTTGGTGTTCTGAGTTCAGATTGAATTTGCTTTGTTCTTTAGAAATGGGTACACCGAAAAATGTGTCATGAACAACTACTTTGGGATTGGACTAGATGCGAAAATCTCTCTCGACTTCAACAACAAACGGGATGAACATCCAGAGAAGTGCAGGTGAGGAGGCACAATGTTAATAGAAATCTTGCGCAGAAGATTGCCAGCAGGATCCATGATAATCCGCTTTATCACAGGATTTTGTTGAGTCTCAAATACCCAACGATCTTGCTGTTAAGCCGGAAAAGGAAAGAAGTCAAATGCTACCAGTCAGTAACCCAGGCTCTTTACGCTGATGAAATTCTTAAGTTACTTACTCTGCCTGAATGAACCTGTTTCAGGCTCGGAAAATAACAGGTTTTGTGTCGAGTAGATTGGAGCTTTCACTTGCATAGAATACAAGTTAAATTTAGTTAAGTATGTTGTTTTTCCCCCTGAACCATATTTAACTTCATAGTCTTTTCTCAGGAGTCGTACAAAAAACATGATGTGGTATGGAGTTCTTGGGACCAAGGAGCTACTGCACAGAACGTACAAAAATCTGGAGCAGAAAGTTCTGTTAGAGGTCTGTATTGAATCCTCTCTCTCTCATCGGCCTTTACCCTTTGCTCCAACTTTCGAACATTGTTCATTAACTCTAACCTCTTCCATTCAACATTCTCTTAACTTGTAGCTTTCATTCTTTGCCCTCTAACCTCCACTATTCAACATTGCCCACAGTAATTTGAAATCCTACATACATTAGACTGGATTATTTTTGTCACCAGTGAATGTTGCTTCCTGCCTCAGCATCTGGTAATAGCAGAACAGTATAACTGCATCTTCCCGTGTGATCTGTGCTTTCTCCATTTGAACATGTGCACACATCTGGAATGCACTGCCTGAAAGGGTGGTGGAAGCAGATTCAATAATAACTCAAAAGGGAATTGTATATATACTTGAAAAGGAAAAGTTTGCGAGACTACGAGGAAAGAGCAGGGGAGTGGGACTAATTGGAGAGCTCTTACACAGTGCCGAATTGCTTCCTTTTGTGCTGTAAGATTCTATGTTTCTAAATCATTATTGACTCACCAAGAACCAGCCTCTCTACGGATGAAAAGTGAAGAGAGGAAACCTTTTGATTCAAGAGTTGAATGTCAGACCAGGGATTAGTGCATGGAGTTACAATAGGCCACAGTCCTATTGTAGAGTTGCTGCTGATAGCATTCTGTTTGTAGCTGCACGAGATCCTTCAGCGAAGGTGACACTGCCAATAGTAACTGATTTGTATCCTGTTCACGTTTGCTTTATCTTAATGTTCCTTTCTGTTTCTTTCTAACACAGTGTGATGGACAGCGTATCCACCTACCCAGTTTGCAAGGGATTGCAGTGCTCAACATCCCCAGCTATGCAGGTGGTACCAACTTCTGGGGAGGCACCAAGGAAGATGATGTAAGTCCATAATTTTTGTTTCTTCAATAAAACTCAACACCAGGGAGCCAGTGGAATGACAAAGAGATGGTTTTGCGGAAGCACATTTCTGTGGCTATGTGGTCGGCTTTATTGGACACATTAGGTTAGTAGGAAGAGAACACTTTACTGTGGAATGTACTTCTCCAGCAGATTTTCCGCCTACAAAATCTTCTGTCCTTAATGTGATAAGATGAAAGACGTATGGTTGATAGCAGATCATGAGTTCGGCAGCTTCTCGGCGCCTTTCATCTCTTTCCACTCCCGCCCCCCCCCCCGCCGCACACACACACAAGAACTGTTTACTGAAAACATTGACCAACCCAGTCCCATTGGAACACTATCCACATCAGTGTTACAGTCAGGAGGAGTGAGGGAGGGAAAGCGATCAGTAGCTGGATACAGGACATCTTAAATAAGAAACAATTGTGCATATGCATATACATGAAGTTTGCCTCAGGGATAATTTTTCCAAATAAACCATACTCTTCCTAAGTAAAAACAGTCTCTAACCACAGTTTCTCCACGTGCAGACTTGGGCTTCTCAGCTGGAGGTCAGGATATGTGAAAGCCCTTTGAATTTTCAATGCCAAACTGCTCTCAACACTTAATTTCACACAGAACCAGAGAACCCTCAGTACAATTGTGGTGTGGTGAAATAGAGCATAATCAAATGTAACATTGAGGCCCCAGCCTAAAAATAGCTTTTCAGTGGCATGCTGTTGTGTTTCGCAAACAGGAAGCTGGTACATCCTGGTAGATTGATGCCAATAACAGCCATTTCCACACTCCAGCTTCATTCAGTGTAACCTTTGCTCTTACGGTTCGCTTGTCTGAAGCAGTATTTTTGGTTACTTTTACTTTATTGCTCTATTTATGAAAACAATCAAGGTGACTTGTTTGGTCTTTATCATCAAAACAGTTTTTTAATCCTTGAACCAAGACTGAGTGGCAATTCTTGCTGTCTGCATGCTGATTAGTGTAATGCACCATATCAGTGATAAGTGTACAATCTGTATGGTACCCAAATACGAGCTGGTATACTCAGCGATGGGCTGGACAACCCATCAAAAACTCAGGCATGAGTAAAGAATTCCCCACCACGAATACTGGTAAAACAGAAACCATCCCTATTTTGTGCATTTGCACTGACACCCAACTCATGGTTTTTCTTCAGGGGTCAAGCATATGACCAGATTGCTGCTTGCAGTGAAACACTTGCACACTTTAAACATTGAGCACACCGATGGGGTACAGCATGGGATAAATATGGAGTAAACCTCCCTGCGTACTCTGAAATCAAACAATCCCAGGTCAGGTACAGAATGAGACAGGCAAAATATAGCTTTCAAAAACACTATCCCTTTGAGTTCTTCCAACAGTTGAGTGTTGAGGTATGGAAGCCAGACACTGCTGTTTGAAGCATATGACTGCACATAGTGAAAGAATAGTGAGATGCCAGTGTTTGTTTGTTCAGGAGATTTTCACAGCTCCTTACAACTTTCAGACCTCACACGCCTACAGTATTTCAATGCTATGGTTAGTAGCAGCTCTGTTCAGAAGCTGGCTGTCACTGCTATGTCTTCTGATGATGTGGTTTGGGCTTGTGGTCGCTTCCACGTTTCTATTGATATAATTGTTAATTGGTTCACCGTCTTTTTCTTTGACCTGCAGATTTTCACCGCCCCTTCCTTTGACGATAAGATCCTGGAGGTTGTTGCCGTGTTTGGCAGTATGCAAATGGCTGTATCTCGAGTTATCAACTTGCAGCACCATCGAATTGCACAGGTAAGGTTCTCCTCCCAGAATGTAGATTCAGTTAAACTACTTTGTGAACAATCGTACTTATTCAACAAATACTGGAAGGTGAGGGCATGATGGAAATAAAGGTAGTCTGTGTGGGTTCTAAACACAGAGAGGTTTATTCCTTAGCCTCCACTGTTCGTCTTATGTATTTGCACTGACAACAACTCATGGTTTTCCTTCAGGATTGCAGCAGACTGGTTAAAAGAGGTGGTTATATCCCATATTAAAACTATTTGCCGTCAAACTACTGCATCAGTGTAAAAGGGCACTCTACCCTATTGGACCCGGTAACTCGGGAATTTATATATCCACTTGTTTCAGTCCCTGTGTTGTAGATAGATAATTTTCCAATATCAATGAACTAGTGAAACTCCTGGCAAGAAGATTACAGAGTAGACGGTAATGGGATGAATACTGCAGTTCATGTTTTCCTGGCCTTGACTTTGATCCAAGGTGTCCTTGTGTTTTTTTAAACTCCTGGATTTAGTGTCGTACTGTAAAGATCACAATCCTGGGAGATGAAGGGGTTCCAGTGCAAGTGGATGGCGAGGCCTGGATTCAGCCACCTGGTTATATCAAAATTATTCACAAGAATCGTGCACAAATGCTGACCAGAGATCGGGTATGTACTACACACACACACAGGTTAAACATAAGAATTACCAGGCATTTACCACAGGTTCCAATAATCTTTTACTGAGGTGCACTAGTAAAACTGCACATATGTGTACTGGATGTTGGTTTACAAATTGAATTTCAGAAGTTTTATCCATTGCATTAATCATTATTGGTATGAGAGGTGGTATGAAAACAACATTCATTCTGAAAAGTAATAACATTGAAGATGGCCAAATTATGTAATATTGTGACTATAGAGAACAGACTTTCTCAGTGAGCACAAAGATTCCAGTTTAAAACATGGCAACAGTAGCTCATTACACCCTCAGCACCCTTACGTAATGCATTTCAACCGCATCATCTGCTCAACAAGCAATTGTGTGCAAATGCCTTGCCTGCAGCCTGTGTTGTGTGTTCCTACCCTAATGCAGCTGTATGACAGTACAAATATCTTTCCCATCACACGTGTTACTAATGAAAGTTTATACGTAGGCAAAAAGAAATCTGGGACACAAATACAAAGTACACAAGATAAATCATAGGACATGGAATACCTTACCAGAAATAATGGTTGAAACAGAACCCTTCATGCTGTAGCTTTTAAAAGAGAATTGCACAAATACAATATATACAAGTGTCCAGAATTTGTACCTAACCAGACGGGTCCTAAATCAGAAAAAATTGTAAAGATCGGATCTCACCCACATTGATTGGGTGAGCTGGGGTCTTAAGTGTATTTCAAGAAGAAAGAGATAATGGGTATGGGAAATGGCAGGAGCATGGAGCTACTTGTCAATCTCTTTCAGAGAGCGAAGCCAGGCTCGATGGGCTGAATGACAGTACAAATATGAAAAATGCTTTTCTGTCACTCAATCCAGCAATTGGCTGACAATTGCAATTAGATATAGGATTATTATTATTAAATCTCTGTAATTCTTTGGTGTTTTGTGGATGTGGTTTGATTGCAGCTATTCAATTATCCGAACAGAATAATTGTGAGCGTTTGTTTGTTCATGCAGGCTTTTGAGAGCACACTCAAGTCCTGGGAGGACAAGCAGAAATGTGAACTGCCCCGTCCACCTACCCAGCACGCCTTGCATCCCGAGATTGTTTCAGAAGAGGAGGCTGCGGAGATCAACCAGTTTGGCCGAGCCGCAGGAATGCTCATTCACAGGTACAGAAACACGGGAATCCACAAGGGCAAAGGTAGTAGAGGGTATGGGGGAGGCTGGGGATGAGGTGGGATGGAGGATAATGTGAAGTATATCACCAACATGGACGAGCTAGGCCGAATGATCTGTTACGGTGATGTCAATGCCAAACCGTCTTTTTTCCTTTACCCCGCCAGAATTCGGGAGACGGCCCAGCTTCACCACACCATGGAGCAGGAGCTTGCTCACGCAGTGAATGCCAGTGCAAAATCCATGGATAGAGTTTATGCAAAGTCAAAAACAACAGAGGTAAGTGAGTAATAATGATACAATAACCCAGAGACTCTCCCTCCCAGAGAGCAACTGATCTACAGTGCCCCTCACTCGCAGGATTGACCACTAGTCATCTATCTGAGTAGCTTGAACAGATGATAATAATATAATAAATAATCCTTGCATTTGATATAGCGCCTTCTCACGTCTACGAGACATCTCAAAGCGCTTCAAAGAATGTACTGTAAAGTGAATTTAATAATAATAATCCTTGTATTTGACCTAGCACCTTATTGGGTGCAGATCCCTGACTGTCTAGCGCCTTGGGACATCCTTCTGACGTGAAAGGCACTATACAAATATAATTTGTTGTTATGTAATTGAGACGTCTCAGTGCGCTTCACAGAATATATTATAAAGTCTAAAGATTCCACTTGCTGTGGAGAAATAGCCAGCCCCCCTTGCTTTTGATGAATGCTGTATTAGTCACAGGTTCTGGCGTGAGATGGGAGCTTGCAGGCAGGATATTTGGTCATTGTCTGAAGTTGTCTGTCTCCTTTTCTCTTCCCAAAGGGCCTGAATTGCAATCTGGTGATGGAAATGGTCAACAATGTGAAAGCTCTCTACAATGAGACTGAACTGTTGCTGGCAGGCAAAATGTCACTGGTAAGGAAAGAGTTAAGATCGAAGCACACCCAGATGTCACTTCCAGGTGGTGTGTGTGTGTACCCGATAACCGGGTAATAATGTACCCGATAATCTCTTGGAGCGAGCTGCTTACTGGAATTAAGTCAAGGTTTAATATAAAATATTCAGACGCAGAAGAAAAATCAAAAATGTTATTCAAGATTAATCCAAGAAAATTGTTTGTTTACATGCCGTTTCTCTCGATGATGTTTTAAGTATAGTGTAATTTGATTTATGTCAAGGGAGTACAAAAAACAACTTTGTGAGGTTTGAAATGGGTCAGCTGGTTGCAGTACTCTTTAGTAATGTGCTACTTCCATCTGGAGGTAGTAATCGAGTACTGCACACTGTGCAGCTTCTAAGCTATTCAGTATGCACTGTGTGTATACACTGTCCAGGTTATAGTCTGCTCATACATACACTGTTCAATTTATTACACTTTTCAATTGGAAATAATCACACGACTCTTATCCTAATTATTGTTTGTGGAGAAATTCTTACCAGATCTGAATCCATACTGGCACCAGGTCCACTCATTGGTTAATGCAGTTTTGTGGTTAGACCCAGTCAGCTTCTGTTTCTCTTGGTGCTGAAGGTGGTCCTTTTATTTTTGTAATTAAATCTTCAAAACCGTAGCTTGCTATTTCTCTGTGGAGTTTGTATTTTAATGTTTCTAGATTTTTATCCGGTTGTTTCTAGTGTGTATTATTACACCAAATGAAGGCTAGTGGATGATTTTCAAGCAATTCTTGCATTAATTGCCTTTTGCTTTTCTCTGTGCAGCAATTGGATTCCCCTCAGAAGGAGGAGCTCACCGGAGCCCTGGCCAATGTGGATACCCAGCTCCGCAAACTGGCAGAGATCGCCTGGCTCTGTCAGCTCATTGAACCAAGTGATGAAGAGGTATGCAGGCGAGGGAATGGTACAGTGCAGAATGCTTTTGTTCTGAGGCTGGGTTCAGTGTGTGTTGGTGGTGTGGGTGGGGAGAGAGTGTGGGGGATCTGCTGAGTTTTTCTGACGTGTGTGCCGTTGTTTCGCCAGTGTCAATTGATGGATTATTCCAAGCGTAGTCGCACCCCCAAATTCCGCCTGGTGTCAAAGTTAAAAAAGGACAAAAACAACAAGAACAAGGAGACCAAGGGAAACATGGGATTACCAGGTACGTATGCATCCTCTGCCCACCCCCATCAGGGGAGCATTAGATTACCATCTATGTCTCTAAACCTTGTGTCCGTTCCCCCCTCAGAAACCCAGGGCAACAATGCACATTAGTTCTGTCTCAACATTTTCATTTTGTGAATTCATGCATTGAGATGTATACCAGGCAGACTTATAGCAAGCTCTTTCCAGACAGTGACACCACCAGCTCCACTCAGGATATGAAATTTACCTTCTTTATGATTGTTACTATAACTGCACTTTTTTAGCGAAGATGATCAAGACCAGGGAATGTGAAGAGGAATTGAATGCCACCAAGCAAGATTGCTTCTTCCCGTTTCGGAGCCTGATGTCTTGTCACAGGCAGTCTGTGTAGATAGAGCAGTAAATTAACATGGGGCGGTTCAGTGAAAGCGCATCATGTATGACACTCGGGTACTTTCTAATTCTTATAGTTAAACCAGCATTTGGTGGAGAGGCTGGAAAATTGCATCAATATTCTTAGAATCCTGTTTGGAATTATTTTTCTCTTGCAGTAGAAGGTGAAATGAAGCAAAAAATACTGTTAACAAAGCAGGGTTCTTTACATTCTTAAAAACCTTTCTTTGAACTTTGATGTGATTTGATTTTTAAAGGCATTTCCAGGTACGTTTCGTGCCAGCCTCTATGTATGAATAACACCTGGAGTACACAAAGAGCTGTTTGGGAAAGAAAATCACGTAGCTCGTGTTGTGGAGGGAATCTGCATCCTTCCAATGTTGAGGATTCTCTCAGGTGGCATTGATGTTTATTAAACTCCATTCAAGCTAAAAGACTAGATAAGTCCCCATGTGGCCAACCACATAAACCAAGCTGAGATCTGAGGCATTTGGAGCAAGCCTGCTCCTTGCCTGTTGTCTCATCCACATCCCGATCTCAGTCAGCTATGCCTTTCATTGATGAGTCTTGAATTACAATAGCTTGGATAATCCGACTTGGATAGTTATCTCCTGATTATCTAATGTCTTTTGTAGTCGTATGTGCTGTGAGGTTTAGGTTCCTCTACTGAAAGCTGAAGCTTATCCTGTTTATTAATTCCTGCATTGATTTGTAACAATGGACAGGAGAATTCCTGAAATAAGCAAGTTGTGTACTCACATGTTTAAGTATAGTTCTGGGAGTCTGTTTGCTAATACAGGTTTTTCTACACACACTGGTCTATGAGGTTTGAGGAATTTGATCTATTTCCCTGATGAGTTCTGAACAAGCAATGCAGGAAACCTTTTTTGTGTTTAAAGCATTTTCGATTCACATTTTATGTGAACATTTTTTCGAAGCTGTGCAGACTAAGGGAAGAACAGCTCAGAAAAAATGCATTAACTGTGCCCGAAGTGTCCAAAATAGAAATCATCTGAAATTTGCAAAAGACCTTTAATGGAGATTTTGAAAATTTGATGTTACAGTTGAAAAATGTTATGAAACACTAAGCATATTTTTAATTTGCAGCATTCTCTGATTAAAGAATAATTTCTGTTTGTATCTGTTCCTTGATGCTAATAAATTGACAAAGCAATTGAAGGAATGCTCCAGGCTGCAACTTTAACTGGGATATGCTTTCTCGTGATTGCGGATAATTTCCGCATATATTTACAGAAATATAATCTACCAACCACATGAATAGGTTGGATCAGGACTTAGTATGCCAAACATCTGCTTTTTCTGAATTTACTTCCCATAATGCCATCGAGTGACATTCAAAGGAACACAAGCAACCAATGGTATATCATCTGACTGGCATTTTAGGGTGAAAATTCATGGCACAATACCTGCACCCAATGTGAATATGATCTAAAATGTGGCAAATGTTGCAGTCAAATTTTGACAAAGAGATTTGGGATTGGGAAAACTGCTTTGTTGGAGCATGCACCTGGAGGATTTTATTCAATGGCAATTATTAGCACTTGGATCACACTGTAATTCTGCATTCTCTGAAATTTCTGTGGGGCTTTGGGTAGCGGATGAAAGATTGTGGGTTTCTTTTCTGCCTTGGGATTGCGGGTACTGAAGGTGGCACTGCTCTTGGCTTTCCAACAGTGCATCAGTGGGGTACTGAGGAGGTAGCAGCCTGGTTAGAGCAACTTAGCCTCAACGAATATAAGGATACCTTCATCCGGCATGACATCCGTGGCTCTGAGCTCCTGCACCTGGAAAGACGGGACCTGAAGGTACTGCGAATGATTTCTAGCTTCTGCATGAAACTCTTAACTAATCCACGCTTCATGTATCAATGCTGGTTATCTACTCTAACTCACTGTTTTGTGCTGGAACCACACGAGTTGTTCAGGTATTAAAGGAATTAGTTGCTGAAGAATTGTTCAACCATGAGATTTGTGTGAAAGAGATTCTGGAGGGAACCATTTCAGGAAATTTCCTTATAGAGTGAATCTGCTCCATTGATTTCCACTTCCGTTCTTTCTGGGGACTTCAGGACAACATGACCTCAGAACGGGGAGGATGGTTGAACCCAGATCTGGTTCAGTTCACCTGCCTGTTGTGTCTTGTGATGGGGAATGGTTTGGAACTGAATGGGAGCAAAGAGGAAAAACATAAAAGGGAGTGGGGAAGAATTCAAACTGTGGTCCCAACAGATAACCAGCATTTTGCAGGATGTGTCAAACTTTGCTTTGCTTTCTTTAAAATCATCTCATTCCAAAGAGTTTTGTCAGGATATCATTTTATCAATCACAAAGAAGATTTATCTTGGAAATGTTTTTAAATAAAATCTTGGGTCAAAAATAAGTCCAATAATTAATTATTCCACAGCAATGCAGTTTACTGCACTGGTTCACACAAACCCAATGCTCACATGTTTATAAGTGTTGTCTCCTCTCAGCAGTGTAGCTGTTAACAGTGTAACATTTGAGTCTTTGCTAATGCAGTTCTGATAGAAGGAAAGAAAATTGGAAACAAAATAAGAAGGAATTGGAATGCATGTAGAGAGGCCTACTGGCTCACTAGCTTTATGTTCCATTGTACAATGTTGTGTCAGAGTGATAGGCTGATAAGACAAGGTCTTAATTTTGATTTAATGCAGCTCAGTGCTGTGTTGAGAGACTCCGCCACAGGATAGTGGAATGTCCCTTTGACCATAATGCAGGGAGTAGGCACTGCCAGAGGAATAATGCATGTAGGAAAGAAAACATTCAACCCTCAGTCCATAACTTTTTAGAAGCCAGATTGCCCATCCCTCAGATTCCATTCAAGAATCAACCTACTAGACTGATGTTGTTAATAATGTGCCTTTTGTTTAATCATATCTTGTTTGAGTTGTAAGTGATATGATTCACCAAAGAAAGCATAATCTTACCTTTGGTGTCTGGATGAGCTAAACGCTAAAATCAGCCACTGAAGATGGGCTGCATGGTTCATTTCAAACACTGGTCTTTCTCCTTGAGAATCTGGATTGGATTAATGCCATGCAGATGGGATCAAAGTCTCTTCTGCCTGCTGCTTGTAAGGGTCCTAAGTAAAATTGATGTGGCAGCTTTCCCCAGTAAAGGAACGGCCTGTTGTGAAATTGAAGTGCAGTTGGGTTTCAAGTCCATCCCCCAGTCTGATGAGTTAACTGATCTCAGTTGGGGTAGCAATGCAAGGTGGTGCAGTTGGCCTCAGTGACCCTGGATGACCCAAGGGAAAATGAGCAAGTGGTTCCTTTCACTGTCTGTTCCTACACAGAAAAATAGCTACTAAACCACAGTACTAATTGTACAAGCCTCTCTCACCTCTTAAGTCCATGTGTATTTTCAAGGGACTCTTCACTTTACAATTGCCCAAACTGATGAAACACTACAAGACCACTTTGACACTGACCTGAGTTACCATTGTCCTTATGAGCACCTCCAATGGCAGAAAAATAATATGTTAACACAATAGCTGTCGTGCATTTCTTATTTAAATACTGTATTTCCCTTTCCATTTGGCTTTAGTGTTGGCTATTTTACTACTGTCTAATGTTGACCCAAAACAGCCACCATTCATGTCTTAAGCTCTGCTGTCAATTGTATTTATCAGTGAGGGTGTGAATCTTCCTTTTGTTTTTCCCTGTTCCTTTGTCCTCTGCACCTTCCACTCTTAAGAGCAGACAAATGCGCCTGAACCCTGAATTCTGATTAAGTTGTGCGGTAACCATATCATTGAATAACCTGTCATCACATCACGCACTGGGTTTCCCCAGCCTTCCTTGGAACAATTATCTTGTTATTTCCCCTTGCATGCTCTTCAGATTGTTAATGTTCACACTTCTAACTGGTGGAATCATCGCTCAGTGGATAGCGATTTGTGTCCGAGCTTGTGTCCAGACAAATTTGCATTACTCTAGGGCACTGCTGATGACAGGCCAGCTAGCCTGGCTCAATGGCAGGATTTGGAGGGGCAGACTAGAAGGAGAGATACCCTGCAAGCCAAAGCACTAAATAAGCAGGGTGTTCCTATCTGGACAAGCAGTGGAAAGTTTGCCAAGCAATGCTTTCGGTGTAAGCGAGGCAGGTTTTTGCTGGTTAAACTCCAGCTATGCCCCAACGCACACTCTGATGTCCTCAAGCTTTGACTCTTACTAACCTGTGACAAATACTCTGTGGAATTAGGTAAAGCAGGTATGTCCTCCAGGGAGAGAGTGTGCACACCATTATAGACATGGGGAAATTTCCATTGGCGTACATATGTGGAACTCTGCACACTTCTTAAGCATGTAGCTAACCAAACAAAAAGGGTGTTGTTAAATAAAACGGTGGGAGGTGGGAACCGGGTGCCATGTGCTGTTGTGCACTGTCTAGATATCAGGGCTGAACTGCAGGTAGGTGGGTAAATACCAGCCATTCAAGTGCTCCCCACTACCAGATTCAAGTGTTCCTGACAGAAGCAGGATAGAAACGGTCTCATACAGTTCTTAAATGGGTTTCCTCCTGTTTGCCAGGACTTGGGGATAACGAGAGTGGGCCACATGAAGAGGATCCTGCACGGAATCAAGGAGCTGAGCCGGAATACTCCTGTCAGCGAAGTGTGAACTACATTTTCAGCTCATGCGTGTCCAGAGCTACCTAAACCTCCAGCTCAGTGGACGGGGAGAGAGCCCGCACCAGGGAGGCTGATCTTGGGCAGTCTGTGTACATCTCATCTGCAGCCATTCATTGCCTTGGAGCAGCCAGAGTGTAGGAACCACCATCCATTTATAAGTGGGCTTCTTACCCCAGACAAGCAAATGCCTTCTGTCTGCCCAAATAGGAACAAGGGAATTCTTCATCGAATCAAACTCATCTTGATCTTGAAGAACCCGTATCCTGAGGTGAAGAATCTGTTCAATTAGGGATTGCGTTTACCTCATACATGTATTACTCTGACTCTCAAACCCGGGAGTGAGATTCAATGTGAACCGTCTAAAACCTGACAATAGGTACCCCCGGTTTGAGGGGTCGTGCTCCTTAAGGCAGAGTAAAGTGCCGAATGCCACTGGCTTATCTCCGAAACTCTTTTAAGTTGAAGTGACTAAGTATCTCTTTTAATGTTTAATGTAGTACTCTTACCTGTGACAGAATGTGCATCTGATACCTGCCGATGATGTTGGGGCTCTCAGTGCTGTGAGCTCCTGTAATGAGAGCAGAAAGGTACCCCCTTTTTCTCCGTCTGCTCTCCCAGGACCAGCGGGTGGGCTATCAATACAGCATCCCAACAACACGTCTTCCCATGGAATCTGCCCCAGAAACCCCTGCCCTTGACCCACTGCTGCTTCTCATTGCCCAGGTGACATAGAGGCATTGATATACCTCGGAGTGAAGAGAGGGTCTCTCGTTCTGTGAAGCTCTGTTCTGTGTCTTTATGAATGGTAATGTTTCTCATGTGAGTGTTGGGGGAAGAGTGGAAAATAATTTGGAAGCTAAAGGCAAATTAACTGTCTCCTATGACTGATTACTTTCAAAAGACCTAGTTATTTTAACTCGTGGTTAATAGCAGAAACAAAGCTTTATATAGCTTTGTAGTTTTTAATAGTTTTTATTATGAAACAGCGTCCATCTGCACCTGTGCCATTGCACGATTATCCTTCCTGATAATTTAATACCCAGTTTATTTGCTGCATACTCAGCATACAATATCTGGTCAGCAGTGACTTCTAAGCAGTGCGTAAATAAACTGCCCTGTTCACCTATAAAAATACACAGCCACTGCACTTTACAGTAAATGCTGTGAAGCATCAGATATCTTTCTGCTGTGAGAAATGCTGTATCAAATGCAGGGATTAGTATTGTAAGTGTGTAATTCATGCGCCTAACAATGAAGACGTAAAATTAAGAATATCTATTTGTGAAGTTTCACTGCCCAAAATGACATCCAAATCAATGAACATTTACCAAGTTTGTTAAATAAATACTTTCTACTGATTCTCGTCCACACCAACCAATTTATACAGTTATAATTTAAATTAAATGGCTACCACGACATTGCCTTTTGCTACCAGATATTTTTGAGTTGCCCTTTTGGCTGTTTCACTCGGAGGTACAGTATGAGTGTTTTTAAAACCATTTTTTTGTTCTGTTTTATTGGTTGTAGTGAACAAAAGGAGAGTTTAGTGTTTTACTGTATTTTCAGTCATTATTCAGAGCTGCCTTCGTTTCTGAATGTGTGTGTGTATGGAGGGGAGGGTGCAGTGTGGAGAAGAGGATGAGACTCTGTACCTGATATATTGTACAGAGAGTAACTTGTATATATGACAAAGGAATGGTAAGGAGATATTCTGCCCAGTTCATGGTTAGATGTTCTCCACTGTGCCAGTTTGTTCTGTGTTTTGGCGACAAATGAAATGTAACACAAAATGCCATATTATCAGGGATATGAAGAGAATTATTGATAGAGTGATGTCGACCCACATCAACCTTCTTAAGAATAAATGTATTTGTTACATTAATAAATTGAAGTTTTGCCTACCCCACCACCAAGCGTAAGGAAATGCCTAGAGGTGGTGGTTGTCTCCTGAGCGATGGGATCTGTGCTCAGGTAGTTATTTTCATGATCCAGAAGTAAGGTTATGGTCGTTACCAGGCTTTTTAAAAAGATTAATATATGTGTATGTGTGTGTATATGTATATAAAATATCTATTTTTTTAATCACTGAACCACAATAGTACTTGGTAAACAAATAAAATTAAGTTGGGAGCCTGTAATGGACTTGTTGAGACTGGTGAGTCCCAGCTCCTCGTCATCCCTCTCTTGTCTATCGCAGGCCCCTCTGAAAGAGCAATACTTTCCTCATTCTAACCACAGAGGAGTTGAAAGGTCCCAACAACTACTTGTTATTGACAACAGTAGACTTACATAGTAACATAGGAACAGCCTTTAGGCAATATTAGGCATATCCTCTTCCGCATATTCATCTCATCAACCAATAATCCCAATTTCTTTAATTTACAGGAATTGACCAGTTCCATTTAAATCTGAGCACATTGATACCAAACTTTCTGTACTGCCATGACCTTTCTACTCCCTGTGTTTATAAGGAAGTTGAAGTGTCCTTTTAATTATTGTTCTCAATGACCAATTTGTGAATATCCGGGGAAGGGTTTAAGCAGAATGCCTCTGATGTGATGGTAACTCTCAGGTAATGTGGTTATGAAGAATGAGGGAGGGGATGTTCAGCAGGAAGTTCAGCAGTACTTAGCTTTCAGTGCTAACAATGCCTGGCTCATGCCTGGTACTGGGATGGATAGAAGACAGAGAGGTGGAAAGTGAAGCTTTTTCACTTATATGTTCTGGTAACCCTACCAGCCAAATGTAGATTAGTTCTAGCCGGTCAAGCAATGGGAAGCTTACTAGTTGTTTTGTTCTTTGTGAGTTGTATAGTTTTAGTTCGTTGAATTCCAGTATCCCGATGCTCACTTGAGATCCTAATGCGTTGGCCTTTGCCAATTCCACATTGTATATGCTGGATACGACCAAGCAGGATATCTCTTTTCCTTCCCTCCCCCTCTCCCCATCAACCCAAAGAAGAAGGGAGTGCGCACTCTGCAGCTGACAAATAAAACTGCTTTTGTGAGTTGCTCAATAGCTGAGAGAGAGACTGGCAAAAGGGTTTCAAGTGTGTCATACACTCTGCTAACCAAACAAAGCTGTACATTTTATGCTGACCTTGTTGTATTCCTTTTTGGTTGTGAAGTTGTTAGTTCATTGAACCTAAAACCATAATGGCAGTGAGGAGCAGGAGTATTGTCTGATCAGGGTGTTTTTGCTGCTCCCAGCGGCCACACAGCCAGTGATAAACTGATGTGAAACGTTACAATCCAAACCTTTTTAAATATAATGTTAGTGGCTAAAAGCTATTGGCAATGACGTAGCCCTTGGAATCGGCTAGCTGGTCCAGTACTGATCTGGAGTTCCTACCTATTGACACCAATTTTAGGAGAGAAATAGATTTGTATTATATTGCAAATGAAAATGGGTTTAAATAGTTGTAATGAATGTAGTTGTAAGGTCTGTGGTCCTCTTCGACTGTATCTTTATGTATCATTAATGAGTGTCAAGAGTGTCTGGAATTTGTCTGATTTTACCAAGATGTGTTTTTGGATTTGGTTAGAGTGTCATATCATATCATGAAGCCAAAAAGTACCAAAATCAAACCGAGGACTGCTCTCCTCATCTCAGAAGGGACCTCAGTGCCTGGAGTATTGGAAGCCGTGCCAAAAGATGCGGTACATAGCCATTTCTAACCGTTCTGCCTTAGAACCGTTTAGGACTGATTTGCTGCTAGTGGGTAATGGGTGATGTGTGAGGAGCAAGTTTGTTTTCTCCATTATAAATCAGAACACGATAAATACAGGATCATTTGAAGGTATGGACTTTGATGAATCATCATTAAAAATGCTGATTTCCACATCCAAAAGAATAGAAATGTTAAAACTGATAGTTGTGCTAATTGTTAGTACATTAGTAATGCAATATTTAGACATCACTTCCTGCAAACAGTAAATGTCTCAGAGAGTTGTGTAGGATTTGAAGCCACTATATACACCCTCTAGCATATTGATGTTTACTGGTAATTTGCTGCAAAGCCCTTATCTAAATGCATCAGTGCAACAGAAGCAGTGCAGAGTCACATCATTAAAGAGTTTGAAATAATATCTCAGTGAGCGGAATCCTGACCAAGTTAAAGTTAATTGTTTGAAAATCTTATAATTTTATCCGGAAAAAAAACTCATAGGTTTATTACCTTATTCTCCACATATTCACATTCTAAAGTCCTGGTGGATCCTATGGAAGTTTGTATGTGGTGCAAATGCTTTACTGTATTGCTACTGTTGTAGATGCTGCAGGTTACTGTTATAAATTTCAAATTAAATCTAATACTCCTATTTAATACGTCTTCGCCATAACTGTACATCATTTTTAGCCATGGCAAGAGTCTGTGCCCTGCCCTTTGTCACCAGGCGGTTGTATGAGAGATTATCAGGGTGAGATATTCTCTGATATTTTTTACCCACACAGAGACTGCCAAACTGTTCCACTGGACTGACATGAATGAATTGCATTTCATGCCTAAGATCAAATCAAAAGTGAGATCCCAACACTTCTGAACCATCGGTGCTTTGTTTGTACGGATCAGTCCCCACTCAGTGCTCACAGTGGAGCTTTTAGGGATCAGTTTACAATCCAGTGGTGAAGTATATCCTGTTCTGTAATTTCAGAATTCTTGTTATAGGGAAGGGATAATGGGCATTTTCTCATACAGTGTAATCTGTGCTAATTGCCTTTGGGTGACGTTCCTTAATTCAGATGATGTCGAATACAATTCTTGACATTCTCATTTCCTGACCTCTAAAATCACACGGAAACATTTTCATGGTCTAACCTTATGGTTTATGGGTAACTGTTTTATCAATGTGCAAATTATATTCAAAAGGATGAACGAACATTAAAATTTCACTGGTAAAGCTTGGTTCTTAGTGAAATAGAGACTGATTTTAGCTGGATTCTTAGACAAATAGCAAGAGGATTTTTTTGTACTGCTTTTTTTATTCACCCATAGAAAAGATGGAAAATGTTGAACTTATTTATGGGAAAAAAAGTGAATGAGTTAATGTTTTAATGATTCTGTTAAATATACAATGTTGTAAACATATCTAGCTCGTTTGCTCAGCTTCACATCATCAACTACTGTATAAAAATTGGACATTTAAACACAGATGGCAACGATGTTTCAGAGCAACTGCTCGACAAATCCAGTGGCTGGTTCCATTTATGTTGTGTTGCTAATTTGTGATTTCAGCAGATTAATGCCTAGCCCAGGTGCATATCCCATTTGCCTATGAAAAAACCTGGCTGCTTTATTCAGGTGATCTGAAAGCCAGGATTCTCTGTATCTCTGCCTTAATTCATAGAATGACAGCGTTCCTCATCATGTGTTTATCTTGCACTCTGGATGATTGTTTTAACTCAATTGGTGCGATCTTTAATTTTTTAAAACACAATTTTGCCAGAAAACATTTTGGATTTGGTTTTATTACATTTTCTGGAGGGTGTTTGCCTTTCTGTGTATGCATGTTGTATTTATTCTTAATTTATATGAATACTGTCATTGTGAGTTCTGTATTTTTTGTACATATTAATTGCCAATTGATGTAAATACATATTTCCTGTAAATACTGCAAGTAAATCTAGTGGAGTTGTCTCTGATCTTCCAGTAAAGATGTTTTGTTTTTCCAGTTTTACATTGTCTTCCCATTTAGATTTCCATATTTTTAATTGTTCAGGCTTTGTGTTTGTCTTTGTCAAGGTGATTGAGATGTTTCACTGCCCATTGTGTTCCTCCTCTGTTGCCCGTTGTGGATAATTCATTCACTCGCAGAAAGGTTACAACTAATAAGTTTAGGAAACCCACATTTTGATGACCTGCATTCATTCATTCTAACAGGAGAATCTCGTTGTCCTGTTGTCTCTTTACTTTGTTTTCAGTTGAATTCTGCTTTTTAAAAAAAGTGTGAAGGTCTGTTTCTTGTCTTTGTTGGCTCTCTTCCCCATTTCTTGTCTCTTTCATCCAAAACTTAATGATACAAAATATTTATAATTTAAATGATACTTTAATACACATTGGAGATCAATGGTTGCAAGAAAGAAAAGTGCCAGTAACCTCTTATCTTATTGTACAGCAATCACAAAGTTGTTGAGACACCCCACTGTGATGTTAGTCTGTGACAATGTTTCTAAAGACCCTAAATTGCTCTCCGAGGTTCTCGATAACTTACAAGGAAATGTTTTGGGTGCCAATGGGCAAGTACAGTTCCAAAATACAGACACTACACTTTACACTGTATCCCGTGATACACTTTTAGACGGTCTCCCAACATGGAAGGTACTATTGTCAAATGCAATGATCTCCTATAATGGACTGACACTCCAGTGCAATGCTGGAAGTGTGCTATTTACAATTTATAGAAGTAATGTTTAACTCAGCTTTTGAACTTCTGCATTCAAAGAAACAAACGTTGAGGAGAATGGAGCTTTGAGATGAACCAGTGAAACAGAAAATCTGCAAGATAGAACAACTAAAATACATGCTTTATCTATCACTATGCTCCAAACCCATTTATATCAAACTGGAGATTGAGATAGTGAGAATTTGGAGATTAAGGAGAGCGGGGTGTGCTGGGGATTTGGGCTATTTACAATCACATTTCTTAAAAGAGTAAGACCAGAATTGTGACCGATCATGGAATGTATGCATTCCAAATGTCGAAAGAGCTTAAAACCAGTAGTTGAATTACAAGCAGAAGACCTACAAGAGAAGTTGAAATGGCTGCAGTGATGTGAAGTTTCTTAACAGAAAGATTGTACTGGATTCCTGGGTGAATGCAGATAATAATCAGGAGATGGACTCCCAAAGTAAAGAGAAGACAAGTAAAGGTAGGTGTTGTAACAGAATTGGTGGAATTCAGGGTGCGATGATACATGTGATGAGACGGGCAGGATGTGGCTGAATGTGAACCCAAGTTGTGACTTTGATCTATATAATGGACTGACACTCCAGTGCTGCATTTTTGGACATGCCATCCTGAGATAGGCATTAAAGCCTATTCACATTGCCAGCCAGCGCCAGCGACACTTCCCACCAGCAGTCTACAGAGTTGAGTTGACAGTAGGCTTTCATTAAACTGTCCAGCTCAAGTACAGTTCCATAATACAAACACTAGACTTTACAGTGAATCTGTGATACACTTTGAGATGATCTCCCGACATCTATATCAAACGCAATGATTTATTTACAGTTTATATAAGTTAAGTTTAACTCAGCTTTTGAGCTTCTGCATTCAAAGCAACAAAAGTTGAGGGTAATAGAGCTTTGAGATGAACCAATGAAAAAGAAAATCCGCAGATAGAACACCTTAAATACATGGTGTATCTATTACTATGCCTAGCTAGTCTCAAAGTTGACTTACTCTGGAAATGTACTAACACTGGCAGTAGGTCCTGTAGCTCAGTGGTTAAGAGCACTCGCCTTGCAAGCGAGACACCTGGGTTCGATTCCCGGCAGTGCGAAACCTTGGTCAAGTTTCCTTACTCCACTCGCTTGATAATAATCCCTCAAGAAAAACAATAAGAATTTGCTCAAATTACGACTGTTTGTCGGACGCTGCTGTGCGCAATTGACTGCCACGTTTCGCCCACAAATATACAGTCGATTCACTTTACAATATATTCGGAGAAGCGCTTTGAGACGTTTAGAAGACGTGAAAAGCACTATATCTAATGCAAAGATTATTATTATTATTATTTAAGCAAGCACTGCTCTCCATTTACTTTCAGAAAATGTACAAATATTGACAGAATTGTGCACTTCTTGATTTAGCCGAAACTTTGTTTTTGGGGATTTATCAACCTTTGTTCCCGCATGAGCAGAGGCTCTTCTGATGCAATTCCTGTGAGTAAATATTTGAAGTTAGGAATTAACTGAGGTTTTCCTGTGTTTTTCCTGAATTCTTCATCATTTAAATGCTGAAAGGTAAGTACTTGATTATGAGACAAAAAATAGTAGATTTTTGTTTGTGCCACATATTGTTTTAAGGTGCATTAATCACTGGAATTCTTTTTATTTCAAATAACTTTAAACTTAAAAATAACACCAACCCACGCAGGGTTTTCTTTAGAATTTATAGAACAGTATTTCTAGAATTAAAGATGAGTGCTGCAGAGATTTTGTTTTTGAGCTCTGTTGGGACAATAAAGTGCTTGCTTCTTACAGGAAGCCCAAGTTACATACCAGTTATTGATCTATTGAACCTCCATACACGTTCCCATTTTACCGGATCCCTTCATTACCCCGTTGTTCAGAATGCTTAAGGTTTCTGGTAGGTTCTCTATTATAGGATCATCGGTATTGTTATTTGCGGTCTAGAAAACGTACTTCACTCTCAAGACATATAAATGTAAACGTTTAATGGGAACAGAGCTTGAAACATCTAAACAATCCAGCGGGTAAGGTATTATAAAGGCTTCTCTCGTCCCAACATTTGATTTTTATTCCTCTCTAAATACTTGTCTGAGATCTGAAAATTACTTCTTTACTGTAGAAATTCCAGTAATTTTTCCATGGTCGTAACATTTTTATTTCACAACTAATTTAAATGTTAATAATAATCCTTGCATTTTGCAATTGTTATAGCGCTTTCATGTCTTCTAGACGTCTCAAAGGCGCTTCATAGAATATACTGTAAAGTGAATTGACTGTATTTGCAGCGCCTTGGGACGTCCTCCTGACGTGAAAGGCGCTTTATAAATGGAATCTTGTTGTTGTTGTTGTATATGTGTGGGCAAAACACAGCAGCCAATTGCGTACAGTAGAGTGTAACATTGTTGGCTTCTTTTCTAGGTTAGAGTTAAATAACCAGCCTGGAAGATGCTGTTCTCCCTCTCCTGTTCACTGCTACTGTTGGTTTCATGCTACATAGTCTCCAATACTTCAGGTCAGTGTAACAACAATAACAACTTGCATTTAGATTGCGGCCTTCATGAAGGGGAGCGTCCCAGTGTGCTTGTAATGGGTGAATGCTGACGTTGCAGTATAACTGACAATTCTTTTATATGAATAAAACCTGGACTTGTACCTGACATTCCCCCCAGAAGGAACTTCCAATTTGGGTTGGCCCATAGGGCTGGGTTGGGGTAGCTTTTGGCTGTGTGAGTTCAGTGTAACCCAATGTTACAGACAAGGTTCCTGCAGTAATGGCAAACGGGAACTGGATTTTTCTGCTCCCTACTTCAGGAACACAGAGGCCAACTGTAGCACTCCCACTTCCACTTTGGATATAAGCAAACTCAGCACAGATCAGGTATTGAAACTGGGACCTTACGCATCTGTGTAGTTCAGTTTAACAGCGCTTTTTACCAGTTGGGCTATTGAATTTGTCACTTTTGTTTCCTCTTCTCCAAGTGGTGGCCTTGGAGAGGTTCAAATGAAGGTCCAGCCAGAAGGTTAAGGATGAAAGAAGTGTAGCATAGTAGATTAGACATTGGTCATCCTCTTTTAGAATCTGATTTTTAATAAAATATGTGAATATGCGAGATAAAAATCAGCAAAGACAGAACAACAATAGCAGCAAAATTACATTTGTATAGCGCCTTTCATGTTGGAAGTATGTCCGAAGGTGCTGGACAGTCTGTGTTTCGGACCCGAGCGGGGGGTTCGGGATTGGGGAGGGTGGAGGGCAGGGGGGGAAGCAGGGTGATTGAAAGCACAGTCGAAGAGATGGATCTTGAAGGAGGCAAGGGAGGTGGTGAGGCGGAGGGACTGCGAAATGGTGTTCCAGAGGGTGGGGGCAGGGTGGCAAAAGGCCCCCCCCACCAATGGTGGGGCAGGCAAAGTGGGGGACATGAAGCAGGCTGGAGCCCGCTGAGCGGAGTGAGTGGGCAGGATGGTAGGGGGTTAGGAGTTCACAGAGGTAGGGGGGAGCTAGGCCATGGAGGACTTCGAAGGTGAGGACTAGGATCTTGAACTGCATACTCTTGTGTGATGGGAAGCCAGTGGAGTCGGGCGAGGATGGAGGTGATAGGATCACGGAGCCTGGTGCGGGAGAGGACACGGGCTGCAGAGTTCTGGATGATCTGCAGCCTATGGAGGAAGGAGTTGGGGAGGCTGACAAGCAAGGAGTTTGCATAATCAAGCCTCCATGTTATGAATGTGTGTATGAGGGTTTCAGCGGCCTGCAGTGTGAGACAGATGCGGAGGTGGGGGAAGGCAGAGTGGGTCATGGCAGAGATGTAGGGTAGAAAGGATAGTTGAGGGTCAAACAAGTCGCCAAGGTTCCGGATTGGCTTAGTTAGATGGAGTGTGCATCCATGGATAGTAATGCTGTCAGCACCTGAGGTGTGGAGGCCCTGATGGGGAGAGCCTCGGTCTTCAACGGAAGAAAGTTAGCTCTCATCCAGGACTTGATGTCTGACAGACATGCTGTCAGGACAGCAGTGATCCTGGAGTTGAGGTTGGAGGCAGAGAGGTACAGTTGGGTGTTATCCGCATATATGTGGATGTTGACCCCCATGTCTGCACATGATGTCACCAAAAGGGAATATATATATGTTGAAGAGGAGGAAACCAAGGACAGAACCCTGAGGAATGCCGCACGAGCTGATCAAATCAAATATTTCAGTATAAACTTACAAACTGGTTCTTTGCTTGGGTGGAGATGGCTCACTGGCTTAGCCATATAGAAATACACCAGTGTTTCTTAAAATGTGCTTATTTATTTCATGTTCCAGTGTTTTTATCAATGAAGGATGCTAGTGAGATTTTAGGAAAAGACGGCCACGGTCAATATTTGAGGAGCTTAAGCCAGGAAATATGGAACGAGAGTGTGTCGAAGAAGAGTGCAATTTTGAGGAGGCAAGAGAGATTTTCAAAGATGAAAGTGCAACTGTGAGTACACCACTCAAATTCCTCTTGCTTTTTTGTCTCCTGAGAGGAGCCTTTAAAGAGGCATAATTCAACGTAATTTGTCATAAACACCCTATTTTTAGGCTAGTATTTAAAACAATGTATAATTATACTTACATTTGGTATAACGTCTTTCACTATTGGAGGACATCTCAAAAAACTCTTCATAGGATATATTGTGAAGTGTAGTGACTGTGTGTTCAGGAGTTTTTTTTTTTGGTCAGCCAGGTGTCTGATACATGCGAAAACCCTTCACCATGCTTAAGTGTATATCTAGAGGGATGCATTCTGCTTACCTAATGCCAGAGAACGTTAGGCACGGGTTGGCAAGAGCCAAGGTTTAGGCCACTCCAGAGTGTGTGTTGGAGTCCTGCAGGAGTGAAACTAGCTAAAACCACATAGCTTGCCTTTGAAAGCATTGCCTGGTAAGCTTCCCTGCCTTTTGTCCAGCTCGGACCACCCTACCCATAGAGCTGAATGGGAGGAGTCCCTGCCCCCAGTGACTGGTCTGCGCTTCCAAGTTCTGCCGATGAGCCAGACTGGCTGTACTGTCATCAGCAGTGCCCTGATGACAAAGATCTAATCATGAAGACATCCCTATTGCTGCAGTGAATTTTCCTGTAGTGTTCCTCTCATGTCCCAAATATGTTGTCCTATATGTTCTTCCTCCCTCCTTTATCCTCACTTTGTTGAAATTAACGCTCATCACACAATCACCTTCACTTAACACATTTTTTTTAAAATTTGGTGATGTCCTATGCCTTAGTCCTGTCGTTTGATATCTTAATAATAATGAAATGGTCTTTGCTTGTAAGGCTACAACATTTACTAATCATGTAACCTAAGTTTTTGATTACACCCAATTATATTGTTTTCCTTTTTTTTGACAGTTAAAATTTTGGAACAAGTATATTGGTAAGTATATAACTTCATTGCATAGCGCCTTATCACATCATCGAGACGTCTCAAAGCGCTTCACTGTGTGTTTTGTGGGCTAACCCCACAGGCTAGCTTGTGCACCGTAGTGTCCCATAACAGCCATGAAACGAATGAGCAATTTTTATTCAGGGGATTGTAGGTCAGGACACCGGGAGAGAGAAACTCACTTCTCTTTTTGAATAGTGCCATGGGATCTTTAACCACCTGAAAAAGCAACGGGACCCCGGTTTAACAGATTACATCTGCTCTAGATTGGGACATCCTCCCGTGAAAGGCACTATGACTGTTTGTGGGACAGTGCTGTGCGCAATTGGCTGCCACAATTTGCCCACAAACAACAACAACAACAAAATTACATTTGTATAGCACCTTTCACATCGGGAGGACGTCCCAAGGCACTGGACAGAAAGAGTTACGGATCCGAGCTGAGAGTTGGGGGGGTGGGGGGCAGGGGGAAGTAGGGAGATCCAAAGCACGGTCAAAGCGGAGGGTCTTGAGGTGGGTCTTGAAGGTGGCGAGGGAGGGGGCGAGATGGAGGGACTACGGGATGGAGTTCCAGAGGGTGGGTGCAGAGAGATGGAAGGCCCGCCCTCCGATAGCGGGGCAAATGAGGCAAGGAACGTGAAGCAGGCCAGAGCCCGCTGAGTGGAGGGAGCGAACAGGATGGTAGGGGGTTAAGAGGTTGGACAGGTAGGGAGGAACAAGATCGTGGAGAGCTTTGAAGGCGAGGACCAGGATCTTGAACTGTATCCTCTGTGTGATGGGAAGCCAATGGAGTTGGACAAGGATGGGGGGGGGTGATAGGGTCACAGAGCCTAGTGCGGGAGAGGACACGGGCTGCAGAGTTCTGGATGATCTGCAGCCTGTGGAGGGAGGAGTTGGGGAGGTCGACAAGCAGTGAATTTGCATAGTCGAGCCTCGAAGTAATGATGGCATGTATGAGGGTTTTGGTGACTTGTGGTGTGAGACAGTGTCAGAGCTGGGTGAAGGTGGGGGAAGGCAAAGCTGGTCATGGCGTAGATGTGGGATAGAAAGGACAGTTGAAGGTCAAACAAGATCCCAAGGTTCCGGACTAGCAAGGTGGAGTGTGCAATCATGGATGGTGATGCTGTCAGTGCCTGAGGTGAGGAGGCGCTGACGGGAGCCAATCAGAGCCTTGGTCTTGTTGTTCAACTCTCATCCAGGACTTGATGTCCGACAGACATTCTGTCAGGACAGCAGTGGTCCTGGAGTCAAGGGTGGAGACAGAGAGATAGAGTTGGGTGTCATCCACATACATGTGGAAGTTGACCCCATGTCTGCGGATGATGTCACCAAGAGGGAGCATATAGATGTTGAAGAGGAAGGGACCAAGGACGAGCCCTGAGGAACGCCGCATGAGATGGTCCAGGTGCTAGAGGAGAAACCGTTTGAGGAGATGAAGTGCAGGTGGTGTGAGAGGTACGATATGAACCAATCAAGGACAGCGCCTTGGAGGTTGAGGTGAGAGGAGAGGCGGGGGATGAAGGTAGAGTGGTCGACGGCATCGAAAGCAGCAGAGAGGTCAAGGAGGACGAGGAGGCAGAGGGAGCCTTGGTCGCAGATGGACAGAATGTCATTTGTCACTTTGACCAGGGCGGTTTCTATGCTGTGGGTTGCACGGAAGCCCGATTGGAGAAGTTCGAGAAGGGGGTGGCGCCAGAGGAGCTCAGCGAAGCTGAGAAGCAACAACTCATTCCAGGACCTTGGAGAGGAATAATAATAATAATAATCCTTGCATTTGATACAGCGCTTTTCACGTCTTCGAGACGTCTCAAAGCGCTTCATAGACTGCGTATTTGTGGGCGAAACGCGGCAGCCAATTGCGCACAGCAGTGTCCCACAAACAGTCGTGGATTCAGTGACTAAATTATTATTGTTTTTTTCTAGAGGGATTATTATCAGGCGTGTGGAGTAAGGAAACTTGCCCAAAGTTTCGCCCTGCCAGGAATTGAACCCAGGTCTCTCGCTTGCGAGGCGAGTGCTCTAACCATTGAGCTGCAGGACTCCACTTTACAAAGTGAGCGGGAACCCGAACGGGGAGGGAGACAGACCGGCACTTAGTGACTGACGGAACTTGACATCTGTCTGGCCGACTGTTGGAAGAGACAGCAACATGGAATTAAGGATGGAGGCAGAATGATTGCACAGCACACAGGGAGAATACTGGGACATCAATAAGGGAAGGAGAGGTTGGAGATGGGCTGTAGTTAGGGAGTAGAGAAGGGTCCGGGGATGTTTTTTTAAGGATAGGAATGATGACAGCAGTTTTTAAAGGCATGGGAACAGTACCAGAAGATAGGGAGAGGTTAATGATGTCAGTGAGAAGAATATTAAAACAGTCAATCCACTTTACAGTATATTCTGTGAAGCGCTTTTAGATGTCTCAAAGACGTGATAAGGCACTATATCAAATGCAAGGATTATTATTATATAAATGCAATTTGTTGTTGTTGTAGATGGTGACCAATGTGAGCCACAGCCATGTGCTAATGATGGAACTTGCCTGGATCTGATTGGGGGCTTTCAGTGCTTTTGCCCTGAAGAAAGGGATGGGAGCCGATGTCAGTATGGTAAAGCTCTACATCATTCTATTTGGAATAATTCTTCTTCTTATGAAGCAAGCTTGTGTAGGTTGAACTTAGTTTTTTTTGCAAGTATGGGTTCATGGCACAACAACACAACCACTGCAGGGTGACTGGAGTTACCCTGAATCAGCAAAAATCATGCTGATTCAGTGGGTGCTTTCTAATGAGATTAGAGATGGAGACTGAGTTGGGTGTTGCGTTTGCCAAGTTACCTCTGCTTAGCATGTCCCTGAAATGGCCCTGATAACTTATATGGACTTGAAACGCACCATGTCTCTCTGCGGTGTATTGGTAATTGCCATATGGTGTCCTTGTGTCTATACCATGTCAATATTAAAGAAGCATTCCAGCTTAAACATTAGCTAAGGGTTTATGTGAATATGAAAAATGTGTGCTGAACCATCTGAAGTACTAAAGATGTTATCACAGAATAACAGAAGCATAAAAAATCTTAATTTTGTCAATTTATGATTTCAGAATTGGTGGCAACAAATTGCTCTACCGAGTATGGTTACTGTGAGCATTTCTGTCATGAGATCAGTGACATTAATAGGCGTAAATGCTCTTGTGCAAAGGGATACAACCTAAGTGACAATGGATTTGCCTGCAATCCAACAGGTATAGAAGATCAGTGGGGGAGAATGTCCTATTGAATTATACTCTTTTACTTATAAGCTACATTGTATGAAGATGTGTTTCAAGACATACTTGTCATCCTGTACCAGTCTGGCTCAGTTAGTAGAACTCTTATCTATGAGTCAAAATAGATAAGAGTTGGAAATTCAAATCTCATGTCAGGACTTTGAGCTCATAGTCCAGGCTGCAATAGTTTATGTTGGGTTGAATTGAGCTGAATTACTTTGATCTATAACTATAACCATGTTTGAATTATATAGAATAATAATTTAGCATTCATATTTGGGCTTTACACTGTTCTCAACATGCATAGTCATTTAACTAAACCCACAAAACTTTTACCAACCTGTCCACTTGCTCCGCTTGATGGGCACTAATCTGCTCCACGTGACCACCCCCCATGATATGTATTATATATATATATATTACAGGTAACTATAGTTGTGGACGACATAAGTTGGCGTCAATAAACGATGTAGTTCGACTCACTGGAGGAAAGGTAATAAAGAAAGGAAGCAGCCCTTGGCAGGTAAGAAGATATTACGATACTGGGTTGGGTGGGAAGACTTTTTTTATGATTATAATTCATCATATGATTCTGTGTGTGCACTATGAAGGATTATGCATCTTTTATTTTGTGTACTGATGGCAGGTCATGCTCATGAATGCAAGAGGCTTTTTTAAATGTGGTGGAGTGCTGATTCATCGTTTCTGGGTGGTTACCGCTGCTCATTGTGTCCATGAAGGAGGGAGATTTAGAGTCAGACTTGGTAAGCAACATTTCCAATTCTATAAGGTTTTTTCACGAATAGATAGAACTTGCAGCCTACTCCTCAGATACACATTTGTTACTGGCTGTGTGGGGTGCAGCAGAGCTTTAAATATTCAGCAGGTTTCAGATTAGATCTCTGGTCTATAATAATAATAATCCTTGCATTTGATATGGCACCTTATGGCACTATAATATACAAAAAAGGAGTGCTTCAAAGTGCTTCACAGGATGTACTGTAAAGTGAATTGACTTTATTTTGTGGGCAAATTAACTGCTGACTGAACTGATTCAGAGGCATCAAAATAGGTTTTGCTATAATTGACCAAATATCCTAAGGTTAGGATACAGTAAAATCAGCCAGGGTTTCCCATTTCTAATTGTTATCCAGTTACCCTTAAGAGCAATTAATCAGTTACTCTTCATTAGTTTTCTTGTTCCATGTTTTCTTATTTTCATTTCAGGTGAATATAACAGAACAATTGCAGAAGGAACTGAAGATACTATTCGAGTGAAGACTGTGCATATTCACCCCAATTTCACTCTGAAGACATTGGACAGCGACATTGCTCTCCTCAATCTAGAAGAGGCTGCCATCTTTAGCAATTACATTATACCGGTTTGTCTTCCCACTAAAGAGATGGCAGAAAGAGTGCTGTTAATTCCAGGCAAAATGGTGCTGGTTACAGGATGGGGTGCTGTGGATGAAAATGATCACACGATTCGTCCTAGTACTCTACTCTTCATTAATATCAATTTGGTCTCTTACGAAAATTGTGTTGAGGTACTGCCAGGCAAAATCACAGAAAACATGATCTGTGCAGGAGCGCCTGGTACACGGAGGGATGCATGTTCAGGAGATAGCGGTGGGCCTATGGTAACCGTCCACAGTGGCACATGGTTTCTGATTGGACTTGTCAGTTGGGGAGAGGGTTGTGGCCACCACAAGAGTTTTGGTGTTTACACAAATGTTGTCAGGTACCTGGAATGGATAGATTCTTTCCTTACATAGCAGTCCCACGATGTTATTTGGGCCATATTTCAAGGAACCGAATCCTACAACAGAATGAGTGATCTGTCGAAGAAAATGGCTTCTTCAAATGTATTTCTCAAGTGTCCCCCAAATACCATATGTCAAATCTATTATATGCTCTGTAAGAAGAGTTGCATGTAGCTCAGTAATTTTGTTATTTGATATTAAAATAATTCATAACAAATAATTCATTAAACGCAAACTGTGACTTATCTTACTGTGTCTCAGTTAAAATGTGCACTATTCATTGTAAAGTTTTTCTTTACCCTGCGGGTAATTAACGACTGGAACAGGTTATCGAGATATGCGGCCTGGATACTGGACTCATTTTTTAAAAAAATGGCTTGATGCTGTGGATGGGACTATGGTAGGGTGGATATTGTGGAAGGAAGAGATCAGATGGCAGTCGCTTGACATATCGTGTCCCAACTATATACTTGAGATTTTATTCGCTATTCACGTGTACCTTCAGTGTCTGCGTAAGAATGATACTGTAAAAGAAGCAACTTCTTTCAAATGAAAAAAAGACAAGGACTATTTACTTTAAAATGAACATAGAGCTGAGTTCTCCTCAGAACAATGTCTTTGAACAATTTTGCACAAATTCAATTTTTAAATTTCATGTTATACGTGTTTTAGCTCAATGATCTTATTTTACAATTACCTAATTTTACACTTTAACCTTAAACTGTGCCCTTCTCCCCTTTTCACAAACTTTCCATTTTTATTTTGCCTTCCAATTTTTCCCTTGCCTCCTCTCTTGAAGTTATTTGACTAATTTTTCCTTCTACCGGTTTATGATTCCATCAGCATTGATTATTCTCCACTGCCTGAACTAAGTATCATTAGTCCTGTGTCACCATCGGCGGTTGGACCTTCAGCCTCTCTGCCCCCACCCTTTGGAACTCTGTCGCACATTCCCTTCACCTTGCTCCCTCCCTTGCCTCCTTCAAGGCATGTCTCAAGACCCTCTTCAACCAGTCTTCGGCCACGCTCCCTGCCCTCCACCCCTCCCTTACCCCAACCCCCCCGCCGACCCTGTTCAAGTCCAAATCCCTGGCTGTCCAGTGCCTTGGGACGTCCTCCTGATGTGAAAGGTGCTATACAAATATAATTTTGTATTGTATTACTTAACTACAGACTGATTCTCTCCTCTCAAACCCTGTCGATAATTGTTAAATTCCTACTGTTATTCCATGAGACTCAGTTAGTGAACTCAGCTAATGGGATTTTATCTGAATCTTACCATCTTGTATGGCCCCCTGGATTTTTTTTGGTGGAGGGTTAGCTAACTCCCTTTAGCTGTTTCAGGAAATGGAGACAGAAATCCATCACCAGAGTATCCAAATCAGACAGAGTTCCACATACACTTGCTACCTAATTAATTAAATTTCCCTTTGTCTGGAATGGTGTTCAACCCATTTAAAATGCGCAGCTTGCCCCGAGAGTACTTTCTGTCAAGCTTTCTGTTTGCCAGATAGGATCATCCTGACTGTTAGGAATTTGGCATGCGGTGTTAACAGGAGTCGAGTGGGAATAATCGCTGCTCCCAGTGACCAGGGGCCTGGCTGCCCATCCAAGTCCTGTCAATGAGCCAGGCTGACTAGTCTGTCATCTTAGAGTACTACAGACCCACTGGTTCAGGAACTGGATTGATGAGACTCCCACAAAGGATCGACTCAATTGTTTTACCATCTCTCCAAAGTGCGCTGAGACATGGCTTTTTGTGAAAGGAGTATTATATTATATTAATGCAATTTCGTATTCCGTGGAGAGTTCAATTTACTTCTACTTTTCTGCAATGACTGAAAAAACATTCCTGACTTACTCTGATTTGCTAAATTTTAATCCAGGCGAACAGTTCACGAGTTAATGATTAGCCTGGTCCAAATATTGACTCAGTTGAACCATCATTTCCAAGATATTGGGTTGTTTAGACAGCAGATGCAACTCATAAAAATTGAATGTAAAATGCTTTTGAGAAATAACATAATGATAGCCCTGTTTTCTAGGTACTGCATTTGTTTGCTGATGGCTAAAGTAGAAAAAATGACCAAAATTCCAATTTCATATTGCTATGATATTGTTTATCTTTGTTAACTTACACCAACTAAGCCTTCAATTTTAAGCCTTTGAGCACATATCACTGGAATGTTTTCACATTGCTTTAACTGCTGCTATTATCGCTTTCAGTTTACCCAGCAGAAAATGCCCCCCCTCCACCCACCAAATTGATCTGATCACAACATTAGATATAACAGAACGTTCTTTCAAGTCTTGAAAATGAATAGCTGTAAAAGAAAAAAAAAACAGATTTTGGGACTGGATTTTAGCTAAACAGAGGATTATTTTGAATGATGTGTACCCTTTGACAGAATGGTTAATTGGAGCTAAGAAAGACAGGTAAATTGAACAAATAAAATATACTATTTTAACAGCGTCATCTCTAACTTACTGACCAAAAACACAATCTCTTTTAAAACACTCCCATAAACCTCAGGCTCAGACTATTAAGATTTCTGTGAGATTTGTGGCTGTTTAAAATATTTCAAAATAAACTAATGATCAATCATGTTCTAAGTTTAATTACTCTAAATTAATTAAGAGACTCTGCAGTGAGCATTAAACTCTCCGGTATACAGGTTAAGCGGAGTTAAAAAGAGGTGAAAGAGGATTGTTAATAATTCTTGCATTTGATGTTGAGGCTTTCACATTGGGAGGCAGTCTCAATGTGCTTCACAGGATACACTGTAAAGTGTAATAACTAATTTGTAGGCAGATGCGACAGCCAATTTGCTCACATCAGTGTCCCACTAGCAGCTGTAAAATATATTGTGACTGGTTATTATTCCCACTGTTAAGTGGACTATTAAACACTTATTTAAAAGTCTACAATATTAAATGTATACTGAATATTCAAAATATGGAGGCAGCTATATATTTATTATGTATATTGATATATTTGAAACTTCTTGCCTCCTATTCATCCGTCAGAAACCACACACTGATTTGAAATAATAGATCAATTAAGTCAATATTTGGAATAGGTTATTTATCAACTTGTACCTTGTTTGGTTGAATTAGAATGTAGCAGAGGAACAGAACAAGGTAAGCAAAAAAATATTTGAAACAATTAAATAACAAATGGATTAAACTAACAAAAGCATTTTATAAAAATAGTCTTTATATAGAATCGAGTGCACATTGACTTTTTGATTGAACGACTCTTACAGTTCGCCTTTGCTAGTGATATCAGTACTTACTTCCAAAGCTAACTGAATGTATAAAAAAAGTTTCTGGCACTCAGCAGGAATATGCATTGTTACTCAAAATATGTGTCGAGTTCCAATTCAGTCACAGCATCAATACTCTTAACGCATTAAATTGTTATAGTAGAGATGCTATACACTAAAACGTTTTTTATCACATTGCAGTGTCAGTCTTTTGCTCTCAAACGCGCATAAAGAAGGAAGGCACAAACTAGCTCCTGCTTCAGAATCAAACACCAGTGTTTTTTTTTCCTTTTGTGCTTCGGATGAGACATTAAGCCTAGGGCTTGTTTGCCTGCTTGTTGGACATTAAGGATCCTAAGACACGGTGTGAAAAGAGAAAGGAGTTCCCCCCTATGTTCTAGTCAACAGTCCTCCAGATAAAAAATTGTTTCACTTCATGGCTGTTTGTGGGTCATTGCTGTGCGCAAATTGGCAGCCATGTTTAACTACGAATACAGTCACAATATTTTACAGAAAACACTGCAAAGTGCTTTGAATTGTTTTAACGTGATATAGCGCCATATTAATTGCAAGGATTCTTACTATTACTACTACTTGTACTTTCATTTAAAGCAGTGCTTTTAATTCATGTCCAAGAGGCCTACTTTCAGATTGGTGGGCATTAAAAGACATTTGGTTGTAAATTGGTAGGTTCTCCAGGCAACCAGTTTCGAATTCAATGAACCTGTTAAGTCAAGCCATCTAATGGTAAATTTGTTGAAACTATGCAAACGTAGTCTCTTAGCAACCGGATATCAGTGATGTGACCTTTGAAAATGAGTGTGGTTTACAATTCTGATGAGCAGAAAGTGGCAAAAATGGCAACTACACCTCACATCCGAGTTATACTGTTGTTTGATGAACTGGAACTCATGTTCAAAATGTATTTGATAGAGACATTGCTGTGTTCCTCGATGCAGACTGGGCTGTGAAGCAAAACGTTTTGCTCCTGTGGATTTCTCAAGATGGCCAGGTGCTACTGTTTATTTGCATCACTGGTGTTTGTGGGTTCCATTGGAGGGATAAGCAGTTCAGGTTTGTGCTGGTATCATCACTGTGTTGCTGCTCTTAACTGTGTCAGTGTTAATTGTAGCTGCGCTGCAACGAGCAGAATCTCCTCCCGGCAAAGGGAGAACGTTTCAACAGAATATCTCAATTCTCGCACCTCAGCCAACCTGACAGTCCCCGGATCCAGTAATTACCGTGTAAATAATTTGGTGTTTTGGTGTATCTGTGCTTCTTACCAAGGAGCCAGTTTCAATCTTCTCCTTTTTGTATGTTACAGCCCCAGAATCCTGCAAATTTGAAATTGTATCAGTGCAGTGAGTGGAGCAAACTAGTAATCAAGCTGGTTAATGTCATCCAGAGGTCATTTCATTTCACTTCACTCACAAATTGGGCATATCTTAGAATATCTTGCTGGCACTCAAAGCACCAAGAGTTTCAAGTGCAGCTCAATACATAATTGTTAGTTCGGAAACTCGAAGTCTTCAATGCAGGGCATAGTGTGTCGTGTGTGTATAAAGAGCAATGCACTTGAACAAGCTACCCAACTGTGCATTCAAAAACAGTCACTACATTTTGCAGTAAATCCTATGAATTGCTTTGAAACATCCCCCCCGTCCCGTCACCCCCCACATGAAAGGTGCAGAATCAATTGTAAGCAATATTATTATAAGTGAGATTGGATATGCCACTAGTTGCATTGCCTAGCTCACGTGTGTATTGCTAGCAGTATGATTGCAAATAAATGCTGTGAATAAAGGATTCTGATATTATTCTTGCATTTTTTTGATGTTGTTGATAGTGTTTCTCCGGAAGAATGAAGCCAGCAGAGTGCTGAGGATTCAGAAACGTTCAAATTGGTTCTGGGAAGAAACTAGATTAGGATCATTGGAAAGAGAGTGTTACGAGGAACTCTGCTCGTTTGAGGAAGCAAGAGAGATTTACAAATCGAACGAGAGAACTGTGAGAGCCATTATCATAGCTTATGCACGTGTGTCTGTGTATAGAAATTAGCCTGTGTGAAGTGTGCACTTGAGCATGTATTTGTGTCCCCATCTGCTTAAAGTAACTTAACAAACTATTTGAAAAATAACTCAGCCTACTGCAAGCCAGAGGCCATTATAGTTCAATAACAAAGAAGGTCATGTGAGTTATCGCACCAATGAATAGATGCACAAGAACTTTTAACTATTTCTTTTCCTTCCTTTAACAGTTGGAGTTCTGGTACAGGTATAAAAGTGAGTGACAGTTTCATCATTTTCAACTTGGCTTGCTTTGAGTACTGGGAATAATTAATTTGGCCACGAAATATAGTCAATCCACTTTACAATATACAGTATTCTGTAAAGTGCTTTGAGGCATCTCGACAATGATAAGGTACTATATCAAATGCAAGGATTATTATTAGTATAATGTGACACCCCACCCAATAATTTGGAAAATGGAATACTCCTCATTTCTGTAAAAATACCATTTGCAAATGTAACATCCCAACCTCTGTATGAAGCAGTTTTTAGGAGATTCATTTCAGTTTTCTGAATCCACTTTGTGTGTTGCTGAAGAAAATTAGAATCATCCCAGGTTCAAGAAAATCAAAGATCTAAATGGTCTGTGAATTGTCCCCTAAAAATATTATTATAGAATAATTCATTAATTGTAGTCTTGTCATGCATCCTGCTCATTTGAGGAAGCAGGATGTTGTTGTTGGCTGAGCTCAGTGATTTCATATTTATCAGTTTCTCATTCAATTAATAATCTGATGACACTGGTAATATCTTCTATTTGAGTTTACTGAACCATTTTCTTTTTTTCCTACCTCTCAGATCTGGATCCCTGTCAATCAACCCATGCCTCAATGGTGGGATATGTAAAGCTAACGGACACACATATGTGTGCCTTTGCCCTCCTCTGTGGAAAGGAAAGATTTGTGAGAGAGGTTCGAGTTTGCTTCTTATTGATATGTTCTGCATCTCCTGAAAAAGATGAGCATTGTAAATGGAAATCCAGTTGATGTGCTAACTTAAGTCTCTTCGCTGTAGAATGAGGATGGATATTGGTGGCTGACTGGTTCTGATATTCCATCCAACAAGTGACAATACACAAGTAATGAGGTTGCACCATTTGCATTCCATACGAGGGACACCAACTCAGCATCTTTGTTTCAGCAGTGTATCCATGTGGGCATTCATTAATTATCAGAAGACAAGAGGAATTATTTGTTGTGTTGTTTCTCATTTTTTTTCTATGCGTTTCTTTCATTTCAGAATATATAGAATGTGAATACAAAAATGGCTTCTGTCAACAATACTGCACTAATGTGGAAGACTCGGAGAATGTGAGATGTAAATGTGCAGAGGGATACCAGCTAGATACAGATCAGCGGAGTTGTGTAAAACAAGGTACAAGCTCGCTGTCTCATTTATGGTACTGAAAATAGCCTGAGATTTGTGCTTGCAATAATCTGACTAACAATTCCCCCCCACCATTCACTTCATGGCTGTTTGTGTGTGCAAACTGACTTCCGCGTTTACCTGTAAAATAGACAGTCAAATAGACAGTAAGGATTATTTCTTATTTAATGTGCTGATAAGAGCGGTTAGAGCACTCACATCACAGGCGAGAGACCTGGGCTCAATTCCTGTACAGAGCGAAATGTTTGGGCAAGTTTCCTTATGCAACACTCAATCCACGACTGTTTGTGGGACACTGCTGCGCACAATTGGCTGCTGCGTTTCACCCACAAATCTACTTTAAAGTATAATAATAATATATTCTGTGAAGCGCTTTGAGATGTCTCGAAGATGTGATAAGGCCAGATATCAAATGCAAGGATTATTTACTTATTATTATTCATTGTTTTGTCCATCTGAAGTTTAAGTTAAATTTGTTTCCTCTCAAGCAAACTAAATCCAAACACCAGGTTACCTCTGATCATTCAGCTTCTCACCAGTACCTGGTCACTGAATTCAGGTTCACATTCATTCTGTTTGTTCCAATCCAGTTCCGTATCCATGTGGAATGATAAATGTAGAACCCTCAAGAGTTCGTTCGATTGATCATCTTTCAGAGAATTATCACAACCTTCTTGAAAATGACACTGACATGGAAAACAACACTTATATTGAAATGGTATTAAATGATACTAATGATGAGGAAAACAATACCAGCACTAAAGAGATTATAAGTTCTATTGACGCTACGAGTCATTTATTCCGTATTATTGGTGGCAATATTTGCACTCGAGGAATGTGTCCTTGGCAGGTGAGGTTTCTTTCTAAAATACTATCTGTTCATTTGATTCAAAATCTTATTAATGTATTGAATGGGTTAGCAGACTACAGAATGGTAGCCCGGAACACCGTAATATTAAATGGAATCTGAAATATTAAACCATTCGTCAAACCATAGAACATGTTTTATTTGATAGGAAATGTTGTTACATAGTAAAAAAAATCTTTACGCACTTTATAATTCGTCCTCTAGATCAGTTTGAGAAATTTGAGTATTTATGCTTCCCATGAGTGACCATTAAAAGATTTTGTGAACTGTAATTATCTCCATAAATGTGGCTGAAGAGGAAGCCAAGAGCTGAATCCCCAGTGTTTAGTGCCCTTTAACTGCAGTTGTTTTTATTATTGTTAAGTAATAGGAGTGTGAAAGCTTAATCGATGAACATAGCTTTTATTGGAATCCTCCCTAGAAAACCCCAAATTAGAAAGATTGTGTGAGCGACACCTGTGCACATTTGCATCAAAACTGTGCTGGTAACTAAGTTGTTTTCATTGATTTGGTCGATTCATGTGAGGTTTATGCAAATCATGTTAAGGTATCTTTGAAGCAGTGGCATAATGTTCATGGAGATCAGAATCGGAGACTTTTGGATAACTCGCTATAACCCATAATTATAGAAACTATAATTATTATTATTAAACTGTAGGAAAAGGGTGAACCTTTACCCTAATTTGAACCCTTTTGACAGTCATGGTGGGGTCTGTGCATGCTTGAACCCCACAGAAGTTAAAGAATAGTATAACCCTTCTACAGTATCCAATCATTGTGTTAAGACTGTTTCATTGGTGTGGTCTTCCAGAATCCCAGGTTGCAATTGTAGGGGAGACAGCTGATATGATATGAATGGGCTGTGAAAGTGTTTGATGTGAAGGTGAAGCCTATTTTATTGATTGAGAAATCTAAACAAAGAATCAACAATCATAATATGAGCATTGTCATATTTAGAAAGGAGAGATGGTTGAGATTGCTTATCTTGGGTTTAAAGCCCGCTGGAGGAAGGCAAAATAGATTTTCTTATTGCATGTGGAGTATATGTGCTTGAAGTTTAATAACAAATCCCCCATTGGCCTGTTACAAGGTTAAAATACTTTCAAAATTTTTCCTTATTTTTTCACACTACACAATGTACCTTAGCTTCACCGATCCTGATCACAGTGCATTATTTACAATATAGAAATGTGATATTGACATGGCATGTGCTTTCTTGCTGAGATAGATAGCTGGTTTACACCTGGATGTATTTGAGTTGTTCCACTCTTTAGAAAATGTTGCTCAAAAGCACCTTCCTGTTGAGTAGCTCTGCAAAACTCATTTTGTTTTCTCCAGGTGTTGATAAATGATGATGGGAAATACGGATTCTGTGGAGGGTCTTTGATCAGCAGCTACTGGGTTATCACTGCTGCCCATTGCTTTGTAACTATAAAGCCACATTCAATTACAGCAGGTAAGTAATCTAATAACTGACAATTTTCCAGGAATAAATCATTTACAAGACTTAACAGATATACTAGCCTGTAGAATGTGATGGGATAGTAGAATTCTCTCCCCTGGGGCAGAAGGCTCCAGGTTCAAGACTCACATCAGGACCTTTGAGCTCACAGTCCAGGCTAACATTCCAGAGTAGGACTGAGGGAGTTTTGTAATTTCAAAGGTGTCCATTTTTGGATGAGACATTCAACTGAGGTCAAGTTGGTGTATGTTAAATATTCCATAACTTGACTTGAAACGATGCTGCATCCAGTCTCCTGCCCATCACTCCTCCAAATAGAGGGGGAAATTGGGCCATGACAGACCTTGACATTGACACAAAGTGGAGTGTTTCAATTCTCTCTACAGTTTTTTTTCACACATAGAACTAAGAAGGTGTAGAAAGGTGAAATTGTCTGATTCATTTTCATTCCTAGGTGAATATGATAAACTGAGAAGTGAAGACGTGGAACAGACTGTGTTAGTGGAGAAGTTAGTAATCCATCCTCAGTTTGACCCTATCACATACGACAACGATATAGCCCTTTTGTACTTAAGCAGTCAAGTGAATTTTAACCAGTTCATTTCTCCAATTTGTCTGCCAAACTACCATCTGAGCCACTTGCTTCTGGTGGAAGGACAGACTGGATACGTCAGTGGCTGGGGATTGACCAATGAAAGAGGCAGGTCATCTCGTTTCCTGCGACGTGTAAACCTGCCCTACATTGAACAGGAAACTTGCATAAAGTCAACACAACTGTTGGTCACAGACAATATGTTCTGTGCTGGATATGTGAACCAGGAGAGAGATTCCTGTAAAGGGGATAGTGGGGGACCCTATGCAATGAATTATCAGAATGCATGGTATTTAACTGGTTTAGTTAGTTGGGGTGAAGGTTGTGCCCAACAAAATAAATATGGAATGTATACCAGGATCCCCAATTACTTATCATGGATATATGAAAGTTCATTAGAGCACAGCAACCATTCCCAGCACCTGAGATACAACCAATGATGTAGAGATGACAAACTTGGGCAACACTGAGTTACTAAATGGGACACTATGTAACATCTCCAGAGATACTGATGTCTTTTCCAAACTTTATGCTCCTTATTTCATCTTCAATAGCTTCTCCTCCTTTCCCTAGCCAGTTCCCTCCATGTGCCAACAAAACTCATGTACTTAACTACAGTTACAGCAATAACTATTCAAATTCCATCAGTGGTTGAAGCAGCTGGCCTAAAATAGCTGAATGCATTGCTGAAAAGCCAAGTTTGTTCCATGGTCGAAAACTCATGCTATTTACATATACAGCAGTAGGTCAGAAATGTTGTATACCTTAATTAGCTAATTTGTCAGACAGTCCAGGACATCTTAGAATTAAGCAGCCTTATATTGTATTGCTGTATTCTTGTTGCAGGAAATAAACTGTTTTATTAAACCATAACAAGTGGATTATTTGTACTTATACTGTAAAATTCCTACCCTGCTTGCAGGACTCCAGTCTGACAGCATTAAATGCAATCAATTTCTCCCCCTGCTCTGCTCAATGTGCTTCAACCCCACCCTCATCCAATTGCATCGATGCAACATTTTACTATCTCCCACCCCTTACAACGCCTAATAATAATCCCTCAAAAAAACCAATAATAAATTGGTCACTTCAATCCACGACTGTGCGCAATTGGCTGCCGTGTTTCACCCACATAATACAGTATATTCTGTGAATCACTTTGAGACGTCTAGAAGACGTGAAAAGTGTTATATCAAATGCAAGGATTATTATTATTTTGTGGTTGTATGGAGTAAAATTGGCAATTAAACAAGTAAAAACAGTTTCATGCGATTGCACACCTACCATAAACTGGATTGAGATTTACCATGTACATGTCATTTCTAAAGAATAACAACCTGCAATAATAGAGACCAAGTTACATTAGCAGTGCTAAAAAGACGTGATATCAAAACATCTCAAAGTGCTTCAAGAGTGATTCCTCTAAAGTATAATGACCACAGCAAACTGAGTAGTCATTTGTGCAGAGCATGGAATCGAGCCATTTGGCTCAACTATTCTATTGTTGAGTCTTCACTGCTACTAATCTCCCAAAATTTCTGTAAAGGAAATAATGGGAGGGGAAACCCAATGCAACAAATTATCGAGACATGATATGTAATGGGTTTTAGTTAGTTGACGTGAAGGTTGTGGCAAATACAGAATGTATACCAGGGTTCTCAATTACCAATCATTCATAATGAAAGTTTATCTCTCTAATCTCCCTTGCTCCTCAGTTGCCTTCCCCCTCATGTATGCATCAAGTTTTCTCTTACACACATTTTCTGCTTCGGACCACAGCTTCTGGCAATGACCAGTGTCAAACTGGTCTGGTTGATTATCATCTGAGACATTGGAAGAAACTTCCTTCACTTTGAATAGTGTTATGGGATCTTTAACATCTTGCACAGGCTGACAGAACCTCAATTTAATATCTCATCCCTAGCAGCCCTATCCCAACAGGAAAGAGCATATGTTTTGTTAGGCAACCTACTCTCAACGATGGTATATTTGATTGATAAATGTAAGCTCTTAACACTAATGATATTAATCCTTTCAAAATGATGCAACTGAAAAGAATAAAGCAAAGGCCCGACAGAAAAACTCAACTCAGAAATATGCAGCACAAGCTGAAAACTGACAAACCACTTCGTCAAAGGCACTGCTTTGTGTTCAACTTTGTAAGCACATGACCCAATGCTGTTAAATTATGGTGTAACGCATCATTTAGCAATGCATATCAGGTCAGGTTGACAAATAACAAATCCATGTTCTCCTTTCCCAAAATACGAAGGTTTGCCAAATGCTTTTTCATAAAGATCATTCCCTCCATTGCAACAGAACGAATAGAGATGAACTGGGCTGAGAGCAAGATCTCTACAGCCTGTAAACAGTCAATGCAAACAACCACAAATCTTTACAAAGAGGGGGGTTTATTTGTTTAAAAAACTGTATGTCTAAGACCACATATTACATCATCAAAGCGTACAATTCATGTTTGATCAGGGGATCACTGACCATTTTCAAAGGAATTAATCCAAAACATGTCCAACAAACTCCAGCAGGCAGTACTGTGAGCTTACTGAAAAAGGGATGAAGTGTGCTCATCTGCCAGACACAGCAGATATTTTAAGCAATACAACCAAACATAGCACACGTGTATTTAATGGAATCCTTTGTTTCTTCCCTATTTAATTTGGCTCAACACTAGGCAGCTCTGCTTTTATGCGACTGATGTCAGTGTACTTTTAAAGAACAGTTTATACAACTTCTATACATTCATGGTGCACAAAAAATAAGATATCCATTTCAGGTTCTTAGAGCAGGCCCATAAATTCATCGTACACCTTGGTGCCAGAATTTTACAGCCAGTACTCACTGTTTCCACACCTCCACCAAACCCTGTAAAAGGATAACCTAAAAATAAATGAACCGAATAGAGCAGGTATGGGGTGCACAGTTGTGTATGTACATTGCTTCACTGTATTCAACAGCTTAGGACTACAGAGGCATTCTATTTCCTTCTATGCTGATTTTTACTGCGCGTGACGATTTGGTCATTTTCTTAATGTCTTGAAATCGGCGCATTTGTTTGTCGAGACGATTGAATGTCTTCTTGGCTACTCCCTGAAAGAGAAAGGACAAAGTATTTGTTAATGCCATATATGCCTGGTGGGAAGTTTAGTCAAGAGCTGATATAGCAGTAAGAAAGACCACCGAAAACTAACACTGTGCCGTTCGCCTCACACATGAACAATTGATATTTCAGTGAGGTAACAGAGCAGTGCAGGTCAGAGTGGAAATGAGCTGCAGCACCTTTAGGGAAGAAGCAGAGAAAATTGGAGGAGGGCAGTTTTCAAGCAGATATTTAGCTTTTTCCCAGATGGCAAATTGTTTATGGAAAGCAGAAAGCATATGCCCTGTACCTTGTGCACTTAAGGGACTGTCTTGTTGGTGCAAGAACTGAGGGAGCAGAAGTGACTGTGGACAGGTGAATGTACTTTCCTTCAGAATGAGTAGAGCCACAGAAAACAATCTCCACATTCCAAACGCATGCAGAATGAGCTTTGATTTCACACTGTTAGAGGGAAGGCTCAGCCACTAACTATTATTTCCATTTACCCTGGAGTCAGGCTGACAACTGTCTGAGCAAAAATACTAACTGCATTGCCAAAACTAAAATCCTTACAAATACTGTGAAGCTGCACAGAAGTTGTAAAGATATCATTTTTCCCTTTAAGGATTAAGGTTAAACCAGGGCACCATCAGCTTTTCGTCTCCCAAGGATTTGCATCTACACTCGTAGAAGATGTCATAATATTTCAAATACAGAAACATTTATCAGCAAAATATTTATGTTAGCTTGCTTGTAAAATCCTATATTGGTCACGTAGCTGGCAAGACTTATGGTCTCGTTGCACACAAACACACAAAATAATCATTTGTACAGGACGTTGGAGCTGCCTAGCACTTGGCCAACACATTCAGGAGAGGGGAATAGGAACCTTTTCCATGTCAGCATTGTACAAGTGCACTACTATTGTAAATTGAGCTAATAAATAATTCTAAAAAAAATTCTCAGATTAACCTGTTAAACAATTAAAGCGCTCCAGAACACTACCCCATGTGAAAAGCGTTATATAAATGCAAGTTGTTGTTGTTAACATATGTAAGGCCTCCATCCTCCTTACATACACAGACACGCTTCTTCTACCAGACAAGCATGTCTGAGCAACCAACATGTTATCGATAAAGATAAATTACCTTCAATAAAAAAAACAATGCTCTTAGCAAAGGGCAAAGATTACCAAAGCACACGTGAGGCGTGAGAAGCAGCAGTCCCAGTTAGTGTTACTGAACACAATGCTCTGAACACCATGCAGTAACAGCATCACCGTATCAAGGAAGCGAGATGCCAGGTCACACAGGAAAATGCCACCACTTACACACCCCTGGCGGGTACCACACAATCAGCTCATTCTGGCACCATCTACAATGGCATGTGATTCCCATCAATGCTGAATTTGACAGCTCCCTGCATCCTGTTAAGCCTCCTCTTTTCTGCCGACACCCTCTTGTGTTTTTCCAAGCGGGTGACGGGCTTCTTTGTTGACCCATGCTAATGGAAAAAAGGAGAAGATCTATATGCTGAAGAATACTCGATCCATAGTTGAATACACCCTGTGCACCTGTTCTCAATGGGCCGTGGGTAACAGAACAGGCAAGTAACTTTTAAAAATGTCAACTGTGTACCTTCAAAGTGATCACAGGTCTGGCACAGCAAACTTCAAACGCAAAAGAGCTTGCTCCATCCTGTACTGATGACATGCCTCAATCCCAGTACCCAACCAGCTATCGCACTCCTGCATTCTTCCCGGTTTCCTCCCTCCTCCTCCCACCTTCTGGGGTATGAAGTTCTGAGAACAGCATCTCTTTAGCGATGCCGCGGATGAGATGAAACCCATACACCTCCACCGGGTGGCGCTGTGTACTGGTGCTCCAACACAACTGACCATTACACTGCCTGTTTTTTAAGAATATACACGGCTGAAAGAAACTCACCCGGCTCGTCTCGATCTCCACGTTCCACTTTGGTCTGACTACATAGTCGCGGTTCGATGGCAACGGCACTCTTGCTCGCGCACAGAATCCCGGGTCACCCGGTCTCAGTGCTCTGAAATTAATATGCAGGCAGTTTGCACGGGTGATAATTCCCACTCGCTAAAATGCAGAATGGGAGCGGTGAGAGTGATGTGAAGCAATCCTGGGATTGATTTCAAAAATCAAGATTCTGAAAGACTCCAGCTCTTTGCAAAAAAATATAAAAAGCCTAGTTTTTAGAATTTATAATACGTAAATAATGTGTATGAACATTATGCATGTAGTTTAAATGGATAATAAGCAGTGAGTTGATGAATCACTGATCACATTACTGAACGTCTCTGATTCTTCCTCATCCACTGTTACGACAAACAATTATTCTCTCACTATTTCAGCCAGGTCTTTTTTCTGAAATTAACTCACTGTCCTAGCAGGTAGCTATTTTACTCCTTTAACTCACCCACTGTCTGGTTTTGTTATTCTTTTGCCTTGCAACTTACTGCTGTAGATGATAATTACTTGCTACTTACTTTTCTTCTCCTGTGAGCACCTTGTCCAGATCTCTGCGAGGCGTCTGACCACCCAAGCTGAAATAGGACACACGGAAAGAAACTCATCAGTTTCCAATTATTTCCCTCACATTCTAGATGTACAGTTGGGTGGACTTCCTGATGTTTACACGTGCAGGGTGGGGAGATTATATTCCTGCTTTATGTTTCAAACAGCAGTACACCAAGTTATCACATTCTTACACAAACAACACATAAGGATGCTCTTTAAAGCATCAGTCTGACTCCAGTACGGTACAGTACATTGGATCAAGTTTTCAACCATAAAAGATTCAATCACAGGCCTCAGTGGAGTATGGCACAAAACATTAAAAAATTACTCAAAATAATGTTTTGTAACAAAAATCGGAAAAGGCACCTGGACGTAAATAATCAATCAACACAAAAACATAATCAAGTATACAACACTACTTTGGCCTAAATTTGCACCATGGGTGTTTATGCACTCTCCACAGGGACTTGTTTTAGACTCTTACATGGAACCTGAGTTTAGTGCTCCCAATAAAACTTGCTTCATGCCATGTCATGATGTGACCAATTCTTCCCAGCCAAAGACACAGACAAATAAATTCACCATTGAAGTGACCATATATTCGATTTTAAATTGGCACCACCCGTCAAAGGTGAAAGCAGCTAGAGTCCAAGTAACTGAGACCAAATGTTTATCTTATGGCTTCACTTAGAGGACAAGAAGAATATTACTCAAGCATAAATTACTGTACACACAAATAAGGATGTGTAGGATAATTTCCCATGAATTTGGTTGCTCTTTCAATTGAATAGAAATATACAAACACTATAATACTTTGTCCAGATAGTGACAAAGAAATTTTAAGGGCCGAGGGGTGGCCTTATAGGCAAGGTAACAGTTTGTTGTCTCTAACCTCTCACAACCACCAGCAGAAGTGGCAGTTCCTTTCCAAATACTGCACCTTTTATGTTCTGTGTGTCTACTGTCAGCTGGTATACCTGCTAAGGCGCCTTCGCGTTGGCATCTGGTCAAGGTCTCTCTGTTCTCGTTCCTCCCTGGTCATCCCTTTGTAATTTGAAGTAAGGCCAAAGATTGGCCTTGACCACTCATCTGGAAGACAAGCAATTAACAAGAGACACATTGACAAGTTGTAAAATTACAGCTTTCATCAAACGAGCATTTGATCTTATCACTTTTAAGATGAGATTCAAATGTAGGTGAACAGAATGAATTATACATTTTTTAAATATCCCAATTTCTCAATAAATGCATGTACTGTAGATATGCTACTGAACAATATTTTCCATGAAGATCACATGGTTAGTGACTCCTTTCAGCTGAAGCATGAGGTTTGCAACAATTCGATAGAGCAAATTAAGCTTTGGTTCCTATTCCTGATCAGTACACCAAGTAACTACCGGTAGATATGGGATTGTGAATTTTAGACGAGGGCAGGGAACATCCAGGCTGTTAGGGTTGAACATTCGAGTTTTAAACTCACATAGGAAAAATTGGTATTTAAAGAAAGGTATCCAAAGGTTCCTGGAGCTGCCATATAGGTACCATTCCATAACACAAATCACCACCTTCAAGGGAGTAACCAAGAAAGCGAGGGAAGAGAAGTGAACCTACTGATGAGCTTTCCAGCTAGTTCTTTGTTACCCCTGCTCTCCTTTGGATGTTTGTACAAGTACATAACACAACGACCGATCCCACTGTGCTTCAGAGTCTCCTGACTCACACTGGGCAACTGCAAGAAGATAGAACCAGTCAACAATATGTAACAATTTTGTAATGCAAATACAAAATATGGAACAGCAACGAATCGCGGGTAAGGCGGTAATATTAAGATCAGTAGACAGATACATTGCAGAACATGTTAGTCTTTATTGATATAATTTCTGTATTTAGTAAAATATTTGTTGGGAGGTACAATAATCTAAGCCATGGGTTGCAGTATAAATACAACGTTCTACTCTGCATCTCTTTCAACTAAGCATTAAAACGAATGGAGGGAAAAAACAACAGAATTCAAACTATTGAAATCAGGGTCTTCATTATAAAAGTTTCATTCTTTTGACTGCAGCTTCTAAATATTTCTGCCCAATGTTCTACGACTTCCCATTCAGAAACTAAACTACATTGCATAGGTTTTTCCCTTCACCTCCCCTTTGAAGTTCCAAGTCCACTTCCAGGAGAGATTGAACCATCTCCTACATCACGTTTAAAACTGTTCATGATAAGATTCTAACTAGAAATCCACCAATAAAGCACAAATTGCAACCAAGAAATGAACATCACACCTTTAAAACACCACCAGTGACACAAGGCTATTAAAGCTTAGGCCAGGTGACAATCAGGACAATTCACCATCTCTCACCTCTTGCAATATCTTAAGCAGTTCTTCTCGAATTTTCAGATGCGGCAAGCTCTTGTCGGGTAGCGGGGTTAGCCATTCTTTAATAGCAGACATCACTCCGCTGTCAATAAATGTATCTTTCAGATCTTGTCTGCAGGTAAAGATAGTCATAACATTGCCACAGTTTTTCAGGATACTCGGTGCATAAAATCAGTCACTCAAAAAAAACACATCTAACTCCAATTTAGGAGGATTTAATGACACATGACACTACTATTATTGGTCTTAAAAGCATGAACAGTTGAGTGGATCCCCAGGGACTTAATCCAGAAATTATCCATTATGCAATGAATGTTAATGTGTAACTTCACTGTGAGTGCTCTAAACAAACCTCATCTACCGTATCAATCCTATTTTCATACACACTTTTCATCTTTGTTTTCTATGGTATTGGGGATATCAAGATCACTCTTTCCAGTATGGTGAAATCTAATGCCAAACAGCACATGAAGACCACATCTCTCACTTAATCCTTATCTGGCACACTGTAATGCTCACACAGCCTTCCAGACCAATAGTGAGATTAGCAGCTTGGATCAGGTTATCAGCCCAACTGTAGCATTGCCGGGCATCAATGAAATGGAAAAGAAGTAAATTTGCCTTACTTTTTCAAATGCATCACTACTGTGGGTAACAAGGTTAACTTCTTCAGCGCTGGCTTCTTCTTGCCATTCAACTGCTGGTCCTCCTGGATAAAGATAAGGTATAAGAAGGGCAATTGATTTTGCTACTTCTGAATTCAGCACGGTTTTCAAAGCTATCAGTCATCTTCAGTATAATGAATAAATCTGCAGCGTATACACTTGATGGATGTACTGATGTCTCAGTATGTCGGGCTGGTTTTAGACTGATCATGAGGACTCCTTTCATTAAAGAAGCAAACTACACAGTGATTCTGTTCACTGCCACACAGGGACTCCACAGGGTTTACTCAACACCCAAGTTCTGCTCAATGAGTTGCTATTTGAGCCTAAACATCAGGGCTGAGGATGAACACTAGCAGCAACTGTCTAATCCCACACTTAAGTAGCAGGAGACACACAAAGTCAGACAGCAGTTCAATAACGTGCATTCCCACAGGAGTAACTGAGGAGTTGCAGACAGAGCTGGTATCTGACCCAACGCAGGACCAAGTACTGAAGCAAATCTCTGTCTATAACAAACTCACCACAGCAGCTTCATTCATCTTGGTGATCATAGCACTGACAACATCGTCTGCGTCACTGATAAACGTGCCTCCATCACGATTCCGCCTTCGTTTCCGGTTTTGATCTTTCTTCTTCTGCAGCATCATCTCAAAATCAGACACAAAGTCTAAGCTGTACAAAAAAAATTATATTTATACCAATTTGATGTTCTAAATATGTTTAAATTTAAACACATACATTTTTAAAAATCACCTTTTTCAAATAGAAATTATTCTGCACCAAAGAGTGTGGAGAAGGGAAAATTAAATTACCCCTAAATGAAGGTTTTATTTGGCTAATTTTGAGATTATCAGGACATATTTCACCCCCACCTTCATCTGTCTGACAAGAATGTAGGCATTGAGAGGTAAACCAATAGGACTCCAACTTGTTCTGAATTCTTGTCTAAATTTCCCCCCAGCCACTGTTTATTGGCACAATGGCCCAGATCACAACCAATGCTTTCGTTAACCTTAGTTTTCAGCTCCCCTGCTGAAATTTGAACAGTGAAGGTGTCAAAAGATGGATTTCACCATCAAACACCAGAATATAAGATAATTATATAAAGTAACTGATTAACTTTTTCCAGAAGGCTGTATTCACATTTATCCTTTGGGATTTTTGAAGTAATCTTTTCTGGGGTGGGGCTGGAATGATAGCTCACTCAAAGATTTCCAAAATTTGCAAAATCACCAGGAACCAACTAAGTGAAAAACAGACACACAGAAGTTTGTTCCAAGCTTGTTTAAGTACTTCTACTTACTCCCTTCCTTTTCCTCGGATCTCACTGTCCGAGTCAGACTCTTCTGCAACCATCATCTTTTTCTCTGCCTCAAGAGCCGCCTTCTCCCCATCGAGGTCTTCTTGGTTAAAGCCCTGGGTAAATATTAAGTGGAGAATCAAGCTCACTTTGAAACAGCTGTCCAAATGATAGAGAGAGGTACATTATAATGGTACATTTTATATATCTTCTCTAGTAGAGGACAGATGCCAGCGCATCACCACAGCGAAAAAGGATAAGTATTCACAAAACTGAAAATAGTTTAGAGGAGGGCCTCTCAAGGACATTGTGTTTCGTAGAGCCTTTCTTTCGCCTTTAAATTCACAAGCACTGACTGTTTAAATAAGGACCATTTACAGGATATTAAAGCTAAATATAATTATTTTGTGAAATACGTTAATTTTATCCTGAGGAGTACTGACTGCAAAGTAGTCTGGCAAGAACAAGTCAACAAGTGAACCCTTGAGTGAAAACAATTAAATACGTACTGTGAACTCCTCTCCTTCATCATCAGATTCCCCAAAAATGTCTGCTATCAGGGTTCCAACACCACCTCTACAGAAAGAATATAGAACCATTAGTGCAATTACTAAACATGATGTAGCAAAGTCACCCCTGCCCACTGATAAACAAACATTTGAAGGCCTTTCCCACCTATACCACCTTCTTAAAGTGCACGTACGAGATCAGCATCAACACATACCTACACATTGTTGTTTGATGGGGGCTGTGCCCAGGATGACAAACAGCAACGATTCTACACAGGAACAAAACTTTATCCTCTGAAATCTGCCAAATCGGCAGATTGGCCAAATGGCTTTCTCTGCTTTTTGTAAGATAAAATGTTCCTCATTTTTGAACTCACTGCCATCTTTGAAACCCTGCACTGATCCTGCTGTTCATTTATACACAGTATACTCGCCATATAAAATTCCCCTTTCCTATATTGGCAATAATGCACATGCATAGTGCCAGAAAGTGATAGACAGCAACCTGACAATCTTGGAAGTATTTTTTTAAGCCCATCTCATAAAACCATAGAAATTTATGTGGCCACTTCTGCCTCAAGAGCAGTCCTTTTAATCCCACTTACCTGCTTTTTCCCCCAAATTGCTGACTCTTTTTAGGGTATCTGTTTAGTACCCTCTTGAAGTCCAATATGAATTTTGCCTCAACTACTTCAATCTCCCAGTGCTTCCTATTTTGACAGTACCAAAACAAATTTGTGACGGTTTGACAGTTCTAATTTAAAATCATAAAATATTGAGAAATAAAAAATAAAAGTTTCAACAGTTAAGACAAAAACAGAGGGCTTAGTTCCATCCTATCGACCAGTTGCATTCTATTGACCTCACAAACAAAACATGTACCAAAAGAACAATATTTAAGTTCACTTAAATTTGAAGCCTTGCTTCTACAAATAAATACGCACAAACTTAGTATGAAAATTTCCTAATTCACAGTGTATAATTCCATTATTTAGTTTGTTGCTTTGTGCTACCAGTAGCTGTCAATGCTTGTTGGTTCCTTTATATACATACACCCCTTACAATATTCCAAAGATGAAATCACCATTTCTACAGATTTTCAAACAAATAATTTGTCACTCATCACAAAAGAAATTCTGTCAGGCATGTACAGTCGTGAGTTTACTTACTCATCTTCAGACTCACTGTCACTGCCAAACAGACCAGATTCGTTTTTTTTCGAAGGCTCCTTATTTTCCTCATCTTCATCGCTGTCAGATAAGACTGGCTTTGACTGTCGCTTCTCTGACGCAGCGTCACTGTCAGAGTCCTCGGCAGCTGAAAGGATGCGCGTTTTCTTAGCAGCAGAGTCACTGTCCGCCGACTCCTCGTCTTCAGAAACCACATTCTTTTTCTTAAGAGCCGTGTCACTGTCCGAGTCATCGCCATCTGAGAAAACCTGCTTTTTCTTTGTGACAGCGTCGCTGTCAGAGTCCTCTGCATCGGAGGCAACTTGTTTTTTCTTAGCGACGTCACTGTCTGAATCAACATCCGAGACAACTCGCTTTGTTTTTGAAATGCCAGTGTCACTGTCGGATTCTTCACGGTCTGAAAAAACAGGTTTCTGCTTAGAAATGCCGCCATCACTGTCTGAATCCTCATCGCCCAAGTCTAACCGTTTTTTCTTCTTAGAGATACCGGGATCACTGTCTGAATCCTCGGCACCTGAGACAACCTGTTTTTTCCTTGAAGAACCAGCATCACTGTTAGAATCTTCAGCCTCAGATACCACTTGTTTTTTCTTTGGAGTGACTGCATCACTGTCTGAATCCTCACCACGTGATACCTCCATTTTTTTCCCCAGAGTACCAGTGTTGCTGTCTGAATCCTCGCCACCTGAGACCATATGTTTGTTCTTTGGAGCACCTGAATCACTGTCTGAATCCTCGCTGCCTGAGACACTGTGCTTTGTCTTGCCGATGGCAGAGTCGTTATCTGAATCCTCACCCTCTGAAGCAATACGGCTTTTCTTAGCAGCTATAAAGTAGCAGAAAAAATTTATGATTTGAACAGCGCTGTTCAAATATGCTGCGAGTCATATTAAATTCAGGGATTTCATACAAACGGGTATATTTGATGGGAGCGTGGGTTGGGCATTCAGCCCTTTGACCTTCAGTCACAAAACTAAAATGACAGTTCTTACCATTGTATTTAAAGTGTGAAAGCAATTGAGTGAAGGAATTAAGATATGTACCCAAAAGAAGAAGTTATAATATTTGAGAAGTAAAAATCTCCCTTCAAACAAGGTTAAAAAATCTCATTCGAATTATACTTAAAAAATAAAAGTTAGCAGACAAATGGCAGTCTCTAGATTGAGGGAGAATTGAGGGCTACGAGAGGACTAAGCGAACAACTGAATATGTCAACTCGTTCGCTGTGCGAGGTACACCCTGAATACATTTGATGCATTTTCACTCTCTGAACAAAGATTGTACCAACACAGATGTTTGTCGAATCTTAGATATCTCAGTACAAAAAGCCCTTCTTGCCTTTGTCCCTTCACTGGAGCCATCAATTTTACTCCCTTTTCGATATGTTTTATATTCTAAAAATGTATGTATATGGAGACCAAGAGAGGTGGCAGGAAATACCCTTGGACAGGCTACTAGTATGCTGTCCCAATATATGACCTGTGCATTTATCAGGTTCTCTGCTAAATCAAATACAGTTTGAGGGGGACTATATTCATAGTTACTCACTTACATTTATTCATTGCTTCTTTTTCATCTTCACTGTCAGACAAGACTGCCTTCTTTCTCTTTCCTAAAACAAAAGAGAAGGGTATTAAGTATACCACAAAGATACTAACAATGTCTTTGTATTGACAATGCTAAGTGGAGGATACTTTTCAGAAACTTATTTCCTCTTCCGAAAATGCATCAGGAGGAAAGTAAATGTTTTTTTAAAAATTTTGAGGGACAATAATCAGATTAAGAAGCAAACAGTCAAATTTAATTCAGAAAACAGAAGTAAGATAGTAAGAATGAATAGGGAGAATGGGGAGATTAATTAAAGTGTTTAAATTTTGTGCGCTTAAATTTTTTAAAATGTCTGTTTGTTTAGTGTGATGGTTAATATTGTTGTGACAATTCTATTCCTGACAATAAGAGGTTAAAACCTATCACATGGGTTTAATTTCAGCATCACAGTCTGTGAACTGATAATGTGGAAAGCCACCTGGCCCAGGGAGACTGTATTTTTCCTGGCTATGTCAGTTCAGTTCGAGGCTGGAGATCAAATAATGTCACGCTTTCCTTTTAGTTAAATATATTGTGGAGTATAACTGCCACAGTCTGGACACACCTGCAATGTCTCCATTTTCCTCGTCCTGCTCCTCATCGCTGTTAGATGGTTTGTGAAGAGTGGGCTCTTCATCATCATCGTCACTTGCCCCTCGGCTCTCAAGTTTTTGCGATATTCTCCCATTCTTCTCACTGTCTGAATAATTCATTCGCTCATGGCTTTCTTCATGCTCTCCCCCACTGTCTTCATGTATGGAGTGATTCCCTTTATCGCTGTCTACTTCGTCGTCTGACTGCTCGCAGCTTTGAGCTTTCTTTGGTTCATCATTCTCAGAATCGCTTGTCATGTGTTTTTCTTCTCTGCTGTCTGGTTGCTCGGATATGTTGCTATCCTCTCCATCACTGTGATATTCTTTGTGGCCTTCATCCTAAAGGAGAATACATGGAAAACTTCAGAATGCCATTTTCATCCTGCCTCCTTTTTTCTGTCGACTCTTGTCAGCCTTGCAATTTTCATGCATCTCTGGGCCTTCAATCTCAGCCCACAAGTGGAACAGAGTGAAATCTGGGATTCAGCCCTGTTCTGTGTTCTTTTCAATCCATCCAGTGTGGGAAAGCCAGAAAATATTATTAAATGCTGCTTTAACCCCAGAATTCATAGAACAAATGGAATACTGTATCAATTCCATCAGAATAGACTCTTAAGTTTTATCAGTCTAGTCGACAACAGTTTTTATCTTCCTTTCCCACGGGTTTGTCTCCACTCAGCAACTGCCTAAGCTGGTACATTTGAAATAGGAGCTCACTACTCAAGGTATTCTATAGTACAATACTATCCACATCATTGTGTGGAGTATTCGTAAAAGGTTCTCAAGCTTTAATGTGCCAATGACTTGCTCAAGATCTTATTGTTTTAATAGTGAGAGAATCAGTTTAAACCGACACCACCTTCATTAATTAGATTTCAGTTTACATACAAGTACCATTCAAAGCCATTATTAATCACAGATCTGAAAGTAACAACTTTATTATGAAGTGGAAATCGCACACAGAGTAAAAGAAAACAGCCCAAACAGTTCATAGATAAGCAAAGTGTGACAAGGATTGATTACCTCTGAATGATGCCCCACGCTGCTACCTTCAGATGCTGCATGGTTTTCATTGAAATCCTCCTGTTCATCAGAGCCAGACTCGTGTTCATCCTGCACAGGTGTCGCTCCACCATCATCTGTTCAAAATAAAACAAAATTTTCTGACATACTTCTGGCAGGCACTTCACATCAAGTCTCCTCGTTTCTCTCAGTGTCCTGGCCAACAATCCCCCAAATAAAATTCGGCACTTATTTCATAACTGTTTGTGGGACTGACTGCCACGTTTCCAGTATTATTAAATATACAGTTAACCAACTTTACAGTATATTTTGCGAAGCGCTTTAGATGGCCCCCCAACGACATAATAAGGCACTATATCAAATGCAAGGATTACTATTATTACTATTAAAACAATTAAATAGCTTACTGTTGGAGAATGTACAGGACAACAAGTGTTTTTATGTCATAACCTGATCTCTTATAGTTTGCACATTGCATTGATACTTGCATTGACAGGGCATGGGACTTGTCCATCAAACACTCTGGGGTCCACAAGCCTCAGCTCTTGCCAACCTGTGCCTTATATTCTCTGGAATTAGGTAATAATAATCCTCGCATTTGATAAAGCGCTTTTCACGCTTCTAGACGTTTCAAACTGCTTCACAGAATATACTGTAAAGTGAATTGACTGTATTTGTGGGTGAAGCGCAGCAGCCAACAGCACAGCAGCGTCCCACAAACAGTTGTGGATTGAACTGACCAATTTATTTATTTTTTTTCTTGAGGGATTATTATCAGGCATGTGAAGTAAAGAAAATTGTCCAAGGTTTTGCCCTGCCGGGAATCAACCCCAGGTCTCTTGCTTGCGAGGCGAGCGCTCTAACCACTGAGCTACAGACTCCACTACAAATAAGCAGAATTCGTTCCTCCATTCTAATAAATATTTTAGGAATGTCCACCTATAGGTGGGATGCATGGAACTCTGTTCGGTTTGGATGCTCTTAGGCATAGCAATGGGTTTCCTGCGTGTGTCATACCCCAGCCAACAAAAAAAAGTGACTGAAACTAACTAAAGAAAAGGTAATCAGAATATTACATCAAAAATCAGAACTTAGTATTCAAAAATCAGCACCAATACCAGAGAAATGAACTGATACCCCTAAAAAATTAACATTGGTGATAGGTTACCATCCAAATATTGTAGCCCAAAAGATCAAAACAGTGCAGGGCAACCCCATCATCACATGTGTCTTGGGTCCATAAAACTAACACACTGAAACGCGAAAGACATCATTAACTGACAATCAGCGCATGGCTCACACAACAACTGACAAGCATAACATTGTACCCCAAGAACAACAACAAATTACATTTGTATAACGCCTTCAGGTCGGGAGGACGTCCCAAGGTGCTGGGTACACCAGAAGCCAGTATCCCAACAACTGACAACCAGAGCACAAGGCCCAATAACTGATGGTATAAACACAATAATACTGATAATAATAATTCCACCCGCAAAATAGACAATCAATTCACTTTACAGTATATTCTGTGAAGCGCGTTGAGACGTCTTGGAGACGTGATCAGGCGCAATATCAAATACAAGGCTTATTATTATTATAAACACAATACAACAACAACAACAACAACAAGATTACATTTATATAGCGCCTTTCACGTCGGGAGGACGTCCCAAGGCGCTGGACAGTTGGGTCGGGACCCGAGCAGGGGGGACATGGTCAGGGGGAGGGAAGGGAGGGAGGGAGCGAGGAGGGGGGAAATGGTCAGGGGGAGGGAAGGGAGGGAGGGAGGGAGCGAGGAGGGGGGTAGAGTCGAGAGGGGAGGTGAAGGCACGGTTGAAGAGAAAGGTCTTGAGACCGGCCTTGAAGGAGGAAATGGAGGAAGCGGCGAAGGCACTGGGGGATGGAGTTCCAGAGCCTCGGGGCTGAGAAGCTGAAGGCCCGGCCACCGATGGTAAGGCGGTTAGGGCGGGGGATGTGGAGCAGACCGGAGCCAGAGGAACGGAGGGTATGGGCAGGTAAGTAGGGGGATAGTAGGTCGGAGAGGTAGGAGGGAGCGAGGCCGTGAATGGCCTTGTAGGTGAGGATGAGGATCTTGAAATCGATCCTCTGGGGGATGGGGAGCCAGTGGAGGCGAGCGAGGGTGGGAGTGATGTGGTCACGGTGTCTGGTGCGGGACAGTACACGAGCTGCAGAGTTCTGAATGACCTGCAGCTTGTGGAGGGAGGTGGCGGGAAGGCCGGCGAGGAGAGAGTTCCCATAGTCCAGCCTTGAGGTGATAAAGGCGTGGACCAGAGTTTCAGCAGCGTGAGGGGTGAGGTAGTGCCGTAGTCTGGCGATGTTCCGGAGGTGATGGAAGGCGGTGCCAGTTGTGGTGCGGATGTGAGGGAGAAAGGACAGCTCAGGGTCGAACAAAACCCCGAGGTTCCTGACTGGCTTTGAGAGGTGGAGAGTGCAGCCTTGGATGCTGATGCTGTCAGCGCCTGAGGTGCGGAGGCGCTGACGTGAGCCAATCAGGAGGGCCTCAGTTTTGCGCACGTTGAGCTGAAGAAAGTTCTCTCTTGTCCAGGACTCGATGTCGGACAGGCAGCTGTCAGGACATCGGTGGTCGTGGAGTTGAGGGTAGAGGAGGAAAGGTAGAGTTGGGTGTCATCCGCATACATGTGGAAGTTAACCCCATGTCTGTGGATAATGTCACCAAGGGGGAGCATATAGAGGGTGAAAAGGAGGGGACCGAAGACAGAGCCCTGAGGGACACCGCACGAGACAGTGCGGGGGCTGGAGGAAACGCCGTTAGTGGAAACAAAACAAAGACGGTGGGAGAGGTAGAACCTAAACCACTCAAGGACAGGGCCTTGAAGGTTGAGGTGGGAGGACAAGCGGTGGAGGAGGATAGAGTGGTCGACCGTATCGAATGAGACCGATAGGTCGAGGAGGACGAGGAGGAAGAGGGAGCCCTGGACGCAGATGGTCAAGATGTCATCAGTGACCTTGACCAGGGTGGTTTCGGTGCTGTGGGCAGCACGGAAACCCGACTGGAGGGGTTCAAATAGTGAATGGATGGAGAGGAAAGAGCGCAGCTGGGAGGCGACGACTCCTTCGAGAACCTTGGACAGGAAGGGGAGGTTGGAGATGGGCCGTAGCTTGAGAGCTGTGACGCATCAAGAGAGGGTTTTTTCCGTGTACCTGGTATGGCTGACACAATAACAAAAGGGTTCCCAGTAATCAGTAACTGACATCAAACACACAATCGGAGCTAATACCTTGATACAGGCAAAAATATCCAACAGGCGACAGATCCCTCTCTCCTTCCCCACCTCCTTCTCCTCCTTCCCCACCACCACCTCCTCCTCCTTCCTCACCACCACCTCCTCCTCCTTCCCCACCACCACCTCCTCCTCCTTCCTCACCACCACCTCCTCCTCCTTGCTCACCACCTCCTCCTCCTTCCTCACCACCACCTCCTCCTCCTTCCCCACCACCTCCTCCTCCTCCTCCTTCCCCACCACCACCTCCTCCTCCTTCCCCACCACCTCCTCCTCCTCCTCCTTCCCCACCACCACCTCCTCCTCCTTCCTCACCACCTCCTCCTTCCCCACCACCTCCTCCTTCCCCACCACCTCCTCCTTCCTCACCACCTCCTCCTCCTTCCCCACCACCACCACCTCCTCCTTCCCCAACACCTCCTCCTCCTTCCCCACCACCTCCTCCTCCTCCTCCTCCTTCCCCACCACCACCTCCCCTCCTTCCCCACCACCACCTCCTCCTCCTTCCCCACCACCACCACCTCCTTCCTCACCTCCTCCTCCTTCCTCACCACCTCCTCCTTCCCCACCACCTCCTCCTCCTCCTCCCCACCACCACCCCTCCCCACCACCACCTCCTCCTTCCTCACCACCTCCTCCTTCCTCACCACCTCCTCCTTCCTCACCTCCTCCTCCTTCCTCACCACCTCCTCCTCCTTCCCACCACCACCTCCTCCTTCCCCACCACCACCTCCTCCTTCCCCACCACCACCTCCTTCCCCACCCCACCACCTCCTTCCCCACCACCACCACCTCCTCCTTCCCACCACCTCCTCCTTCCTCACCACCTCCTCCTCCTTCCCACCACCACCACCTCCTCCCTCCCACCTCCTCCTCCTTCCTCACCACCACCTCCTCCTCCTTCCTCACCACCTCCTCCTCCTTCCCCCACCACCTCCTCCTCCTTCCTCACCACCCCTCCTCCTCCTTCCCACCACCTCCTCCTCCTTCCTCACCACCTCCTCCTCCTTCCCCACCACCTCCTCCTCCCCCCACCACCTCCTCCTTCCCCACCACCTCCTCCTCCTTCCTCACCACCTCCTCCTCCTTCCCCACCCTCCTCCTCCTTCCACCACCACCTCCTCCTTCCTCACCACCTCCTCCTTCCCCACCACCACCTCCTTCCCCACCACCACCACCTCCTCCTCCTTCCTCACCACCTCCTCCTCCTTCCCCACCACCTCCTCCTCCTCCTTCCCCACCACCACCTCCTCCTCCTTCCCCACCACCACCTCTTCCTTCCTCACCACCTCCTCCTCCTTCCCACCACCACCACCTCCTCCTCCTTCCTCACCACCACCTCCTCCTCCTTCCTCACACCACCTCCTCCTCCTTCCTCACCACCTCCTCCTCCTTCCCCACCACCTCCTCCTCCTTCCTCACCACCTCCTCCTCCTCCTTCCCCACCACCTCCTCCTCCTTCCTCACCACCTCCTCCTCCTTCCCCACCACCTCCTCCTCCTTCCCCACCACCACCTCCTCCTTCCCCACCACCTCCTCCTCCTTCCTCACCACCTCCTCCCTCCTTCCCCACCACCTCCTCCTCCTTCCCCACCACCACCTCCTCCTTCCCACCACCTCCTCCTTCCCCACCACCACCTCCTTCCCCACCACCACCACCTCCTCCTCCTTCCTCACCACCTCCTCCTCCTTCCCCACCACCTCCTCCTCCTCCTTCCTCACCACCACCTCCTCCTCCTTCCCCACCACCACCTCTTCCTTCCTCACCACCTCCTCCTCCTTCCCCACCACCACCACCTCCTCCTCCTTCCTCACCACCTCCTCCTCCTTCCTCACCACCTCCTCCTCCTTCCCACCACCCCCTCCTCCTCCTCCTCACCACCACCTCCTCCTCCTTCCCCACCACCACCTCCTCCTCCTTCCTCACCACCTCCTCTCCTTCCTCACCACCACCTCCTCCTTCCCCACCACCTCCTCCTCCTTCCCCACCACCTCCTCCTCCTTCCTCACCACCACCTCCTCCTTCCCCACCACCACCTCCTTCCCCACCACCTCCTCCTCGCTCCCTAAAGACACGAGGGCCCCGGTGTTGACCGGGCGGTGAGAGCGCGGGTGGGGTGGGGGGGGGGTGGGGTGGCCGTGCGTCCCGCCGTATCCCCGACACCCCTGAGCCTACCTTCCCCGCCGGGGTAGTACTCCTCCTCCATCGCCTCGCACACACCGGCCTGAGGCTCCCCCACTTCCCTCCCTCCCTCCTCGGCTCGTACACACACACACACACACACACAGGCCCCGGGAGCTCGGCCCCTCGGTCGCCGGCCGCACAAAATGGAAGCGCTGCACAGGCCTACACAGCCCGGCCAGTGCGCATGCTCGCCCGGGTCAGGGGGGAGGGGGCGGACCCCGACGGCACGTGACCCGCGGCGGCGGCGGCGCCAGATTCAAAACTCGCCGCGAGCGGAGGAGCGGTCAGAGCTGTGAGTGCGGCCGCACCGGCGATCTCTCCCGCTCTCCCCCCCCCCCCCCCCCCCTGCACACCGACTGCTCGTCGTCGCAGTCTTTCCACACACACACACACACACACACAAAGACGAGCCGGTGATTACCCGACGGGCACATGTTTTGAAGCGCTCCGAGGCGCTGCCCTGCTTGGAGGGCGCTCTGTGAGGGCGAGTCGTTTTTCCAGTCCAATCCTCCACTCGTATGTTGTTGTTGTTGTTGTATCACAGTGCAATGTGTCTTGTGCTGAATTCTGAACGACTCTCCTGCCCATAGCCTCCTCGGTATCCCCCCCCTCCCCCCATGGAAGCTCATCCAGACTGAATCATTGCTGATCATTCGTGGATGAATTATTTGGGGTTTTGTTTTGGATGTGACTGACTGATGGACATGGGGGGGGGGGGGGGGGGAAATGACCTCTTGCCAATGGCGGTTCGTGGATTACTGTTGGGAAATGACTGAAATGGATTATTGCTGGAAAGTCACAATAATAATCCCTCCAAAAAACCAAAAACAATAATTAAATTGGTCATTTTCAATCCACGACTGTTTGTGGGACATTGCTGTGCGCAATTGGCTGCCGCGTTCGCCCACAAATATACAGTCAATTCACTTTACAGTGTGTTCTGTGAAGCGCTTTGGGACGTCCTCCTGACGTGAAAAGCGCTATATCAAATGCAAGGATTATTATTATTATTATTATTATAATTCCACAGGTGATGGTTTCAGGGTCTCACTCCGTGCAAAAAAAAAATAATAATAATAAATCAGCTGAAATATACTATTTAAAGGAGTTGGTCGATGCATTAGCTGTTGGATGGGAAACATATGTCTTTCTAAATCCCGTCTCACTTGAGACCCGTTAATTTTATACTTTATGGTATTTTGTGCCGCACTGAACAATACACCGGGTTCGCGTGTGTTGGGAGTTCATTCTCGAGGTCACAGACACCCAATACCGCCCACGAGAGGCGATCCTCACCGTACACGGGGGGTGGAGCGGACCTGGGAGGAGGCCCAAGAGCAAAGCGGACCGGACAGAAGCGACCGCTGCCCTCTTGACAGCTGTTTGTCTGACGTCACCGCGGGCGGAGCGGCTCCGGAGGCGCAGGCGCAGTGCGGCACCAGCGGAACGTGGGCTTCATTCCACCGCGAGAGCGCAGAGCCCCGAGTGTCGGTGTCTGTGTGTGTCTCTCCCTGTGTAGTGTCTGTGTCGCTCTGTGTTTGTGAGTGTCTGTGTGTTTGTGAGTGTCTCTATGAGTGTGTTTGTGAGTGTCTGTGTTTGTGTCTCTGTGTGTTTGTGAGTGTCTGTGAGTGTGTCTGTGAGTGTGTCTGTGGGTTTGTGAGTGTCTCTGTGTTTGTGAGTGTCTGTGTCTCTGTGAGTGTCTCTGTGAGTGTGTCTGTGAGTGTGTCTCTGTGTGTTTGTGAGTGTCTCTGTGAGTGTCTCTGTGAGTGTGTCTCTGTGTGTTTGTGAGTGTGTCTGTGTGTTTGTGAGTGTCTGTGTGTTTGTGAGTGTCTGTGTGTTTGTGAGTGTCTGTGAGTGTGTGTGTGTTTGTGAGTGTCTGTGAGTGTGTCTCTGTGTTTGTGAGTGTCTCTGTGAGTGTGTCTCCGTGTGTTTGTGAGTGTCTCTCTCTGTATGTGTGTCCTTTTGTGAGTGTCTCTGTGTGAGTGTCCCCCTCTCTCTCTCTCTGGCCTCTGTTTGTGTGTGTCCCTGAGTTTGTGTGTGTGTGTGTGTGTCTGTGTGTCTGTGTGTTTGCCTCTCTGTGTCTCTTGAGTGTGTGTGTGTGTCCTTGTCCAGTGCTGAGAGACAGGAGGTGGTGAGTGAGCTCCAGTCCCCCCCAAAAACAAATGGACCACCCAGTTTTTGTGAAAGAAGAAATTAATAAAAATGTTTTGCAACAATCCAATATGTATTATTTCGTCATGTTTCGTTTTTATCAATAAAGTGAAAAAATGTAGGTTGGCAGTAACATGGTAAAATGTACCTCAATAGCATCAATAAACTGTCTAATGCATCAATGTCCTTTGAATGTTGGATGTGTGGGTTAAAATACAATCCCATTGTGTAGAGTGTTTCTTTTTAAAATGTGACAGTTTTCATTTTGTAAAACAGCGGAATTTGAAAGAATAAATTGATGATATTGCAATGTGATACAAAGTTTATTACACGAGAATGATTTCACAATTTGCAGCAATGATAGTATTTCGTAAGCGGAATAAAAGTTTGAAAAAGTTAATCTTCAAAATACTCAGTTCTTGAATTTGAATCTAAGCCTTTTTTTGGTCATTTTAGATGATATACATTGAGTACTTGATTTATTTTTACTGGGACCATTTGAATTACATGTATTCCTTATTTCTAATTTTTGGGTTGTGATCCTTGTCATCATTACTGTATACAAGGTACAAATAGCAGAAAAATGGAAAGCAATTAATCAAAAGGTTTTACTGAGATGGACTATTTCATATACTGTAGTTTCTATCATCAGGAGTGACAGCACACCTTGGTATACTTTTATTTTTACTGCCTCTGACTGGCAGGTACATTAAATTGCACTTGTACTGCAAATTAAATAAAATTTCATTTATCTAGGGTGATCTAGTCAAAAAGTTTACCCATTCTCCTTACCATGGGTGAAAATATTATATTATCCCAGTTCTTTGATAATTTTGCAATAGATCCGGTATTGCTCTCGGGTGTCACTGCATTTCATAATGAATATTACCGCTTTCCATTGAAATGACTAATACTGTATGGAGCAGATAATAACAATGTGCCTCAAAGTAAACAAACTGAATTTGTCTTTATTCTAAGTTTTCCTGATGCTTTCGTGACTGACTGAAATGAAGTTTGGCTGTTCATCTTTAGTGTGGTCGCACCTGCATTGGAAAGAAATGATAAGACATTAAATGACTACATTCTGGGACACTTCTGAAGTTTAGAGTAATTATAACAGCTGGAAATTGATTTCAAAAACTATTGAACATTTTATTTAAATCTATGGCGGTGAGGTAAATGGATTTACGAAAGATCAATGCTGAGTCTGATGTAGCTCCGCTATTAAAATATACAATTTATTGGGTGCCCTGGCTTTCCAAAAAGCTATTAAAAAGCTTTCCAAAAAGCTATTAATGGGTTTGCAACCTACAAGGTATGGGAGTCCACAAAGGGTATTATTTGCAACAATTGTCCTACACAAATGAAGGGTTGTGTTGTTTAACTATTATCGAGTGAGGGATAACACTAGCGAGAATGAGAAAAAGCACCAGGTGAACTAAATTTGTAAATAACACATCAAGAAATTTACGCATGGAGTGAATGGAGAAACATAATCTTGCCTTTAAATTGACATGGTCCAAAATGTAATCATGAGGCTGTAGACCTGGTAGAAATCACACTGTAGCAATGTGTCAGTCTGTAGTTCGGACACAGCTGTACACACCAGGAAGAGTTCAATCGCTGGTAGGTGCTGAACTGTCTCAACTGAGCACTAGCTGCTTACAGTTATCATTTGTGCCTTTGGACTCTGAGCTGGGAAGATTGGCTGCCGCGTTCCCCCACAAATATACAGTCAATTCACTTTACAGTGTGTTCTGTGAAGCGCTTTGGGACGTCCTGACGTGAAAAGCGCTATATCAAATGCAAGGATTATTATTATTATCTACGTTTGCCACTTGTGGTGCAGGATGTTGGGTCACCAGCAGTGCTGATGTAAGTACAATCAGCGTTTTCAGTAGGATTTTAAAACTTAGTTACCTTTTTACTTACTTCTGGTCACTTTCTGCACCAAATGGTGCTTGTTAATAAATAAAACCTGGGTTCTCATTGAGGGGTCTGGGAATGTTCTGCAGAGCCCACTGCAAGATGTTATCAATTGAATCCTGCAAGGAAAACAAAGAGGAAGTTTACAAGCACTGTATTACTTTGGCTTTGTGCTACCACACACTGCTTCTGTTTTGGGATTAAATTCAGGTTTCTCTCTGAATTTGATCCAGAGTTCAGATCTGTGCCCTGTTCAAATAACCAGGCACTTGCCTTGCCCCACCTCACCAGTGTCTTGGGACGTCCTCCCGACGTGAAAGGCACTCTATAACTGTAATTTTGTTGTTGTTGTCTTTGTGAGTCCTTTTCAAACTGACCTCTCTCAGAAATAAGTCAAATTCGTCTTTGTTGAAGAGCTGCTCGTTTGTGTAAGTATCCCCTTCTGTTGAGTTTTCAATGACAGTTGACTGAAGAAAGATGGGAAAAAGAATAAGATGTTATGTTCAGCTGAAGACACAAAGTGCTTCCGTGTTTTTGTAAAATGTTTTTCTTCTTGTACTTTTCGATTTCCATGTGGCAACCAAACCAATTGTGACCCCAAAAGTATCCATCCTAAGTGTACAGTTCTGCTGGCAATAGGGGGCATGGATAGATTCCGATATATTGTTGAGGAAAAAAATCCATACACCACTATACTATCAAGAGATACATCCCTTCACTATATGGCTTGGGAGTACTATAGTGTCCTGTAATACAATGGAAAATGACAGATGAAAAGCCTAAGCATTATTTCCAGCACTGTTACTTTTTGTAGCTAAAAAATGGACTGTTCTCACTGCACTGAAGTATTGAGGAAGGAGTAACTATGTCCATCAGCACATATTCATTCAATCGATTGTAACTATCATTGTTGCGCAAACAATTACACTGACTTACCTGAGCTCCCTGCAGATTTGAGAGTTGACGCTCCAACACTGGCTCAATTGGATTATTGACTGCTGTCATGTTTATGCACGAGCTGCATTTCCCTGCCCTATTACAAAGATAAAACCATTTATTGAGGTAGGCTTATGACAGAGCATGAGAGTTAATTTAATTATAGACCCTACAGAACCAAGTAACCTTTTGTGAAGCAATGCTGAGACTTGTACTCTCCAGCAGTGTATATTTATTGCAATATTACAGCATGATCTTAAGTTAGTGCCATGGGATCTTTAACATCCACCTCAACAGCTAGATAAGACCTAGGTGTAATGTCCCATGTGAAGGATGGCATCACTAGCAAAACCGTTCCCCACCACCGATTCAGAACATCATCCTCAATTATGAGCTCAAAGCTTTGACATGCAGTTTGAATCGACAGAGGCGAGAGTGCTACCAACTGAGGCAGGATGACATATAGATAATAAATATTGCTCATTAGCTAATATTTGACTTGATGCAGCTAATAATAATAATAATATTCCTTGTATTTGATATGGCGCTTTTCATGTCTTCTAGACGGCTCAAAGCACTTCACAGAATATGTTGTAAAGTGAATTAACAGTATATTTGTGGGCGAAACGCGGAAGCCCTGTAATCATAATAATAATCCTTGCATTTGATATAGTGCCTTATCACATCGTTGAGATGTCTCAAAGTGCTTCATGGAATATATTGTAAAGTGGATTGACTGTATTTTGTGGGCGAAACGCTTAAATATTTTCTGTTGCAGTTGACCATTCGATCTCCTCACCTGATATTGGTGCCATTGATGGGAGGGAAGTGGCAATCCAGGTGAAAGGTTCTGTGACACTGAGTGCAGCATTTTAAATCCCCACTTGTTTTACAAATGTTGCACATGTGATCGTGTTTTGGCTTCTCACAAACCTGGGACGTTCCATGAAAATAGAAACACAGAAACATCTGAGTTAGTTCACTCCAAGCAGGGTTATTCCTTTTAAAAAGAATCTTGGTGATTTATTTTTGGTTATTCATATATTTTTACCTTGGGCACATCACCGAAGCTTTGAGAGGGCATGTTATTGTGTGCTTCCAAACTATCTTATCTTATGGGCTTCCACCAAAGTTATCACCATTTGGTTTCATGACTATCTAGTTTTCTTGCAATTCTTCTATCTACACTGAAGTTGATGGCTCATTTGATGACTTATTTTCCTTAAAATGCTATTGTTTCTTTCACTCTGTTTCACTGATCTAACCCCACTCACTCATATAAGCTGCTTCACTGCTAAAACACCTCCAACAACCTCAGTTTCTTCTTATGTGCCAAACATCTTTTACTCTTACTCTAAACTGCCTACAAAGTCCAAGTCCTTCTAAAACTTGGACACTGCTCTATTATGTGAGGAGGCTCTTCCAAGCACCCTTGTCATACTCATGTGATAGGGTATAAGATTAACTTTGGTCTCCTGTCCAATGGATCCTGATGCTTTAGGTATGTTTCTCTTTTAAAAAAAATTGTGGCAAATTTCTTGGCCCAGGAAGGAATGGTAACCACCTGTGAAGCACTAATGTGTATCCTCACACTAGCCTACAGGCCGCTATGCGATATGTTGAAACCCTTTTTACTGTATTGATTACCTGCTGGTTCTTATTCCCACCAAAGGAAATTGAAGGCAGTGATGAAGATGATGTTGACGACACAGATGAGGTTACCATTGAAGATGATACTGATGATGAGGAAGATGGTATTGATGATGAGGAAGATATCATCAGTGATGAAGAAATTGGCATTGATGATGAGGAAGGTGCCGTCAATAATGAGGACAGTGGTGTAGATGATGAGACAGATGCTGATGATGATGCTGTTGGTGTAACTGGCGCTGCAGCTAAAAATGTAGGTGCAGCACTGCGAGGATACTTTCCACTGGCTGCTGCCGTTGCTTTCAGCAATTGCTCCAACTCGCCCACAAGTTTCTGCTTGTACAGCAGCACCTGGTACAGAAAGGGATAACACGCAGTAACTTGTTTTCTGCTGGATGATCGCTCACCTAATGTATCAGCACCCGAGTCTCTGCCCAAGGTGAGCCGCAATAGGAGAGAGTAACGGGGACAACGTGTGGCACAAGCTCATGTGTGCTGCAGAGAGTGACAGGAAAGGGGGGTGGGGGGGATGACTGAATTGTCTTGTGGTCACCTCAGTGATACAGGCAGATATTTAACGACCAGTTTTTCAGCTTGGAAAAAAAAGGTACAGGAGGATTAGGTGGTGGGAGTGAGTTCAAATTTAATCCCCGAATGAGATGCTTACAGATAAGGTGCCCAACAAGCCTCACTAAAGCAGGACCCACCTGGACTCCTGATGTACTGTGGCACTGCTGATTCTTCTCAGGTACAGGGTTTAGAGTCGCTCGCGCATCACCCTCTCCATTAGTGCAAGACAAACACGTCCAGATACCACTGAAGAGGTAGATACACCAATGCAACAGGAAAGGAATAAAGCAGGACAATGGAATTATACATAGAGTCAATCTTTCGACGAAAAGCTTCCTGACTGGACATTTCAGCCATGTTTTAACAATTGTGTGGGGTTACTACTTAGGGACCATTTGAGCAAAAAAAAATAATCTCAATGTCCCTTGCAAACCAATCCATGTGTACTTGCCGGATCAATATACCTGGGTATCTCAGTGAGAGGGGGTATGAGACAGCTGAGGTGAAAGGCTCTGGGACACCCATCACAGCAGATGAGTTCTCCTCCATCTCTGCACACAGCACACTCATCATCATTTTTCTGGTGTGGCTAAGGAAAAAGGAAAGGGAGTCAGAGATATACAGAGGGATGACAAATAAACCTGAAGTTAAAGTGACGGTGTCCCTACTTTGGAATGACCTTCTATGAGAATTTCAAACAAAACACCACAATGCGAACTCCCATTACAAAGTGTTAGTGCAAAGGTTTCAATTATTGGTTATCAATATAACTTAGACTCTGCTGTTTATCCAGTTCCTTGTTGAATGAATGAATTGATACCATTTAAACTGCTTTGCTGAAGTCTTTTTTTGAATGCAGTACCCATCCTCCACAGCTTAAGGTTCAGTTAAACATCAAATGACAATGCTAATGGAAAAATTGTGGAAAAATTCTTGGCCCGGATTTACCTGTACATCTGACTTTGAGGACATTTGGTTGCAGCTGTGACCATTCTGTCCATTGCCCTTTAAATTGTCATTCTGTAAGTATAGAATATACCCAAAGGAATTTATAAACCAGAGGCAGATGCGATAGAATTGTTCGTATGAACAGTTTGAACAATAATGCTTGGCTAAAAAACCAAAACTGTCTATTATTGGGAGGAAAAGGGACGTCTAACACCTGATTTACTCACTGTTTCATGGAATTTTCTGTTTTAGATCTTGTGGTATAATACCTGACTCACCTTATTTAACTTTGACAGGGATAATCCTTTGCAGCGAATGCTTTCCTTCCAGTTCTTGCTTCTGCTTTTTCCACTGATATCTTCAAATGTAGCAGGAGTATAGAACTCACCACCTACTTTAATACACTTTTTGGATATCCCTAAATGAAATAGGTCATTCATCAGTATTAATCTACTGTAGACTTTTTTGATACGGAGGAAATATATTATTTTATATATCACCCACATCACCAGTCACATCACATTATATTCCAATGCTTCATTTTTGCCCAAAACAAAAAGAGATATTTGAGATTCTGAATACTAACAATCTACTGGAGAATAATGGGATTGGCTGTGTTCACCTACAAAATAAACAGTCGCTACACTTTACAGTAAATTCTGTGAAGTGCTTTCAGAAATTCTCCCCACTTGAACAACGCTTTATCAGTTGCAAGTAATTTGAATTTAGATTTAATGTTACCTGCATCAAGGGCTTGTTTGACGAGAATTCCTTTAACATCCCCACAAGGGCGTTCATTGGCTGAGAGGTTGGCAGGAACAGATGGTGCCACCATTCCTTCATTGAAAAACACAAAGATGCATACATTATGTCACCAACACTTGCCGTTTGTGTGGTAACAGACAGGTGCCATGCCAAACCCATGCCAGGATAATGGAAAAAGTGGAATTTCATCCCTGAGAATTTTGAACAGGAAAATGTTTCCCAGCATAAAGATTTCTTATGGTATGTTTAAGCATAACATTCACCGCTCCCCCCCCCCCAAATAAAAACGCTCCTGCTTTATTAGGAAATTTAACACACCTTGACTGACAATTGAGTCTTCGTATTAAGGTTGCCATTTTCCACTATGAATTGCAATGAGCCTCACGTGAAGGTTTGTCAACCCCACCAACCCACACTACAAACATATAGCTGTAGAATCAGGAGCAAGATTATCTAACTGTCTGACATAAATAGAGACACTTTTAATGTTAAAATGAGTTTCAGTTGCTGAAATCTCTGTGATGATGAATTGTATAGCAAGGACTGAACTTGTACATTTCTATCATTGTACGTTAACAGCCCAGCAGCAGAGGATGGATACCCAGAGCACACGTGAATTCAACCAATAATTTCCCTCCAATCCTTGATCACACAAAGTTATTGAAACACAGAAAGGACTTGGAGCAGATTTCCTGATTCCAAGGTTGTCATTGTATAAGGGAACAGATTGGAATATTCCTATGTCCTGCCATTGCCTTGTGTCTAGGCAATATACCATTTCCTTGAGGGATTCTGATTATGTTCTCAGTCTCTGTTTTTCTCAGCACTCTTTCCTTTGTTGTTGTCCCTGAAAAGTGACCATAAGAATGAGTCAATTGCTTATAAAAAGAGATATACATACATAATAATCCTTGCATTTGATATAGCTCTTTTCACGTCTTCTAGACGTCTCAAAGCGCTTCACAGAATAGACTGTAAAGTGAATTGACTGTATATTTGTGGGTGAAATGCGGCAGCCAATTGTGCACAGCAGTGTCCCACAAACAGTCGTGGATTGAAGTGACCAATTTATTATTGTAATAAATCTGATCTGACATCCGATAAAAAGAGATGCATTGAAGCAGCTGGATCATTATACTAGTCACAGAGCAGAACCAGGCTATGAGGCAGTGAAGAAACAAACAGAGGAAGGTAAAATTCCCACTAAAACACAGTCCTTACCTGGGGTCACTTTACTGGTGGCACGTTTTGTATTGAGGACAGATGAGGACACTTGCATCTCCTCAGAAGTCTTTCTTTTAAGCTGAGGTGTTGTCACCCCCTGATTTCCGGACATTTTGAGCATCTTTCTTCCTCTTCTCATTTTACTGAGATCTATGTCTGTAAAAAATTTAAATTGGCTCAGGCAGCACTTTATTATTGATACTTTTCATTATATTGCTCTGAATTTATATCCAGTAGCTGCTGTGATTTGAACTACGATTTACTTTGATATCAGTCTTGGATTCTGAAATTGGTAAAGTGGCATTGGTTTTTCAGGCCCCTTTGTATTGGCAAAAAGGGATCCACAGGACTTATCTATGGGAAGCCATAGGAGCACATTTCACATTTGTTGGCAGATGAAGAAAAGTGTAATTTAATGGCCATTTGGGCCAGCTATTGGAGGCCTACTGATAGAATTGTACCTCAGCAAGTGTCACCCTTTTCAGGAGAATCCAGGAGACAAGTGAAACAAATCCATCTATTATTCGTTGTCTCATCCAAACAGGTTACTCCTTTCAAATGCCATCAATCTGCCTCACACTGGTCACATAGTTTCACACCAGCAGCAAACATTAATACCTCATGTTAGTTAAGAAGTGTGTTAACAGAAAGGGATTCCTATGTAGTTTTAGTAGATCATTTAACATTCACTTCAGCTAATTAACCTGTCATTAATTCATACATCCATATATCATGAAAAATAAATGTACGGGTGTGTATTGAAGACTTTAACACACAAGGTCCAGTTGACTTTGATCTGCTTTGTTTTTGTGTTTATATAACTCCATCTCCTTCAGAGAGGTAAGTCCTCGAAACACACTCCTATCTGCTGTGTATTATTTAATGCAAATTCCGACCAGTTTTCTCCCTTACCCTTGAAGAAGCTGTGGTAGACTGGCTGGAGTTTGGGATACCGTTCCAGATTGTAATCTTTAAATAAATTCTTCCAGAAGCTGTTGATATTTGAATCATTCCTCTCCAGCAACCATGTCAGTGTGGCATATACTGCTTTATTGTTGCCTTTCTGTTCCTTCAGTTGTAAGGCTTCCTGTAGAAACACAATATGTCATTAGTCTATGAAAACTCAGGGCATTGCTGAACCTCATTTGTGAGACTTGGAGACACAATGCTAGAAAACTGTGTTTTTCAATGCTATCAGACGGTTTAAAGATAGGCTGGTCTGAGAGGATAAAGATCCATTCTCTCTTGCTCACATTGTTCCTTGCTTGCTCTCTGCTTTACTTATTCATTTTTCCTTTCTCTATGTTTTTTACTGTAGTTTCTAACTCCTGTGCGTGCGACCTGTTCCATACCTTGAAGATTTGCTCAGTGATCACATCGTTGTCCATCAGTCCATGAAGAAATGGAAAGAGGTCATCGATGGCCATGGAGATCTCTGTCCTGCTTGTCTTCAGCATATGCCTGAGACTCGCATCAACAACTCTATCAGAGCTCGACATTCTGCTGGAAGAGGAATGGTACGTTTAGCCTAACTGAAGAAAACAGAACTACTTTTCAGAATCATTGCCTAGAGTGCATTCTTTGGATAAGCTACTCACTGCTTAGAACAGTTTTCTGCAAAACACTCTCAACTCTGCCAACTGGGATGGTTTGAAAACCATCAAGTCCTGATAAAAGCCAACTAAGAAATGACAGCTGTGAGACGATCATAGAACATCAAGTCAAAAATTATTAATGGGACTTATTTGAACAGGAAGTATTAATACTTCTTCATTTTTCCTATTTCAATAAATCCCATAAATCAGGACAACAGGAAAGTCCCCAACCCTCAACTCTATCTTCTTTCAAATGATCTAGCTCTTTGGGGGCATTTACTGTACACATTGACTGCTGTGTTAATCTACATATATATATATGATTACACTTAACAGTAAATGTTGTAAAGGCCTTTGAGATATTTTGACATCTAGATACTATATCAAATGCAAAAATATTATTTTTTTATTAAAAATTATTGCCATAATTTGAAAAGGCAAGCAAGTTTCTCCTGGTGAATTGGCCAAAAATCAAACAGATTTTTTTTTAAAAATGGTTATTCATTTCATGGCCATTTGTGGGACATTGAGCTGCACAAACTGGCTGCTGCATTCACCTTCAAATACAGTCATTATACTTTACAGAAAACTCTGTACTAAGGCACTAATGTCAAATGGAAAAAAGTATTATTATTCTCGTGTCCGGAGTTTGTCTCCAATAGAATATGCATTGTCTGAACTTCCACCAATACTGAACACGATTTGCTCTAAAATTGCAGCTCAAACAGCATAAAAGGTGAAACAGCTCATGAGACCACTTGAAACAAAACACTTCATTCAAGATATGAATATACCATTACATATAGCAATAATCATTATCTAAATAACCATACCTTTAACAGAATAGAAAATTTCCTCTGAGCCTTGTAGAATGAATACTGGATTGTCCTTTATACAAATGAACATTATAAGGCAAGTGCACCTTTACATGAAACTGACACCAGCTCCCAAAAGGATAAAGCTGGAAAGCACCCAAATCGACAAGTCATATTGTGAGGAACACCACGTCGCTTAATTGTACTTTGTAAAAGCATTTTATTTTTTTCATTGTGCTGTGGGGTTCCAGTGATGAGCATTCACCAAACTGATGTCTCCTCTGTCTTGTGGCCATAGAGGTCCTCAATTACAAAACTTTTGTCGAGTTTCAACTCAGTTCCTGGCTAGCAAAGAACAGAACTCACCTCAAATTAGAACCCATTCCAAAATAAAGAGGTAAACTCACCCAGAGAAGCCACAGGAGAGATGTTTGGGAAATAGAAAATATCACTCTCATGGATGCTTTTCTGAAATTGGAGTTGAGGTTTACTGTTGTGATAGGATAGAGTGATCTAACACATATTGTATCTGATCTGGAAGTTGTTGACGCTGGAGTTGATTCATCCCACAGTCCCTTCTTCTCTTCCCTTGCCTGTTTCAAGACCCGTCTCAAGACATTCCTCTTTGACCGCACCTTCGGTCACTCTCCTAACCCTACACTCCCTGCCCCTCCTGATCCTAACCTCCAGCTCGGGTACAAATCCTTGACTGTCCTATGCTTTGGAATGTTCTCCCAACATGAAAGGCTATATACAAAATTAATTTGCTGCTGTTGTTAATATTGGGTGCCTAAAATGGGCTGACATATCTCAATATTATGAGTACATTATTCACCAATTAAATGTTCCTCCAGGTGAGTTGAAAGTTGTTTGGGAGCTGGTATTGTAGTATACAACAGGTGATTCCTTGGCCTGTTCTCATTCCATATTTTCTTAAGATCTTAAGGCACAAATTTTAAGTACTGCAATAGCATAAATTCACCCAATTTTCACACAGGCGAATGCGTGGGAACTAATGTGGCTGAGCACAATGTCTAGATACAAAATAATTGGCATGAGATTCAACAAAAGGTGCAATGGTGTTTTAAAAAATGTTGAGAGTGTTTGGTATTTACAATAGGATGTTTTTGAAGATGTGAAGTCTGCTCATTTCCCCTCATACGTTTCACTGTTTCCTGAATCAGAATTTGTGTAATTTGTAAGAGTCTCTTTTAAGTTTAGGGGTGCTAGACTACAGAACAACTGCAACCCACTGCACTATACAAAACTAACAGTTAGTATGACAACCGGAGTCAAATCTCCATGTACTACTATTGCTACAATGGTGCAAACTCCTCTGAATATGTCCAGATTAGACATGGGGACAGCTCTCCAAGCTCGGTAGGCCGGCTTGCAGATTTTCTAATTTTTAATAATAATGGAAAGTTTTTAAAAAAGCTGAAGTCTCTCAGTAAATTTAGTCTCAGATAAGTGTATGTAATTACAGAACATTTTATGGAAAGTTTGGGGCATCCCAGGACAAACAAGAATGCTGGTTCTCAGCTTTGAGATTTGTCTGCAGTGACACTTGCCCAAGCAACCTATGTTTGAAAGTCCCTGAAGTCCATCGAGCCCTTCGTGTCTTCTTGCGAAGGGCAAAAGTTTGGAGAATAACGATCCAGACCTTTTTAGAAATAGAAAGATATTTCTGTTACGCAGTTATTATTTGGAGAAATATTAAGGGAAATTACAGGACTGGAAACTCCCTGACAGCTCATCAGTATTGAAAGTCAGGAGTCCAGTTTGGCAGGCTGTGGAAATCCCGAGCACCCAAAAAAATGCAATCCTTTCAGTGCATTTTCCTTTACATCTGTAGTTTTCCTCTTTTTTAGATATCTAGTTCCTTTTCAAAAGCTAATATGGTTTCTGCCCAAACCACCCTCCTGGCCGGGCATTAGGATCAGAAGTCTTTGGATTCATGTGCAATGAATCAGTGCTCTGATGTATCTGAGAGGGGGTGAGGAAAGAAACTCCAACATAAACAGGAGGTGAGAAATGGTTATAGACTGTTGAAATTAGCTTCAAGAAGCAGATGTTTATGTGAGATGCTAGTGTGGATGTGACTGGTGGCTCAATTCAACACTAAACGCTTTTACCTTTGTGTTGGAATATTAACCTGCCCTGCTCCCAGCTTGGGTTGCTATATTTCAGCAGCCTATTTTTCTACCCCTGGAACCTGTATTATTCTTTCAGACTAATTACAGGGAAGAAACAAATCACAACCAGCACTAACACAGGAAAAAGAACCAAACACAAACAGAATTGGCACACAAAGGAACTCTTGTCCTCTGACATAGCAATCATTGTACATCATGCAAAAGATGGTGTTGAAATGCTGTGGTATTGAATTGAAACTCAATTGATTTTACAATGACTTCAGATCTGTTTCATAATATGTGATTTAATAGATGTTTTGTGGAGTTTGAGCTTCTTGTAAACATTTACCGAGAAATAAAGTAAAAATACAGTTTATCCCAAATTATACTTTTACACCAAGACATAATCTAACAGTAATTGTAAGAATCCCATCTCCATGTTGGTTTGGTAAAGCAAGAACACAGTACAATATTTCACCAGTGGATTACAAGGTCATAAGAGAGGTTTCGATAAAGAAGGCCATTTGGCCCATTTGATTTCATCCTTTCAGACACCAAACCTACCACTCTCCCATTACAGATTCAAGCTGTTTTAAATGAGTCCAGTGTCCTGGCCTCAATTACCCTTTCTTGTAATCCATATTACCCTCCGAGCAAAGCTTTACTTCCTGGTTGGTACACTGAGTACCAAACAGGACAGAACAGAATAAATACCTTCGCTGTCACAGTGAGAGCTCTGTGTGAACTAAAAATGATCTTGGCCAATCTAGCTTGGCAGAGCCAGAAGAGCTGTGTCCTCAGGAAAGGAGAGACATTTCCATTATCAAATCAGCATTCTGTCAGTGGCTGTTTTGATTGCAAGAGCAATGTAACCAGAAAGAATGGCAATCATCTCCTTCCTCCACCCTCATACACAAAACCTTTAGTTGGAGAACTAGTTGCACAACTGAAAGCAATCCCATCCCCCCGTCTTATTAAAAACTGATAAGCCAAGTCTGGTGTGTAGAAGGAAAGGCCTGTGAAGAAAGCTCATAGAGCTCATTTCTGGACTCTATACTGCCTGCTTCTCCACATCATACACCACAGACATCCTCCACTGTTTATCCTTCCTTGGGCAGGCCATCTGCACAACCAGAAAGAATCAGATCACAGAGGTAAATGTTGGTGCACAGTACTTTACACCACACCAAACATTTTATTTTTGGGCATTTTTTTATGAGTTATCAAATTCTTTCTGTCACGTTAAATTAAGCGGAGCTGAATGAAGCAAAGCTAAAAGAAACAGAAGCTACTGCTAACCGAACAGATTAAACAGGGAGGAAATTGATTTCCCCATTGATATTCTGTATATATGCCAGTAGGAATTAAATCAGAAGTAAAAGCAAAATGTATTGAATAAAACATTCAATCAGAGTCTCTATTCCTTGCTGTGTTGTGCAAGTTGCAGGAGATTCTTTTGCCTACTTCCTCTGTGACAAGCAGAAAGCCAATCTAAATCAATGTACCTGATTGTACCTCTGCTGGGATACCATCTCTCCAATAATGCTGTAGTCCACTCCTCCTCAGGAGAACACCTGTAGGATATTTGATGTCCTCCATGAGATGGTATCATGTGTATCTCCCGGGTATGGAGAATTAATGTGCTGATTTTCCTGTTTTGCCCACAGACCGTTTGCAAGTTGATTAAATGGAATTCTTTCTGACTTTAGAATACCATACAATTTCTGGTACATGACACACTGGCAATGGTCAGTAGTGCTCCACATTTTGAGGATCCAGCAATTTGGGCAAAGTGATACTGCTTGCGGAGTTGCTACTGCTGCTGGTTCAGGCCGTAGAATACAACAATAACACATGGTAGCGTCCTGGAGCGCTTGGCAATACATAGCAGGAATGTTCTGAATGTTACTTTATGATATGTTGGGTGCAGTACAATAGAGAAATCTAGCAACTGCAGGGCTGTGCTACATCTACCTGCCTGAGTTACTATGAAACTTAACGAAATAGCAGTCACATCACACAACATTGGTTGTACTCTCCGTACTTAAATGTGTCGATCCATTTTCATGATATTTTTTGTAAGATTCTTCTAATGCACATCACATCGTCACACATTACAAAATAGATCATGGGTGGTCAACAGTTGTTTCAACCAAGTGTATCCCGATTTCAAATTTGGTATTATTACATACATATAGGACAAACATACCAGGCTAGAAAAGATATGACATAATAGATAGTAGATTTCCTTGAACTCCCAATTTTGATCATCCATAAATTCTCCCTCTCCAGGGGTCTTGCTTGAGAAACCAACCCAGATTTAGGATTGAAGCATTGTTACGACACCATTCAATGGTCCGTGAGGAGCTTTCAAAGCTCATATTACGAAATACCAAAGACTTGCCTTAAATTCGCCTTAAATTTATTATCAAGCTTTCTTCCAATTGCTTCAAATTCATTTCCCTGTTGGAAATAAGTATAAGATGTTAGGCAGTTCTGAAAAGTTACATCAGAGATGATATCAAAGAAAGGATGCCTAGGAACTTACCATATTGAGAAACATTTAGTGCAGTGAGGGTTCCACATTAAGTGTACCCAACCATGACTACAGAGCTCTTAAGAGAGAAAGGGAAAAAAAGTAGATGCGGAGAAAATTCAACAGAATTGTAAAAAGCATTAAGGTTGGAAAGTGACAAATAAATTCAATTCCTGCCATAGGCTATTAGATTCATGATAAACTAGATTACTACACAGAAGGAAATGTTTTAAATTAGAGTATGTGGAAAGATCATTCTGTGGTGAAGAGGATGGGTTCTCCATGAATTACCTGGTTGAATTTGATACAATTCTGGAAGATGAGATACACATCCGTGGCAAACTTGTGAACGCTCGGGTAATTCTTAGCCATGAGATTCTCCTTCACCTTGTGCAGCCACATGGGTTTGTCAATCACGTTGCTGTAACTAGGAATCTTTAACAGAAGAGGCCAGAAAAGTTGAGTTTGGCCTCATTTTGCCATTACTCCTTTTTTTCTCTGGTATCTATCATTCAGCAACCAAGAAGCTTTTAAGTGCAGAAATGCTTCAGGCCACTCAACCAGAATTCGTATAAAAATATAATTATAACTCTTCCATTTGATATAGTGCCTTGTCACATCATCGACTCTCTTCTCTTTTCTAATAGTGCTGTAATAATAATAAACCTTGCATCTGATATAGCCCCTTATGACATCTTCGAGATGTCTCAAAGCACTTCACAGAATATACTGTAAAGGGACCCAGCTATAATAGATTGTGAGACCACACTATCCCAATAGACTGAAGCTATTATATCCCAATAGGCTGCTGTTACTCTATCCCAATAGACCGGGGCCACAATCTGTCCTTCTCAAGTCCTTCTGAATTTTAACTCTGATCAAATATGAAGGAGACTTGTAAGAAAGGGAGATTGAAATACAAATGCATTGTAAAAGTAATTGATTTAAGAAAAGCCAACTAAGTAATGCAGTAGTGACTATTCAGGGCAGATACTTACAGTTTTACATGGATCTTTCTCAAAACACCTACTTTCTTCGTTGCAGCAGAGTTGCAGTAAAACAAATTCACATTTCTGTAATTAGAAAGATGCTGTTAGGCACAGCCATTAAAATCAATTCAAAATATACAGGTCAGATTACTTCCGCATTCACCAAGGCAGTAGAACAAGAGGGTATGGGTTCAGAGTTGCTAAAACCAATTTAAAGACAGACGCCAGGAAGAAGATCTTCACCAATAGAGTAAACAATGGCTGGAACAGGTTACCAGGAAGGCTGAGGCCAGGATGCTGGATTAATTTAAGAAACAGCTTGTAAAGTAAATATTCTAGAAGCATGACTCTTATCAGCCCAATTGCACACAGCAATTCTCACAAAGAGGTGGGGTATTCCTGAACACGAACAATGTGGTCCTAGTATCAGGTTTACCATTAGCTGCTTTGGACACATTGGCTGTGTAAGGAGTCCATTGTTGGAGATGTCACTGCCTGATTTATCTTCTGACAGGTTCCTAATTTTGCAGAAGGTACAGACCCATTTCTCACTGGAAAGATTAAGTGAAACGAAATGTTCAGTGCCTAATTTCATAAATTAGACAGATAGAAGCCAATACTTCATAAACACCTACCAATTGTCAAAACTCCTTAGCGTATATAATTTCTATGTACTTTAGAACTTAAAACCATTTGTTTAAAATACGGTAGCACTTTCCATGTGTTTTTTAGACATAGTTCAAGCAGGATACAGACCTCAGTTCGAATCTGGAAACAAGGCATTGCTTGTGGAAAGCTCGTGGGCATTCATCACAGCAGATCAGGTCCCCTCCGTCTTTACAGACTGTACACACATCATCATTGTTTTCATTCTAGAAAACAGTAAGAGTACACACTCAGAAGAGGCAGAAAGTCACTAGAGCTGAAAATGGTAATTTTTTAAAAAGTATTCTTTTCTATTTTCTTTTTCCCTGCAACATCCCTTGGCCAAACATTAGACAGAGCATTGCATTCTAGCTTATACCTGTATCGTCGATGTGTTCCCAATTTCTCATTGTCATTCAATGAGGAAATGAGTTACAGACAGTATCACTTCCTCGCATTTCCTGTGAAGCACTTTGAGACATCCTTCTAGTTTAGGTCAGGACACTAGACTAATTTAAAAAGCAGTTCAATGCTGTGATAGGAGGTTGGAAGGGTGGGTATTCTGAAGGAATTAAATTAGATGGGCCAAAAGGGTCATCTTCATCCAAACCAATCTTGTGATCTTTGATGTATTTACCTGATCAACAAATTGAGGGTGACAGCATTCACAATCACAGTGCAGCTTGTGAAGTTTCAAGTAGCCTTTCTGCAGAGATAAGTGTCAAAACATTAATATTGATGCATCTCTCATGGTTCAGTTGATAAAACCACTGTCCAATATGTCATTAAGAGACCCAGATCATAAAGGTTTGAGGCTTGATAACTGCTGTGTGCGGAGTAAGTGGAAGCAGATGGATCTTTCTGTCCTAGCAGTTCAGTGGAACCTACCTGGATTAGCTTCCCTAATGTTTCTGATTTACATCGAATATTTCTCTTCCAGTATTTTAGATCTTTATTACTGTCACTCAGATCCTCAAATTCCACTGGGGTGCACCACTTGGTCTCTGTTCGAATGCACTTTCCATGAATTCCTAAAACATAAGAAATGGACAAATGTGATATGGGCTGAAATGAACAAAATGCAGAGAAATCCTTGCATAATAAAACACTCAAAGAAACCCTTTATGGTACTGTCTGCTGTGTGCAAATTGTGAAATATAAATGTAAAATCATACATCAGAGGCACCAACCACAGAAATGCGCATTGTCTATACATACAGATAATTACTCTACCTGATATAAACCTGCACTTATGCAGGATTCCATTCATAGAGCCACAGGAAACTGGGAGCTTCTTTGACAAGAATATGTTCTCTTCATCACTCTTAATCTTCACTCCTTGCAATCGAAAATGAAAACAGAGAAAACAAAGGACTCGATAGTTACTCTTACTATTTAAACAAGAGTTTTTTCTTGTGTCAGTTTTTAAGGTGAGTTCCAGGCAGGTATTCAAATTCAGGGGATGAGATACTAGATGCTCAGTCGCCCGCCCCTTTAAAAGAATATTTAACATTCCACTTTCCTAGATAAAACACAGCAGTCTCACCTTTGAAGGTCTTTTCTGGAGAAACGTCTTCATGGTTCAGTGCAGCTTGATTAGTCAGCCTGACATCATCCTAGAAAATAATTATAAGAAATTCATGTCGTTAAGGATCTGGTTTCATATCAGACAAGAGCCTCTCAACAGCCTTTGTTTGTAACTCTCTCCTGAGTGAGGATATGTCAGATCCGACAGAGTGACCCATGCTGGAGATGCTCATGTAGAGACATTAGGAGAAGACAGCATTGAGTTTGGGGATGACTTGTTCCAAGGTCCAAACACTCATTGTCTAGGGCCACATCTGAAGAATCTCTACCTGGGCTGAGCGTACCCTGTGATCAGGTACATCCCAGTGAAGATTAAATGCTTTCAGGACAAGGGAGTGGAAGAAACTGGTAAAAAAAAATGAATCACTTGTCTTAGGTGATAATTTGGAATATGTTGGTGAAGAGCTGGATTCATTGCTCATGCTATTCCAGTGCAAACTTTCAATTTCCTGCAATTGCAAACACAGAACATAAGGGTTAGTCCATTCAACCCACCACATGCAGAACCTCTACACTATTCAGAGGAGCACCTAATACAGTGTGTCTCCATCTAAACAAAACTCATTGACAACTCTGCAATGACATCTCTCATTGAGCTAGAGACTTATTCCAATTCTTTTTTGCCCACAAAATATACAGTCAATCCATTTCAGAGAGAAAGAGAGAAAAAGAACAGGTCAGGCACATAGTAGAGAGAATGTACAGGTCTATAAGCGTGTGCCAGGGTCTACAGGAACTCTGTAAGATTGTGTGGGAACAGTCTTCTTAGTTCCCTATGCAACTACTAAATTCTAAGCATGCTAACCTTAATTTCTGGTCTGCAGGGTTTACTTCTGGACATCTTGCTCAACATCTGACACGACAAATTTCCACGCTGAAAATTAAACACAAGTTAGATGCAAAGGATAGCTCTAGCTCAGTGGTTAGAGCACTCGCCTCGCAAGCGAAAGTCCCGGGTTTGATTCCTGGCAGGGCAAAACCTTGGGCAAGTTGCCGTACTTCACACGGCTGATAATAACCCCTCAAGAAAAAACAAATTGGTCACTTCAATCCACAACGGTTTGTGGGACACTGCTGTGTGCAATTGGCTGTCACGTTTTGCCCACAAATATACAGTCAATTCATTTTACAGTATATTCTGTGAAGTGCTTTGAGACGTCTCGAAGATGTGGATAAGGCGCTATATCAAATGCAAGGATTATTATCATTATATTATTATATAAAAGCTGTTGTTCAGTTCTCCCATTGAATGCGTGTTTCCTCCATTCCACTATATAACCCATCTACTTAAATAGGATGAGATCAAATGAGCCAAAGAACATTCTTCAACCAAACTGCTTGTAACCTTTTCGCTTTTTGTGGATTCAAAGGCCTTGAAGCAATGGGGCTAGAGGGTGGGGGACAAAAGAGGGTTTTCAGAGACAATTGTTCTGAGTCAGCCTATTCTCCTCTTTCCCACTTTGGGATAAATTCCTGCCTCCTGGTCATGTTTATAAAATACCCCATGTTACAGAGAAACAGACAGATCAACAGCAATCAAGAGAGAAATGGAAGTGTACATAGTTATTTAGATACACAGACAATAAATTGAGAAAAAAATGAAAGTGAAAGACAGGAACATACATTAGATATAGGCCCACAAGAATACAGACATTCACACAAGACTAAAAACAGAAAGAGAGAAAAGGAGCAAGTCAGGCACATAGTAAAGAGAATGTACAGGTCTATAAGTATGTGCCGGGGGCTACAGGAACTCTGAGATTGTGTGGGTACAGTCTTCTTGGTTCCCATTGCAATTTCTGAATTCTAAGCATGCTAACCTTAATTTCTGGTCTGCGGGACATCTTGCTCGACTTGTCGCACGACAGATATCCCCGCTGAAAATTAAACACAAGTTAGATGCAGAGGATAGGTCCTTTTACTCATAGTGGAGTCCTGTAGCTCAGTGGTTAGAGCACTCGCCTCGCAAGCAAGAGATCCGAGTTCGATTCCCGGCAGGGCAAAACCTTGGGTAAATTGCTGTATTCCACACACCTGATAATAATCCCTCAAGAAAAAAAACAATAATAAATTTGGTCCCTTTGGTCTGACTGTTTGTGGGACACTACTGTGCATTTGGTTGCTGCATTTCGCCCACAAATATACAGTCAATTCACTTTACAGTGTATTCTATGAAACGCTTTGAGATGTCTAGAAGACTTGAAAAGCGCTAAATTAAATGCAAGGATTATTATTATTATAACCATAAATGCGGAGACGACCCAACTACACCACTGTAATCTACAGCATCAAGCACTCCAAGGTCACAGAAGCAGAAGTTAGATGAAGGCTAAAGTTCATGTTAAGTTCTCCAAATGATTCCAAACTGTAACTGACTAAGATAACCAGAGCCCACCAGATGCATATATTTAGTGTACCTTCATCCACTCTCGCAGCGTAAGCTTGTTGGAACGGATGCTTGTTTTCCAATTTCTACTTCTACTCCGTCCTCCCAGATCCTCAAATTCCTTTGGAGAGTACCAGTCTTTGCCAACCTGTATGCATTTCACAGAGTTTCCTGCAAAATTAAGGAAGATGAGGCTTAGACTATAAATACATCCAGCCTATTTACAAACATAGAGCTCGCTCGAATCTACCGTGGTGGGAATCACTGCTACTAATCTTCATGTTGTGCTCACTCTTTACCCATTCTGTAAACCATTCCACAATTTATATTAATCTGAACAAAAAACATGTTACCCAGCAATAGTCTCAGTCTGTCTATCAAATGCTGTTACCCAGTGTTAGCTGGAACATCACACACTGTTAAGCAGTCTTATCACTGTCTTTGTAACCCATACTCTTATTCACTGCGCTCTATGTGTGACAGTGACCCAGTGCTAGTCAATCCAGTATTTGTATTAAACTCTGTGTTACCCTTTGCTAGTTTCTTCTTGTGTAATGTTCCAGTTTTTGAGCCACAGGAAACAGGCAGTTCACTAGACGTTAAGTCAGCAGGCTGGGAATGAAACCTTTCCTTCCTCGGTTTATGGTCAATTGTTTTCTGTTTCTCTTCATCGTGGCCTTTATCCTTTGGTTCTGAGGGAGAGAGAGAAGCGCAATAAAAATGAATAAGATCAGTGGAGAGTCATAGGTGGGCAGACAAACATACAGACATAGAGAAACCATCTGGTAGGCCTGCTTTCAGATAGACAATGAGATAAACTCTTCCACACCCAACCAGACACACTTACAGACAGACAGACACACTGGCTGCAGACAGACAACCATCCAAACAGGAAAACTGATAGGGAAAATGAACTGATTACCTGGGGATGGAATGCTACTTTATGGGATTATTTTAGGCTGAATGTTTGACAATTTAAGCGTTAAACATGAAAACCAAATTACTCCACCAGTGAGCAGAGTGAGAATGACCACTCATTATAAACACAAACCACTCATTATACACTTGTGCAAATAGGAAAATGCATGGAGAAGGAAGGCATGTAGGACAGACCTGCAGAAGCTTACCTATAATTGAGTCTTTGATCTGGTCTGATTTCATTCTGCTGGTTGTAGGTTCTTTATCAGGATGATTTCTCTTTACAGACTTCCTTAAAGAATGGTTCAAAGAGGTGTCTTTTCTCTGGTCTTTGGTGACATCTAAAATAAGAGGCTTGTATTTTTATTCCCAAGAAAATGTATTTGTCTTTTATTTATCAGGATGAGGCAGGATGCTAGTGCTGAGAACAGAAAACTTTCCCACATTGTGCATTCAAGTGTCAGCCTCTTTGTTTCTTTGTCAAGAGCAACATGGGTTAGATGCAAAAGTGAAGCTCATTTTAGTCCTCTTCATCAATACAGCTTAACCTCATCCTTACAGGAGCACCTCGTGTGCTATTGTGCTAGTAAGATTTCTATTTCCCGCATCAGATCCAAGTAGAAATGACTACCCATTTCTGATTATAACAAAAACACTGGCTTTGTGGATTCATACTTATAAGCACATGGGTTGGACTATGTTTGACCACCAGTCAGAGAGAGCAGCAGTTTCTAATATGCTAAATCAGATTGTATCCAGCCGATGATATCTCTGGATGAGCTACAAATGACAGCAGTATCAAGACTACACTCTATTCCTGTTTCTGGATGACGATCTGGCTGCGTCTTTTTAATTTGAGTCATTGTTATGTACAGATGACTGACAAACTGCTTTAGGCTTGCAATACACAAGGTAGAAACTTATATTCCTAAGACAGTTTTTCTGCAGTGCCTCAGCACCATGACACCATGGATCCAGTTACTTTATACTAACATACCTTTACTTAATGCTTCTTGTAACGGTAGTAGCTTGGGATACTTCTGCAGATTAAAGTCCTTAAACAAGCAATTCCAAAACTTGCGAAGAGTTGAAGGATCGCTCTTTTCCAGCCAACTCAGCAACAGGTAAATAGCTTCGTTGGTATCTTTCTGTTCTGCCAAAGCCTCAATTTCCTGCAGGAGAGATTGGTATTTAGCCACAAGGGCATTATTGTATCGTGTGCAACTATGTGTCACTACTCTGGCCCAGCTCCCATTAGTAGGATTATGAATACTGTATATGCATTAGATACTAGGGAAGCAAAATATGCCCATGAAAAATGCAGTCAATAAAGTTGAGAATGATGTAATCATAATAATAAATAATAATAATCCTTGCATTCGATAAACCGCCGTTCATGTCAGGAAAAAAGCATTTCACTTGATTTATATCAAGTACAATGACTGTGAATTTTGTAGGTAAGTTTATCATAATAATAATAATAATAATAATCCTTGCATTTGATATAGCGCTTTTCACGTCGGGAGGACGTCCCAAAGCGCTTCACAGAACACACTGTAAAGTGAATTGACTGTATATTTGTGGGCGAACGCGGCAGCCAATTGCGCACAGCAATGTCCCACAAACAGTCGTAGATTGAAAATGACCAATTTATTATTGTCTTTGGTTTTGGAGGGATTATTATTAGGCTGTGTGTGGAGTAAGGTAACTTGCCCAAGGTTTCACCCTCTGCCTGGAATTGAACTCAGGTCTCTCGCTTGCAAAGCGAGTGCTCTAACCACTGAGCTACAGGACTCTGAATCATAATCATATATAATCACATAATCATAACCATAATCATATGCTCCGGCAACAATGACACTGTTCAAAATTATTTTTTGAGCATGTATTTATGGCCATAAAAGATGTGAGTGCTGGGGAACTGAATGTGGGCACTGATCAAGTCAATCCCAAGTCAAGAACAGCATTCCGACAAGAGGCGCTATCCTGTGTGAAGTGCGCTATATAAATGTAAGTTGTTGTTGTATTGTTAGGTTTAATGCAGAGCACAACTACCCCAATAATTCCCCAATAATGTAACTCAGCCCCAATCTCAGAAGAGGTTTTAATGCAAAAGTGTAACAGTTTCCAATTCCTACAAGATTTAAGTTAGATCAACAATTTAGGTGCCAACCTTAGTTCTGTGAGCCCACAGTCACGTGAACCAAGTTGGGACTGTCCAAAACCCTTACAATAACAAGTTACATTTAGAGGTCACCTTTTATATCAGGAAGACTCAAAGTGCTTCAAACAGCTGGCTGTTTTGTCTTTTTTGCCCAAACTTTGTCTTAAAATATTGTGGAAAATTCTAAAATTCAGACTTCATTTGGAAGCCAAATTTCTTTAGTTCTTAAAAAGAAACAGCTTCCGAAATAAGCTGAAACTTAAATTTTTCTACAGTTATGTGCGATTCTAAAACTTAAAACAAAATGGGTTGACAAGCTTAGAGTAAGTAGAATTTCAGATCTAAAGAGTAAATTTCATCACAATATGAATGGTACTGAAATATCCCTTCCTTGACGCTGATAGGACAATTACTTCTGTTGAATAATGTTCTGCTCTACGCCCAATCCACCCTGTATTCCATGGAGGAGGCAAGCAAAACTCTTACGTGCAGTTTCAGTTTCAATTCCTGGCATTATTGAGAAACTAACTCTTGACAAGTATTTTTATTTTGTTGCAATATGGCTACCAAGAAAAACAATTACTATCTTTCATTAGCGAGGTGAATCAGATACACCTCATCAGTCTTAATTAATAGGATGGTTGTCAAGAGACCTCTCAGGATTGATTAATTACTGCCAAAATTCACCCCTGAAGAATGGTCACAATGGAAAGTGGCCACTACCTGTTGAGCTATATCCTAGTATTTGGAAGCTTTTGGGGGCTGGGGGTGGGGAGGCAGTAAATGACACTTGAATGGTTAAATCAATGCATCTCTTCCTTCAGTGAATGGCTGTAAAACTTAGGATGAACCATGTAGTGTGACACACATATACGCTTGGTAAGATTCCTGCATTCACCATGACGCTGAACTTACCTTGAATTTCTCATTTGTAATTATCTGCTTGTCCCGAAGGTTATGGAGGAAGGGAAACATTTTGTCAATTGCCATGGAAACCTCCACCTTGAACCTCCTAAGTAGTTTGGTAACCTGGTCGTCAGTGAATTGACTGAAAGACATTCTGTGGGAAGGAGAAAAAAATCTGTCCATCACTAACATTATGATCAATGGCGCTCTTACTGTATAATAATCCTTGCATTTGATGTAGCCCTCATCACATCGTCAAGACATCTCAAAGCACTTCACAGTATTTTACTGGGTCAGTTGAAAGAGGAGTTTGATGTTTCTGACAGCAATTTGCATTAGTCCTCCTTTGTGCTTTGGGTCCCATGGCTTGTCTCTTACTCTTGAGTGCAGCGTACACTGACTGCCCTGAACAACACATTAAACTTCATGAAAAGTTTTTTTCCCACAAACATGTAATATCAATGGTGCCTGAAGTTGCCACTGTCAAAACAATGTATTTCTGTTCTACCACAAACAACAAGAAGGTTCGTGGGCGCAGATTTCCGGGAAGATAAGGCAACTTTAAAGTTGGCAAATTGAACAGCTAAAAGAGAGGAAATGGCTAATCTAGTTATGACCCAACTGTGCAGCGCCTTGGGACGTCCTCCTGACGTGAAAGGCGCTTTATAAATGGAATCTTGTTGTTGTTGTTGTTGTTGTTGTTGAACAGCATGATGAAGTTTGAGACATGCCATAAGTTGTAATGCCACAACATTTCACTTCGGTAGCCATTAGCAAACTCAATCGAAAGAGTTTGAGTAAAGCCCCAGAAATAGGATATCATTTCTCATATAACGACAGGACATTCCCAAGAATCAGTAAGCAGTCACTTACCTGAATGTAACCAGATCAATTTTTTCGTGGAATTAATCAATGGATGGCCTCCCTTCACACTATGTTTGTAAAATTCAATATTCCTGGTTTAAATGTTTGAAACATTAGCCCTTGTTGGTACGGTGCGAAATATGGCTTTACAAGGAAATTACTCAATCCATTCGGCACGTCCAAGGGAACGTCTCTAAATTTCCAACCAGTAAATTACATGTGATCTATGAAGAGAAAGAGCTTCTGTGGCTAATAATATCTGCTAGAAAATAATATCTCAGAATATAGTCTATAGTTTGGGACACGACATGTCAAGCGACTGCCAGGATGATGGAAGGCAAACTTGGTCTTCTTTCACCTAGCAAATTCTTATGTTCTTAAGTGGCATTCTCTTACTTTGCCAACAATCACGGCACTTTAAAATACACCCCGTGAAGCTCTTTGAGACTTTCCGCTGAAGTGAAAAGTGCTATATCAAATGCAAGGATGATTATTATTATTAACTTCACCCTTTTTTAGATCCTGGTATTAAATTAAACCTTAGACAAGATACACAGAACTGAGATGGCAGAATTTTCACTAAAATTTAAAAATCATTTTCTTTCTTTCATGGCATAAAAAACATGCTCCAGGGAAAATAAGGGTGGGAGAACCTGAACAGAATCAGATAAAAGTTTACCTCTAAAAATGGGATCAATCAGAATCAACTAATAGTAATGGACTTAAAAATATAAAAACTCTGACACTCACTGGTAGCTAATGAACTTTGCTTTGTGGGGGTTTCAGTTAGATAACTCCTATTCATGAGATGAAAGCACTGCCAACTGAGCCAGACTGACACAAGCGCTCTGGGGCACCGCCCGGCGTGGATGGTGCTATAAAAATGCAAGTTGTTGTTGTTGTCTTATGCCCAAATTTGATGATGTGCTGACTCCACCAGAGGTCACTGCAACACATGTCTCCACTAAAGCAGTAAGGAAATAACACTTACCCTACACCTACATCATAATAATCAGAGTGGGAACTGACTCAGTGAATGAAGGTCATTTATGTGTCTGAAACAAAAGCAGAATCTCACCACAGAACTCCATGGCATCCTATTTTTGACCACTATTTTGATCTAACTCCGCTTACAACTTTCCGCTACTTTCTTCTCTTCATACAATTACTGATCCACCTCCATGTCTTACCCATGACACCCACTGACATTAGTTTGTGAAAGATTGCGTTATACTTCATTAATTTTGCCCACAAAATATACAGTCAATTCACTTTATAGTATATTCTGTGAAGCGCTTTGAGATGCCTCGAAGATGTGATAAATCACTATATTAAATGCAAGGATTATTATTATATATTATTATTAAAATGTTTTTGGATCTATAGTTAAACTGTATTGCAAAACTTTCCATTGCCAAATGACATGTCACTCCTCTCAGAAACAACAACAAGATTCCATTTATAGAGTGCCTTTCACGTCGGGAGGACGTCCCAAGGCGCTGTACAGTTGGGTCAGGACCCAAGCAGCGGGGAAATGGTCAGGGTGAGGGGAGGGAAGGAGCGAGGAGGGGGTAGAGAGTCGAGAGGGGAGCTGAAGGCACGGTCAAAGAGAAGATGATGTGCTGAAGAAAAGATTCTTCAGGCAAGATTTACCCATTCTGAAGACATTGTATTTATTACTTTTATTAAGAAATCTCCACTTCTCTTCAAATAACTGATTGTATTGCTTTTCCATTTATTGATGTGTTTAATTTCCCTTTTTTCTTTAGTTATGTAGTAATCCTGCAAGCTCTGCATGATGTTTCTGAACAACGTTAATTTACCCTCAGCAGGTGGGTACAGCCCTCATACACGTGACAGTTTATCATGTACGCTAGGGTTTTGTTACATACTTTTGCTATTGTCTATATTAAGTTAGATTGAATGTTGTGCTAGGATCACTGTCACCTATCAGCTCAAGTACCACCTATTAGCTTTATTTCCCAGGAAATCATGTGATTATCTGTTACTCTGAATATCTCTTAAAGAGATAATAAGTGAAGATTAGATCAGCTGTAGGGACTTGCTGAACATGCTCATGCATGGAGCTTAGCCACCTAGTGAAGCTTTCAAAAGCATAAATCAGAACTTTCAGAAGATGAGGGCAGAAGACTGAAAAACGTTAAACAGAATTCAGAAATATGAGCCACAGTATTCATGTGTCTGCCAAGCTCCTCTCCCACCCACAACACCACCCTGACAAGGTCAACTGCCTGAAGGTCAGACTTCCTGTAAAGCAACATTTTACAGAGAAATAACTATGTTCATTTGCCGCATGAGCAAATCAGTAGTTTACTAATGGAGCAAAAATATCCAACCATAATCTGCATGAGGACCACATGATGTGCACTGACAAACAGCAATGCTTATCTGTGGAACAGTGACATAACATAAAGCACCTTCAATTCAGCAAAGGTTCCTTTGGGAATAATAATAATTTCACAGCCCTAAACCTAATGTGTTAGTAAACCTTAGCACCCCTTTAAACCAGCTCCATCCTAAACGGAAGACAGGCAATTCTTTGAAAAAAATCAGCAAATAATAGAGCAAGACTAAAAAATGTCAATGATTTTACACCAAAAGCAGGCACAAACGATTTGTGAAATGCTGTCCCTTCCATCACAGAATCAAGCTGCTTTGTAAACAAGTCCAGTGTCCTGGCCTCAACCACCTTTCCTGGCAACCTGTTGCAGTTGTTGATTGTCCTCTGAGTAAAGAAAAATATCATATTATCTGTCTTGAAATTGCCTTTTACAACTCTATTCAGTATTCCTCTAGTAAGACCTTAAATAGAAAGGGATGCAAAACAAATTTGATACATTTTGACCACTCCATCATCACATCGCATAATATATAATCTGTTCTGTCATCTCCCACGTTCAGCTATTTGATCGCAGGGAACAGCTACAAGAGAATGAAGCACTCTGAATATTTCCCCCCCTGACTCTGAAGGTTCTTGGAACAAATATTCGAGGATACTAGTCTATCTTTCTTCAACTGGTGAAACTGCATTCCACAGTTGACTGTGCTAAGGATGGGCTGAAACCAAAGTGTTGCACAAGCCCTTTAACTGTTTATATCTGCAACTAGATCTCTCCAGCCTCCTTTTAACCCTTACAGCAGCATTGATGAGAAGCTGGTATTCTGCAGCATTTTTGAGTTTATGTAACATTTGGCCACTCGTTTTTTAAATAAAATCCAATATAATTATATAGGCTCTACAGCACTGAAACATGCCATTTGGCCCATCTATTGTGTGCTGGTGTTTATACTCCACATAATCCTCTTCTCCTCCTAATCACTACTCTCTAGCCGCCTCTATATTCATATAATCCCTTTTCCTCATGTTTGCTATTCAGCAAACATTTCACAAGTCGGAGAGTCTTTGATAGATCTAACACGCTGTTGGGTGTGGAAGTTATTGTGGGGTGGGGTGGTTCTTTGTAACGTAATCACAATGAAACTTACACATGGGGCTAGCTAGCTTTGCTGACACTGCTCACCATCTCACACTGATCAACACCAACCATTTAATCTGAATGGATTTGGGAGTTGGATGGCAAGGACAACAACCAACACAGGTGGCTTAAGATGGGTAAAAATTGCATGGCGATTGACTTGCTGTGTCTCCTGTTGGGCTCAATTTGAAGCTTTTGTTCAAGCAATAAGATGTCAATTTACTTCAGGTTGGGTCTTCTAATCTTAGATTAGAAGATCAGCCATGATTGAATGGTGGGGCAGGCTTGAAGGGCCGAATGGCCTACTTCTGCTCCTACATGTTATGTTATATTTTTGTTATGTTAATCTTCTAAAATAGGCAATGGGATTCAGGGTGGTAACTACTTGGTGTGTTTTAAGTGCTCAGAGATAAAACATGGCCACTTGGTAAAATACCAGGAGATTCGGTACCAGTGGATCTCTATCCTGATAGGAGTTAATAGTTTCAGAAAAGTTTTTTTGGTTAGCCAGGTGTCTGACACATGCAGAAACCCATCACCATGCTTAAGAGTGGATGAGAGATAATGCTAATTGATGCAAAAAGATTGCAAAGGGATATAGATAGGCTAGGGGAGTGGGCGAGTAGGTGGCAGATGGAATTTAATGTGGGGGAGTGTGAAGTTATTCACCATGGTAGAAAAAATAGAAAAACAGATTATTTTCTAGAGGGGGAGAGATTAGATAGTGTTAGTGTTCAGAGGGACTTGGGTGTCCTTGTACACCAGTCTCAAAAAGTTAGTTTGCAGGCGCAGCAAGCAACTAAGAAGGCGAACGGCATGTTAGCGTTCATTGCAAAAGGTTTAGAGTACAAGAATAGTGAAGTCTTGCTGCAACTGTATACGGCCTTGGTGAGACCGCACCTAGAGTATTGTGTGCAGTTTTGGTCTCCTTATTTAAAAAAGGACATACTTGCCCTCGAGGGGGTGCCGCGCAGATTCACTCGGTTAGTTCCTGGGATGAGGGGACTGACGTATGAGGATAGGCTGAATAAACTAGGGCTATATTCTCTAGAATACAGAAGAATTAGGGGAGATCTTATTGAAACATATAAAATTCTTAAAGGGCTGGATAAAGTAGACACTGAGGGACTGTTTCCCCTGGTAGGAGAATCTATAACCAGGGGTAACAGTCTTAAAATTAAGGGTCAGCCTTTTAGAACAGAGTTGAGGAAACATTTCTTCACTCAGAGGATAGTGAGTTTATGGAATTCACTACCCCAGAAGGCTGTAGATGCTCAGCCCTTGAACATCTTCAAGGCTGAGACTGATAGATTTTTAAAAAAATAGAGGGATTAGGGGATATGTGGATAGGGCAGGTAATTAGAGTTAGGTCAGAAGATCAGCCATGATCTTATCGAATGGCGGGGCAGGCTCGAGGGGCGGAATGGCCTACTCCTGCTCGTAATTCTTATGTTCTTATGTTCTAATGTCTGATCCTTTGTGCTTCAGTTCCAGCCTTGAGTACTAATTAATATGGGTTTGCCAAGACAAAGCTTTGATTGTTCCCTTTAAATACATTTTCAAAGGAAGAAATTTCTCTGGCATTTAAATTATGATGCGTTGCCATTTCCATGAATCCTTTTTAATATTACTTATAAGCTACGTGGAGTCCTGTAGCTCAGTGGTTAGAGCACTCGCCTTGCAAGACACCTGGGTTCAAATCCAGGCAGGGCGAAACCTTGGGCAAGTTTCCTTATTCCACACGCCTAATAATAATCCCTCCAAGAAACAAAACAATAATAAATTGGTCATTTTCAATCCATGACTGTTTGTGGGACACTGCTGTGCGCAATTGGCTGCCGAGTTTCGCCCACAAATATACAGTCAATTCACTTTACAGCATATTCTGTGAAGCGCTTTGAGACATCTAAAAGACGTGAAAAGCGCTATATCAAATGCAAGGATTATTATTATTATTATTACGTAATATGGTGAAGGTGCTAAACCACTGGAATATGCATACTTAAGGAGAATCTTCATACAATGCCTGCTGAACGTTGTGGTTATTAATGCCTTGGTTTCTGTCACTTCCCATCTGTGTTTGTCAGACGTAGCTAAGAAGGGTGTGCCACTCTTGATCCTGCATAGTTTGAACGCTCCATTAATGGCGAACAGAGATTGAATCCATGAGCTGTCAGTAGATTGACAAGTGTGTCAGATTCTCCCCTATCTGCCAAAAAATAAAGAAACAGACTAGTAACCATTCTAATCCAGGGCGCAGACCTAAAAACATGTCTTAATAATCCACTGTGATCATCCATTCTTTCTAATTTAAATAGTTTCCAATTTTCAGTAATTCGCTGGACCTGTTTTAGAGGTATTACAGTACTACTGAATTTTGAGCTACTCAGACTCCTCCCAGTGCTCAGTAAAGCCACCACGCTATTTGACTTCATGTATATATATATGCAGTTTAACAGCAGACAGCACAGACTCCCAGCAAAAGTCAGCATCCCAGACAGAAAACACTCAACAGAAGTTTGTAAGTATGTGGCTTGCAAACGGCAACAGGCTGGGATGGTATGAAAGATACCTATCAGCAATAAAATCTCAGCAAGCCAGAAAGATCTTGGACGTACAGAAGTGTGAAGATATTGTCTTTACACTTCTCGATAGGGTGCACCAACAGGACTACAGATTCCAGGTGGATTATTCCAGAGGTCATGCCACTTTCAACTACCATTTCATGTCTGCTTTTGATGAAATAGACGTGGAAGTGCCGCTGTGGTTAGATGATTCGTCTTTGACGGTGAAAGAAAGTTGTAAAATTCCATACCATCTGAACGGAATGTCCCATAAAACCCCAAGAAGGGGATTCTGTTACCTGGCTGTTTCCAAGGAATCTGAAAGCAAATGGTCTGGGAAAGATATATTTTACCCTCTTCCCAGACTTTCCGACAGCAGCGGGCATGTTATCCCTGGGAAAGTTATCCACGTTCTGAAGGAGTTGATCAAAGGAGCCATTGTTTACTGTGAACAAAATTACCTTATCAGTGCAGGTAAGGAGAATCAGCACAAGGTGCACTCACTACTTAAAGTATATGGTTGTCAATCACACAAGCAAATGGATGGTGCAGAACAGTCAAATCCATGTCATCAGGAGGTGTAATGGATTGTGATATTGGAGTGAACCAAGCACTCGTTCTTTCTGAATTAACTTACATGCCTGCCGGCCTGGACTTTTGTTGCAACAGCAGCTCCGTGAATATTGCCTCCACTTGTAGATTGTGGGCTCTGTTGCTAACTGTTTACAAGTTGCGAGTCTAAATGCTTGAAGATGTTACTCTGCGTGAAGGGCGCTATATAAATGCAAGTTGTTGTTGTTGTATGTCTGGAAAACACCAAGCCCCTTAGTTAATATTTTACTGAGTGCAAGTTGAACATTTATCATCTCCATCTTCCATTTCGTTGTCCTTCCACTTTTCTCATTTCTTACCTGGAAGATGATAATTCCCGGCATACCAGCTTCATTTCGCTGTATTGACCAAGTTGATATTTTTCATTTGTGAGCTTGGGTATAAGTGTTACCCAGTTATTCAACTATTGGCAAATCATAGTTAAGACTAATGCTATCATCATATACACATATCCAGCAAGAGTTACTATAGGGTGACCTGGAACAGGCACCCTCGCTTTTCTCTAACTGAGGAACACAGTGAACAACTATGCTGCCATCCTGGGTGAAATCAGTTAACAGCAACAACTTGCATTTATATAGTGCCCTTCACGTAGGCTAACGTCTCAGCGCACAAAGTTAATTTAGCACAGTCCAAATAGATTGAATTTGAGGCTTTCCTCATTTGCATGGCTTAGTTTTACCAATAGGTAAATTTACCAAGCATATTCATTGGGAAGGCAAATATAGGCAATGTGGTGATAAATACAGTATTTGTTTGACTCTCAATACTGCACTGTTTACTGGCTTAAACAGTTAAATTGCAAGTTGTTGTCTTTTATGGCCAGAACAAACTAATCAGACTAATCCTGGTAGTAAATTATCGTGTGATGTAGTCAGAGGTGAAAACGAATTAAATGCAGAGATCATGTAATGATGTAAAAAAAACCTGGGCAGTATAAACCACTATAATCTTGAAATTCTCATCCTTTCAAGCTTTAGAGTTTCGCTCCAATTTAGCAAACAGTGTAAACTGGTTCAGCAGGATAAACTAATGGAAATTGTTCAGCCAAGAAGTATCAACTAGTTGAATGAGCATGACACTGAGAACTGAATATTAATTTTCTTCTTGGCTTCCAGAGCATGATGAATATGTAGATGGCATGCATGGAACTTTCAGGCTAATTTCGATACTCTTAAGCATGGTGGTAGGTTATGTCAGAAACTCGGCTGACCAAAAAAAAAATATTTTCACTCACTCAGGCAATGCGATGCCAAACCACATTTTAATCCACTAACTAGATTTTATTTCGGGTGAGTAAAATAGATTTAATCAAATTACTTGGGGTTTAGAATTACACTAACATTTAGAAAATCTTCTTTTTCTTCCCCCACAGGTGATGTGAATGGTTGTTTGTTAAATTTTGAAGGTCCCAAGATTATGTTGATGGTGAAAGATGTGTCAAAGCACATACAGGTCAACATTATGCCAGTGATGCTAAAAGCTACAAAAACATTTCTGGACAAAGGAAGAAACCCTGCGAAGACATCATCAACGACAAATAACCATGCAACTGAACACATTGACATAAGCAGTGGGAATTACTACCATTGGAGGTGAATGATTTTCCCTATCTCCTATTAGTGACTATCCTCTTGGGGGGGGATGTACGAGGGGCCTCCTTGGAGCTGAATTGACTCCAAGGTGACATGCCTGGCAACGGAATGTCGAATCAAGCCAGCCCTGTATGGCAGTCTCGGTAGTCCGTTTCCTGAGCCAGCGGGTCTGCAGTATTCAGTATTTTAGCTGGCTAGACTTCAGCAGTATAACAACTCACACTGTGGGATCTCCAAGCCTTGGTTCTTGTCAACTTTCTGGAATTAGGCAAGCAAGGTGTGTCCCTTCAGGGAGAGAGTGTGCATTCCATTCCAACAAACTATCTCTGTGTGTAGGTGGGTGTAGGAGGCAGGCAAGGCAGGTGAGGTAAAGAGTCTGTCCCAGGAGGCAAGTGCCATAATCATTTGTTGCACCTTTAAACATTAGTTTAAATAATGGCCCCCTATGAAAACCAAATATACAGTCAATTCACTTTACAGCATATTCTGTGAAGCAATTTGAGACGTCTAGAAGATGTGAAAAGCGCTATATCAAATGCAAGGATTATTATTATTATTAGTGCCAAGTATATGCTAACATCCATTAATGTTACCACCCCCCACTACAAGTTAACCTTCTATTGTATCCTATTTCACCATCTATTGAAGATGGTAAGGAATGAGGCTTCTTCTATTAAACCTGCATCTATGCTATATTCCGTATACAGATTTTGCTTTGAGCGCCCCATCTGGAAGCTATTGGATACAGCAGATGCTGATGGTGGAAATCGACTGAACAGTCTGTGCATATTGGACAGTATTAACACTAACCATTGGCTTCCTACGAAAAACAAACGAGGACTTAAGTTCCAGCACCTGCAGGTGAGTGTGAACTAGTTCTAAACCTTTGAAAAGTTAGAAATGTTATTAACCAGTTTGTCACAATCCTATTGGTTCTTTAACAGTAACAACAACTTGCATTCATATAGAGTCCTTGGGCAGGGTAGCGTTTCAGAGCGCTGGACAGTGGTGGAGCATGAGTAGTGGGGAGGTGATCAAAGTTAAGGTCTAAGAGAAGGGTCTTCAGGCATGACCTGAAGATGGGGAAGGGGGGGTGGCGCTGGTGGATAGAGGAAGAGTGTTCCAGAGTTTCAGGGCATATTGACCAAAAGTACAGCCACCGATGGTGGAATGAGGACACGAGCAGCATGCAGGAGGAATAAAATGTATATATTTAATTTTAATAAGATTTAAAAGATCATAGAACAGAACTCTGGAACTCTGGTGGATCTATTTAACAGCCTCTAAATGATGCAACTCAGGAATTATGTACTGCATTGGGTTTCCTGCTCTTATTAAAAAAATGATGGAAAAATGGCAGAGTGAATTTCAGGAACCAGTGCAAGTATGTTATCATGTACTCTGCATATGATGATGTTTCTTAGTCAGCCCCTATTAAATTAAAATTCACTGTAAAGGCTCCTTTAATATAGCACAATCTGCTCATCGGTTATTAATCACTTTTTCTTTTTAACTAGATGGTTTTACTCTGGGCCATGAAGTTCTTCCCAGCTCCCGAAGACTGGGTTGACCTAGAATCATCTGTGTATCGGATCTTGGTGGTGCTGCTCCGCTGTCTGACCCTCTGGAAGCTCCCCAACTACTTCTTGCCTGAGATCAACGTCTTCCTTGAGGACGATCAACCACAGGTTGACTTCAAGACCATTTACACTAAGGTGGAGACGTTCGCCGACATTCCTGAGAAATTCCTCCAAATCCACGTGACTCATCTCATACCAGCCCACCAACAACGGATTGATAACTACATCAAAATGATTCTGCACATCGAGGACACTGCAGGTGTTCATTGGAATACTGGCTATTTTGATGTTATTCTAAATAAGGTAAAATATCTCTGATATCTGGGTTATACTCTGGAGAGGGAATTGGGTAGAGAACATTGTGATCTGGCATTCTATGTTGCTGTGCTATTAAAGGAGAGCTCATGGGTGGGCTTCACATATTGAGTAAATGTAATGTCTCCTCTCATAAAACGACCCGTAAAGCTGCGAACAATGGTGTCTGGCTGTTGGTATGTGCTGTAGATGAGCATTGAACCAAATTAAAAAACCCAACTAGAAAGAAATTGACCAGTTCCATTCATTCAGTGCCGGAATCATTGGACAGCCCTAATGATAAACATATTTAAAATGTTGGCATCAAATGCACAAGGAGCGCTGTAAAAGAAGCCCATGATACTCATGCTTTGATTTTTACTGTCTAGATGCAGGTTTACCGCATCCAGGATCCAGAGAGAATCAATTCCATGCAGCTCGTCTGGTCCAAGGCAACCAAGCTAATGACCGCTGAAGGAATCCCATTATAACTAGAATCTCCCATTTTATCAACACTGGTCAACTGTGTGTGTCTGGCACACCCACCAGAAACTGGAAAAAGACACAAGAATATTACTGCTTGTTAAGTGCTTTGAGACATCATACAAATGTGAAAGGTGTCAGATAAATTGTTGTTGTACTCACAGGCACACAACACTAAATGCTGTACGAGGGAAATAGTCTCTTATCTTACCTACTACGCATGTGAAGGGGTTGACACTAAGACATATAAGCTGGTTAGCACCAGATAGGGAATGAATTATTCCCTTTTACCCTTTAACTAGAGTATTGGTGCATGATAGGTGCAGTGGAGCTGACACTCCAAAATCTGTCTTAACAGCTATCACTCCAAATATTTATCATCTTTTTGAAACATGTTTATAATAAGTCTTTTTTTATTCATAATAATGTGTTCATTTTGGGAAGGATTCTCTGCATGTGGACTACTGGTTGGAAAGCAATGAGTAAATGTAAAATTATTCCATACTGCCTTTAAAAGTGCTACATTGATGATATCTGGACAATAATCAGCAGTATTGAGAACCAAACTTCACATCCTTTTTTTTTCCTTTTGTATATTTTCATTTGTAAAAACATATATAATATATATTATAAGACTATTTTAAAATATATAGCTGTTATGCAAGTGTTCAATAAATAATAATAATGCAAAAACAAACCTTTTCATTTGTAGCTTCACAGGATATATTCACTAGTAGGTTCACGGGATATACTGTAAAGTGAAGTGATTGTGTACTTGTTGGTGAAAAACTATAAAATAAAACTAATCTCACATGCACATTACGATTTCAAAGTAGTGGTTAATGTTTCACTGGAGTCTTGTACTATTTGCATTGTACTCGGGTTATGTGGTATTTGCATTATACCAAAGCCAAGTGTGCTCTCAATGTTGTAAATGCCTCCCTTTGCTCTGTTTCCAGGGTGAGAAATACTGGGAGTTTATTGCTATGCATAGATTCATAGATGGTACAGCACTGTAACAGGCCATTTGGCCCATCCAATGCAGCTGGTGTTTTCCTCCGATATGCATTTTTTTAGTCACAAAGGTATCTCATATCAAAGCTAAAGGATGCTCCAGGCTTGTCGGTTTCACTGGTGTCCCCAAATGGCAGAAATTCAGTAAATAAGGAATGCCAAAAAACACTGTTCACTGATAACTCAGCAACAACATGATTAGTTTCTTTGAAATGTTGATATAGTTTCGAAACAAAAGTACCTTGTTGTAACTAAAAAAATGCATGTCGGAGGAAAACACCAGCTGTATTGGATGGGCCAAATGGCCTGTTACAGTGCTGTACCATCTATGAATCTATGTATAGCAATAAACTCCCAGTATGTCTCACTCTGGAAACAGAGCAAAGAGAGGCATTTACAACATTTTTGTCTTGGCACTTCCCACACTTTTGTCTCGCTACCTCTCCCGAAGGCATTAACTTGTGCCGGAGAAAGTTCCACAGGTTCCTGCAGCACCTTCCACAATTCACCATTTTCAAGCTAAGACCTTGGGTGTCAAATATTTTTTGATGTGATGGGGGCACCACACCTAATCCTGATCTGATGTTATTTGATGTCCACCCAATACAAAATTTCCAGTGTGGGTGACTGATTAGCGATCAGGAACAGGAACCCTTCCTCCCTGATCTTTCTCCCCTCCCTAGCTTGGGGGCAATGCGGATATCATCACTGAACCCGAGCTCATGTTACTCAGAAAACAAATCAACAAAGCTGCTGCTTAGTCTGGCTCAGTCCCACAGTAAGCAGTCACTTGCTAAGCTCTCAGGGATCCAATGTGACATTTTGTAATACTAATCTGAGTGCACTTGAGAAACCGTTTAACCGTGATGGTTAAAAAATGAATTGGCTTCCCTCTGTCATTCCATTGTGTAATCTTAAAAATTCAGACAAACTTGCGATGGTAAAATAACACGTAAAAGGGGATGTTACGCTCTCTATTTCTAAAAACATTCCCCCTGTCTGGATGCTGGTAGGAACAGGATGCAGATGTAAACTGATCTTTTGTGTTATCTCCATAATTATTTTCAGCAGCCAAGTTGTTAATGGAAAAAATGTAGTACTTTAGGTCCGTGGAGGTCATTGCAGGAATTCAAAGTAAAATGTACACAATAGTTTTGATAGCTCTCTGTATTCTATAGAAATGACAGTGATGGGTATGTGTGTAACTTAATACAGGTACTGTTGTGATGCTAAAGGCAGCAGCTTGTCACTTTATTACAGCACCTGTTTAATAGCATCAGGAATAAAAGGTACAAAAGGCCAAGATCAGAAGAGTTGGAGAGTGACGGAGCATATTACTAACTGGCATTAACATAGCTGGTTTTCACTCCCTTCGCTGGACTTTAGTGCCAAGAGATATTGCTGTTTTATTGATCAAATAGAAAAGCAGCTCAGATATTGGTTGCGTGCCAAAAACAACAGCTGATAGACAGCACACGAACAGTAGGCAGATTTTGAACCTTTATAATGCTCCAGGTTCATGCTTGTTTGTCTCATGGGTTCTTCTTCACTGGAACATGTCGAATTTAATTGTCAGTGCCACTGTGAGGTGCTTGATATTGCAGCGTAGGCTGTTTGTAGCTTCTTAAAGATTCCTTTTAAAATAACCTAAAATAATAAGTTACCTGTCGCAGAATGTGCTGCTAGAGTCTGTTGGATTTCTATTGTTTCAGCACCTTAGGACATCCTCCTAACGTGATAGGCGCTATACAAATGTAATTTGTTGTTGTTGTTTGCACAACAACTCTTCATAGAGCATGCTCTTGTCTCTCAGGTGCGTCACAATGCCACCAAGGGATGCCAGTGAGTGGGTTACTCTTGACCATCTAGGGTAGGTCCTAATGACTGACAGGGGGGGATGAAAGGAACAAAGGGACAGGAGGAGGCCATCCAGCCCATTGAGGATGTTACATCAGGTTGTCAGATCTTGGCAGATCTTTTAATCCCTATGTCCCACCCTTTTGCCATAAACCATTAAAATTTTTACTACCCAAGTATCTGTTTGTCTCTCTCTCTCTCTTATTTAAACATCGTGTGGCACGCGTAGCAGCTCTACTTATCAGCGTTGCTATATTCAACTGTTCACAGGAAAACCAGTTTTGTAGCTGGAAATCCATAGAGCTGCCCAGTGGGAAGTGCATGAAACAAGGGGAGTAACATGAACTTTCTGCTTAGAGAACTGTTGTGTTCTGGTTATGTCATCGTAAAAATGTTAATATTGGACTTAAGAGGATGCAAAAGGCAAGCAACCAAAATTATTCTGGTATGTGTATTAACATGAAGGAAGTTGGTCTCTCTCTGAAACAGAAAACTATAAAGGGACACTTTGAAAGTTTGTGTAGGGGATGGGCAAGGTTGATCCAGGCAAAGTTTTCACAAATGTCAAAGTTTCAAACACCAGGGCACCAAGTCATGAATTACAAAAGTCATGGAGTTTTTTTTATATTAAAGAGTAAATAAACTTGTGGAATGAGTTATCAGTACGTCCCCCAACTGACCATCTTGACAGTGCACAGATAAAGAATAGCCATTTGGGGGAGGTACAGGTACCACTAACTCATTCCACAAGACTGGAGATTGAACTTGGGAATGCTCCTGTTTCTGTTTCTCTGTTCTGCATTATGTGATGCAGTCAGTCAGTGAGGTATTGGAAGCACCTTCTGAGTGGATGTGGTGAAGTGTTAGGGATGGCCTGGAGATACGGGAGATCGGGAAATTTCCCGAATGCTCCCCCCGAGTATTCCCGATGCTTAACACCCTGTCCAGCCTGATTCAGAAATTCCATTTAAGTCTAACAAAGTTTTTAAACGTGTGGATGTTTTATACTTTTTGCCACCTGCCCCATTAAGTCGGTGCCCTTCTTGAATCAGTGCCCTCATGAATCGGTGCCCCATTTTACATGACAATACCGAGCCCTTTCAGTCCACCACTGTGAAGTGCAATGGTAGGAGGGGAAAGGTAGAAGTGTTTCTGAAACTAGGAAAATGTTACACTCAGGGGACAAACAGAAATGCAGTCCTGGACGTGTGAACATGTAGGAGGATACGCTGTAATCTGGGGTCTGATGAACAGTGATATTGCAAGCTGTACAACAAACAACAACAATAAACTCTCTTGTATAGCGCTTTTCACATCGGAAAGACGTCCCAGGGCGCTGGACAGCTACATGGCGGGTTGCACTGATACTGTTGCTGGGACAACATGATCTGGGAGGGAGTAAGTGGGGCACACCTTGTATCAATCTGGAGCGGAATATGCCAAGCGAGCAGAGGGAGAACGCACAGAGAGGGAAGTTTGATACTCAATAAAAATTTGATGAAGAAAACTCAGGAAGTCATGTTTGGTCTCAGCAACTGGTAGCCCTTCACAATTGCAAAATACTCACAGGAAAACAAACGCAATCAGAGTCTGGGAAGAGTAAAGCAGGATATTGATGCAGGTGCAATTAACTTTATTGCACGTTGTGCATTAACTTCTACCTTTATCCTTTATGCGTGACTACACCTGATCTGGTAACTGAGACCTGCCCGTGTCAGCATGATGAAAGAACTGAACTTTTGATCGGACAGGAGCTGAGAGGAATACAAATGTTTTTCTCCAACAGCAATGGTTCCTCACCGGTGTATCCTCGCAGCCAAGACTGGGGACTTGCAGACCCTGAAAGATCTGGATGCCAGTGGAAACGTGAATGAAGACATTGAGGATTCTTTAGGAGCCACCCCTGTCCATCACGCAGCCAGGGCTGGCAATCTGGACTGTTTAAAATTCCTCATCAGCGATGCGAAGCTTCCTGGGAATAAAAAAGCTAAAAATGGAGCAACTCCTGCCCATGATGCAGCTGCAACTGGGAACTTGCTGGGGCTGCAGTGGCTGACAAGTGTCGGCGGGTGTAATATTCAGGTAAGAGATTCTACTTACAGTGATTATCAAGGTAGGGTAGAACTCACACCTCACTGGCTATCGCTCCTTTAAATTTTTATCACTGACAGTGAATACTATGCAAAGCGTAACCGACATGGTACGTATAGCGATAGAAGTTCATACAGGAACAAAATGCTATTTGCAGTGGAGAATCGCACTGTATTAGAGTTGCAAGTCATTCACATTGCTGATGTACCTAATAAATATGCAAAACTACAGTAGTTAGTGAACGCTGGCTCCTCCATCACCGACACAGCTTAGTCTATTCTCAGGTATCAGCTCTTCCGCTACAGAGGAACACAGCTTACCCGATACAACATATGTTTAGAAGACAGGAATGAAATGTTCAATTATCCAATGTGTAGTGTACATGACAATAGCTGACAGACTCACATGTACCATATAGGACCAGACAACAAATTGTTTATTTGTGCTATGTTTACTCCACTTGTACAGGAGCTGAAACAGAAACACATGCAGATTGTACAGTACCAATGGGAGGGAATTGTTTCCTTTTGCTTGCTGTAAAATATACATATGTAACTGGATTGGTAATCCCTTTCCTAACAATAATAATCCTTGCATTTAATATTGCAATTATAACATTGAGACATCTCAAAGTGCTTCACAGGGAATTGCTGTTAACTATAGTGACTGTATTTCACGTCCTCCTGACGTGAAAGGCGCTATACAAATGTAATCTTATAATAATAATAATAATCCTTGCATTTGATATAGCGCTTTTCACGTCGGGAGGACGTCCCAAAGCGCTTCACAGAACACACTGTAAAGTGAATTGACTGTATATTTGTGGGCGAACGCGGCAGCCAATTGTGCACAGCAGTGTCCCACAAACAGTCGTAGATTGAAAATGACCAATTTATTATTGTTTTTTGGTTTTTGAAGGGATTATTATTAGGCTCTGTGTGGAGTAAGGAAACTTGCCCAAGGTTTCGCCCTCTGCCTGGAATTGAACTCCGGTCTCTCGCTTGCAAAGCGAGTGCTCTAACCACTGAGCCACAGGACTCTTGTTGCATTTGTAAGCAAAGTTGGCAGACAAGTGGCACACAGTAAGATCCAACCAGCAGATATGAAGTGAATGTGACCATTTATTTGGAGAATTGTTACCCAGGACATATTTTTACAGTCAGACACTTAGCAGTCACCTGACAGGCAGGAAGGATTTCAGTTTTAAATATTTTATCCGAAAGACCGCACCTTTAACAATGCAGTACTCAACAGCATTGTATTAGAATCTTGGACTAGTCTCTTATACTATGAGCTCAGTCCTGACCTGAACCCCCAACCTTCCAACCCAGACAAGAATGCTACACTTAGGAAAACGTACACCAAAATTTTGCCCCATCTTGAATCATGGTTGACTTGAAGCTTGACCTCACCTCTCATCACATGCCCCACTACATTTATCTCATCTTTTCTCTTATATGTTTCAAACTGAGTGGTATTATCTTAGAGACATTAAACATTTTGAGACATCCTCCTGATGTGAAAGGTGATTTATAAATGTAATTTGGTTTCCTGCACTATGGGGTTTGGACCTTCACCTGAAAGGATTATATTACCTCAGTTTGTCAATGAAAAGCACTTTGAAAGGAATAGCAGTGTTTTATTAACAGTTTGATTTCACTGCCAAACTTGTTTATATGTCAGCCGAGCTCAGTTGATAGCAATTTCACTTCTGACTTAAACGTTGTGGTTCAAATTCCACATTAAGACTTTGAACTCACAGTCTAGGCTGATGCTCCATTGCAGTGTTGGGGAGTGCTGCATTGTCAGAGGTGCCGTCCTTTGTATGAGACGAGATCCTGCCTGCCTGCCTGCCCAAGTGGATGTTATCAACAACAACAAAATTACATTTGTATAGTGCCTTTCATTTCGGGAGGACGTCCCAAGGCGCTGGACAATAAGAGTTTCGGATACCCCCGGGGCACTATTTGAAAAGAGGAGGGAATTTCTCCTCGTGTTCTGCTCAACAATCCCCAAACTGATCATTCACTTCATTGATTGCCTGCAGCACATCACTGCGTGCAAACTGGCTGCCGTATTCGACTACAAATACACAGTCACTACACGTGACGTTAAAATCCCTGTTCAGTGTCTTGAAATGTTTTGATGGCATGATAAGGCACTATTATTAAATACATGGATTATTATTCACTGCATATTGTTAATTTATTCGTACATTTATGGAATGACTGGATTAGGTATACTGATGGCTTTTACATGTGATCTGAATGTCATATGTTTGGTGTGCAGGAGCGCGATGATTCTGGTGCCTCCGTGCTGCACCTTGCTGCTCGCTTTGGTCGATCAGAGATGGTACAGTGGTTGGTGAAGGAGGGATGTGATCCCATGGTAGAGACAAACAGTGGGGCAGTGCCTGCACACTATGCAGCGGCAAAGGGAGATCTCATGAGTTTGAAACTTCTCATTGTCCAGGCACCCAGGTAAGAAATCCAGATGTGTTAAAGCCCCTGAAAAATTCAACACTGAGAATTTGCAGGCATTTCTGTCGTAGGTGAATGCTCAACCAAAAGTAAATATCTCAATCTCATTTCTCCTCTTGTGGAGGAAAGTGAAAAGTCTCATCTTTCTGGTACTTGTAAGAATGAAATGGGGTTGGACACTGACACCACAGTTCCTGATGGACATGAATTTGCAGCACAAAAGTTACCACAATTTTGCCACTGAATTGAAGTTTCACTCAACAACAACTTGCATGGTAGCATTTCAGAGAATTAAAACTCAGGGAAGCCCCTGACTGGTAGGTGTTGAGAATAGAGAATATTATACTGTTGCGGGGCTGGGGGACACTTGGGAATAAAATGAAGGTTTAATCTGCACCCAACCTGAGCTGCTGATTCTGGCACTGAGTTTCCAAAGGAGAAAGCGTTCCATTTCCCACCACTAATATCCTTACCCGCATGAGAAAAATTCACTGGGGAAAATATATTTTCGGTGATCTGAATGGTAATCTTCGAACCTCAGTTTACAATCTGCTTACAAACAGTATCTATTGAGAACTGATCCCACATTGGGCAGCTTCATTATCAGATGGCTAAACATTACATAATTATGCTGTTCGCTGCCCAGCTGTTTAGATGATTGCCCATGCATGGGATACTACTAGCATTTCATACACAAATTATTGAGCTCTCGTACAGTCTAGGGATCACCTAACTACTTCATATTTAATGCACGTTTTTCTTTTGAATGCCTGCTGCTGTTGTATTTCATCTCCGCTTAACCGATTCCCTCTGCAAGACCACGGACAGAGAATGTGATCATGGGGAAGGGGGAGGTAAGGGTCATCATTCTTATTGACACGTGCATTTTCCATAAGGGGTCATTGGATAGTGATAAGAAGGTAGCAATATCAAGTGTTCAAAGGGAACTTGGCTAACTTTTCCCCCTTTCTTAGCCAGTCCTGACTGAGGTTAACCAGCTCAGTGTAGATCATGGATTGAACTTCGTATTTTCATAATTACCTTACTAATTATGTCATCAGATAACCTCTATATCTTCCTCCAGAATAATTTGAAAATTAAAGAAGTCTTTGAAGAAGCTCTCATCCGTAATTATAATCACAGCAACTCAGATGTAACAACTAACAAAAGTAATGCAATGTTAATAAAGTTGGCCCCTTACTTCAGTCTGGAAATATGTACTTTTTGAAGGGAGTTTGGTAGGTTGGCATTTGACCACATAAAACCCAAAAGGCAAAACAATTTGATTGAGGGAATTGTTACTCGTTTGTTTTGATGTAAAAGTATTGAAAAAGCTGAAAACTCTAAGTCTTAACAATATTAACACCATTTGGAATTTCAGTCCTTTGTGGCGTACCTTTGTGGGGATCATTTACCTCAGTAAGAATTACTCCCTACAAGGCTAACATTTCTAAAAGGGAGTAAACCTTTACTGGGATTGATTGCCTTTGTGCAACATAAATTTTCTTTAGTACTGTAAGATTAGTACAGTTAGTACAGTCCATTCAGTAGGGTGAGGGTTACTCACTGTGTACCTGCACAGGGTGCTTCATTCAGTAGATGAGGATTATGTTTTCAGCATAAATATGAGCTCAGTCTAATTGGATTACATTGCATTCAGGACTGTGGACAGAATGCTGATTTAATGAACATGAATAGAAAGAGACAGTAAAAAAAACCTTCAGAGACCATCAGTACCATAATATTGCTGGTATAAACAATGCGGAGAGTTCAACATCCGATCTGCTATTTAAAGTTCGACCTGAAATCCGAGCTAATGGAAATGAAACTGGGCTCTGAATGGATGCCCATTAAACTGGAATAACTAATGAACTTGTTAAGGCTCAGGGGACACTGAAGAAGTAGAAAACCTTGCATCTCACTTCTGGGCTGCAGATGGTGGGAAAATCGATCCGAAGCTTGCAATTTTGAGATGAGGGAAGAGAAAGGGAGGGAAAAGGAGTGAGGGATTTGTTTGAGGCCAGCCGGCAAAAAAGGTTATTCACATTTAACTCTAAATCTGCTTGTTTCCTTTTTGTCTGAGTCTCAAAGCAATTGCGTGGGTACCCAGCGCAAAATGTTTTCCAACAACAAATAGAGAATTAGCTTCTGATGGATCACTGGTTAAGTAGCCAGAGACGCTGAACTGAACTATGCACACCAAGAAAGTCCTAGGTTCAATTCACGCTGTGTGTTGTTCAGCTAATCTCAGCCATAGTCATAGTGGAGATCACTAATATTGGTTTGAGAACTCTTAGACTGGGGATCTGAAAATATAACTTAGGTTTCTATTTTTAGCTCTATCTATTGAGCCCTACTGGATAGTACATAAGGGTGTCGATGAGAACAGGATCACTGTTACAACTTGTGTTTTATTTAGTACCATTATCTCTTGCAATGGATTGCTAACAACTCTTGTAAACACAATCCCAATGAATTTGGAACCAGTGCTTATTCTGAACAATCAGCTGTTTTTTTCTTCGAATAAATTTTTCGGAATTTTGTGTTTTTTTTTCTATTCAGTTTCTTTGGACATTCATGTTTGTTCACGGTAGCCTTAGCAACGTCGCCAGGATTCATAGTGTTGATGCTTCTTCTACCTGTGAAATGTAGTCAGAGATTATGGTTTCCTGGAGCTCTAACCAGTTCTATGCAAAAAGTTTAAATGCAGAGTACACAAACTGTTACCGCCCCACCTTCACAACAGAAACTAAACCAGAAAGGACTGGATATCTACAGCAGATAAATCAGCATCCAAATGAGAAAGACAATATCTTAGCCTTGCCCTCTACAAGAACTAAAATGGTATCTCAAAAAGCCATTGCATTGCACAAAGGAGGGCAAGAAACAGCCTCAGAAAACACAGTTAAAACTGGTAAGATCTGAAAGAGGGAGGTTGTGGAATTATTAACTAGTTGTGGAATTATGTTGAGGAAAAAACAAACAAGATGGAGAAAGCATAGGAATGTTTTCAGTGTTACAGGACTTAAAAGTTCTTCCGTGATCAGACTCAACCCAGCTATGTACAATAGTTTGAACACTGTCTACTGATTATAGTCAAAGGCTGATCATAAACTTGGAAAAGCATTCCACTGATTTCTTCTTACCAACAGTTAACTCTTTCTATATCAGAGAAAGCTTTCAGCATCACTAATTTCCCCCTTACTACATATTCACACATATCCTTCCATATCTTTTAGTTCTGCACTTTTATAGAACAAGCGTGAAGGAATTTGGTCTGTTTTTGGAATTGGGGTTCCTTTCTTCAGCTCAACGTGCGAAAAACACTTTCTTCAGCTCAACGTGCGAAAAACCGAGGCCCTCCTGATTGGCTCGCGTCAGCGCCTCCGCACCTCAGGCGCCGACACCATCAGCATCCAAGGTTGCACTCTCCACCTCTCAAAGCCAGTCAGGAACCTCGGGGTTCTGTTCGACCCTGAGCTGTCCTTTCTCCCTCACATCCGCACCACAACTGGCACCGCCTTCCATCACCTCCGGAACATCGCCAGACTACGGCATTACCTCACCCCTCACGCTGCTGAAACCCTGGTTCACGCCTTTGTCACCTCAAGGCTGGACTATGGGAACTCTCTCCTCGCCGGCCTTCCCGCCACCTCCCTCCACACTGCAGGTCATTCAGAACTCTGCAGCTTGTGTACTGTCCCGCACCAGGCTTCCCACTCCCACCCTCGCTCGCCTCCACTGGCTCCCATCCCCCCAGAGGATTGATTTCAAGATTCTCATCCTCACCTACAAGGACATTCACGGCCTTGCTCCCTCCTACCTCTCCAACCTACTATCCCCCTACCTACCTGCCCGTACCCTCCGTTCCTCTGGCTCCGGTCTGCTCCACGTCCCCCGCCCCAATCGCCCTACCATCGGTGGTCGGGCTTTCAGCCTCTCAGCCCCGAGGCTCTGGAACTCTATCCCCCAGTGCCTTCGCCGCTTCCTCCCTTTCCTCCTTCAAGGCCGGTCTCAAAACCTTTCTCTTTGACCGAGCCTTCAGCTCCCCTCTCGACTCTCTTCCCCCTCCTCGCTCCCTCCCTTCCCTCCCCTCACCCTGACCATTTCCCCCTGCTCGGGTCATGACCCAACTGTACAGCGCCTTGGGACATCCTCCCGACGTGAAAGGGGCTTTATAAATGGAATCTTGTTGTTGTTGTTGTTGTTCCTGTCCTTTGGATGAGGCATTAAAATAATCCTGTCTGCCAGTTCAGGGGGACATTAAAGATGCCATAGCACTATCTGAAAAGAGTTTCACGTGGTGTCATAGTCAACAATCCTCCAAATAAAACTGATTACTCACTTCAGGGCTGTTTGTCGAACATTGCTGTGAGCAAATTGTATGCCCTGTTAGCTACAAAATGCAAAGTCATTAAACTCTACAGTATATCCTGTGAAGCTCTTTGAGATATACTCCTGACATAAAAGATGATGTAACTGCAAGTATTATTATTACTAATCTTATTGTTCTTCATGAGACATTATCTTACTGTTGTTTATGGGACATAGTGTAGATAAGCTGCCACGTTTTCCTATACAGCAATCACTTACGTTTCTAATCAATTAGAGCTTGTAATTCACTTGAGGCATGTGGTTTTACTTGAAAGGTACTGTATGTTGTGTGTACACAGGTTATTATTACTATTCTTCAGATTCTACGCAATAGAAAGGAGTTCTTACTTGGAAACGAACACCTCCATAACCTGTTCACGGATCTGTCAACAATTGGCTGATGTAATCTGAGAGTACATTTTTTTTACATCTTTCCTGCTCTTGAATACTAATCCAGCCACTGAGACATAAATATGAAGATCAGTACTAACTTGAACTTGATGTGCTGGTGTAAACTGTAAACTCACCTTTATTATTGTGGCACAAAGAAGCTGCCTTAATTTTCCAAGGGTTCAATCTGTTTCAGTGTCATCTTGTTTGCACAGTATGGACTTTCCTCTCGAACAATAGAGTACACACTGCCACTTGCTGGGAGCTGAGATGTTTGCAGGCACTCTCTCCCTGTACAGCTACTCACAAGGGTAGTTGATGCCAGGACACCGGATTAATTTAAAAAGCAGCTTAATACTGTGATGGGAGCATGGTAAGGAGGGTTGTCTGGATAGATGAGTTCAAATGACCCAAAGGGCCTTCTTCATCCAAATCAATCTTGTGACATTGTGAACAGTTAATCTTTTAAAATAAAAGTGATGCAATCTCTTAAAGTTAGTGGCATCTCTGCTTAGCCCTAACAGGTCAAACGATGCCCATTTGGAAACTGACTGACTGGAGCAGATATGGAACCTGCCCCCTACACAATATTCCTACCCTACTCCCCCCTGCAATGTTCTTCTGAACGTTTCTCTTTTATTCCTTCTAAATGATTTGAGATGTTTCAATGTTACAGGCATTGTATAAAATCCAAGGATAATTTTTTGCACTGTACTGTTGGTGTTCCACTTGCTGTGGTGATCAGTACAGACCCTTGTGACCTATCTTTTTTTCAACAAAAGTTTGATAGATTGTACGGGGGAAGTGTCATCATGTGCATCGTTTGATCTGTTTAGGGCTAAGCAGAGATGCCACTAACTTTAAGAGTATGCATCACTTTTATTTTAAAAGATTAACTGCTCACAATGTCACAAGATTGATTTGTGGAGTCCTGTAGCTCAGTGGTTAGAGCACTCGCTTTGCAAGTGAGAGACCTGAGTTCAATTCCAGGCAGAGAGCGAAACCTTGGGCAAGTTTTCTTACTCCACACAGAGCCTAATAATAATCCCTCCAAAACCAAAAACAATAATAAATTGGTCATTTTCAATCTACAACTGTTTGTAGGACATTGCTGTGCGTAATTGGCTGCCGCGTTCGCCCACAAATATACAGTCAATTCACTTTACAGTGTGTTCTGTGAAGCGCTTTGGGACGTCCTCCCGACGTGAAAAGCGCTATATCAAATGCAAGAATTATTATTATTATCATGATGTACTTGATAACACAGCTGCATAGCCTCCGTTTTCCCACCTGCTAATGTTTCAGCCAATGGTAAATGCTCCTTTTGAATCTCGTAAGATGTACGCACCTCACTAATAGATGTGAGCAGCAATAACGTTCTTCTGAAGGACCGAGGCAGACTGACATTTCACCACAGGAGCCTGTCCTTCCTCTGGAATCAGCTCTTGCAATCTCCGTGTTTCATGATTTATTGAAACTATGTCAAACCCAAGTGCCAGCTCTGTGGTTCTGGCACTGTCCTTGTAGTTCATGTTTAACATTTAAAATATTGACTTTTCGTTACAAAGGATTGCAGAAAGCAGCGAGTTCTTATAACGTAGCATCTTATAACAAATATTGGAGTAAGGCAAGTTTGCATAGCATTCTGTCATCTTTCATGCTGTCAAAAAAAAATACTGCAGCACAAACAAGATCCAAGATGTATTGAGCTTGGCGAATTCCTAGTGAACATGACCTGAGTGCAAAAGTTCATTCAATTGGCAAACACTATGCATGCCATGTGTGGGAAATGTTGCATTGGAGCAGTAGGTGGCGCATTTAGAAGTTGGAGCTAAGATGCTGGGGAAAAGCGGAAGGTGCTTTGCTATGTGTTATGTCTGAGATGAGAATGCCAGATGAGACAGTATAGACTAGTGAGCTTTGATGACTGATATTTTTCACTGTGAATCAATTGTACAATAATAATCCTTGCATTTGATATAGCGCCTTATCGCATCTTCGAGATGTCTCAGGATATACAATAACGTGAATTGACTGTATATTTTGTGGGCGAAGCGCACAGCAGTGTCCCATAAACAATCGTGGATTGAGTGACCAATTATTATTAACTTAAGGGATTATTATCCCAAAAAAGCAATCTGCCAATTGCCTAACAACCGGGTATCTACTACTGCTAGGTAAATAGAGGCATATGGAGTAAGGAAACTTGCCCAACATTTCACCGTGCCCGAGAAACAAACCCAGGTCCTCTCGCTTGCAAGGCAAGTGCTCTAACCACTAAGCTATAGAACTCCACATGTAATCCAATCAGGGTAATGAGCAGTAATAAACAGTGGAGAGAGTGGCTAAACTTACAGTGTGATCACAGAAGCGAAGCATGTTTAGACTGACCCATTTCATGCTGACCACCACACAACTCAGTTCCAGTAACATGAGAGGTTAAAATAAATGATTTGGTTTATTGGGATACTTTACAATGGGAATAAATAGAAAAGAGGTTTAGACTGATGGAATTCTATACACTGGAAATAAATTGAGAGGAATGTGATAGTCTACTAGAATTCTGTACAATGAGGAGTCCATTGGAATTGTGTGTAATGGGAATAAAGGAGTTTGGTCTATTGGAATCGAATGAAAAGAGTAGAAACTCCTAAATACCCAGTGACTACACTTCTCAGTAAAATGCTGTGAAGTGCTTTGAGACATCTCAATCCCATGATAAGGTGCTGTATCAAATGCAAGGGTTATTATATTATTATAATGTAGCACTGATCCATACAAACAGAAAATTGTAGGCCTGAATCCTGGTTTGCACAGAATTGAGTGAATTTCACGAAAAACTTCACTAGAGCAGCATCTTGGGCTTCAGTGGGCACAAAAAGATTGAAAATTGACAGTAACAAAGCAACAGGAAGTTTGAATCGTTTACATTTGATTGTTTGTGCTCAGCATGGGTGGGACAGTTCCTTGTAATAATATGTATGTATTATATATATCGTAGAGTCTTGTAGCGTAGTTCTTAAAGCACTCGCCTCACAAGCGAGAGGACCAGGGTTCAATTCCCAGAAGGGGCAAAACCCTAGGCATGTTTATTTACTCCACACTCCTCTGTTTATCTAGCAGTAAGTAGGAACCCAATTGTTAGTCGATTGGCGGATCGCTTTCTGGGGGTAATAATCCCTTCCAAAAAATAATAATAATTTGGTTACTCAATCCATGACCGTTTGTTGGACATTAGCTGTCGTGTTACGCCCACAAAATATACAGTCAGTTCACTTTACAGTATATTTTGTGAAGCGCTTTGAGATGTCTCGATGACGTGAGGAAGTGCCATATCATATGCAAGGATTATTATTATTCTGTATGCTGCAAGCGGGAGTCAGTTTCCTGTAATGCGTACGGCATGAGTGTGAGAGTTCCTTGCACTGTGTAATTTCTGTGTTTGGACGAGATTGTTATTTTTGTTAATGCAGTTACTTGTAGTCCTACTCTGCATTTTTTTTATTCGAGTCTTTTGCCTCTTACCTGACAGGACTCTGAACAAACAGACTCAGAGTGGTGCCACCCCACTCTACCTGGCCTGTCAGGAGGGGCATCTCCATGTAGTTGAGTACTTGGTAAAGGAATGTGGTGCCTTCTTAGACCTGCGAGCACATGATGGCATGACTGCTTTCCATGCTGCAGCACAGATGGGGCACTCTACTGTGGTGGCCTGGTTGGTGAGTTCACGCCATCTTTAAAACTGCTTTAATTTTCTTTTGAGATTGGAATAATGAAAACGATTGCATGTTCAAAGAGGCAATTACAATTTCTTACGTATTCTCAGACTCAGTACAGTAGTGTTAATCAACAATTCCCCCAAATAAAATTAATCATTCACTTCATAGCTGTTTGTGAGACATTGCTGAGCACAAATTGACTGCCACATTCACCTGCAAATGCACAATCACTGTACTTTGTGCTTTGAGATGTCTCATAATAAGGCAGTCTAAAACCAGTTCCTCATCAAAGTCCTGTAGCTCAGTGGTTAGAGCACTCGCTTTGCAAGCGAGAGACCTGAGTTCAATTCCAGGCAGGGCGAAACCTTGGGCAAGTTTCCTTACTCCACACGCCTAATAATAATCCCTCCAAAAAACCAAAAACAATAATTAAATTGGTCATTTTCAATCTACGACTGTTTGTGGGACATTGCTGTGCGCAATTGGCTGCCGCGTTCGTCCACAAATATACAGTCAATTCACTTTACAGTGTGTTCTGTGAAGCGCTTTGGGACGTCCTCCTGACGTGAAAAGCGCTATATCAAATGCAAGGATTATTATTATATTATTATTATTATTATAAAGTCTCAACAGCACAAACTGCCATTCCTTTAGTACAAGACAATAAAGTGATTTGAGACTTTATCCTATGTGAAAAGCTCTATTTAACTCCATTTTTTTTGTTACACGTAACTCTCGAAAAGGACATGTTCAGCACTCATTATTTTAACAGAAATACGAAAATTAATAGAAATAAAAAGATGCATATCTAATTTTAATACTGGTTTGTGTATATTTCCGACAGTTTGATATTTTAGAAGGTTCTTGGTGATAAGTATGTTTTGCGATTGATGGCAGTTTCTCTTCACTGCATCTCATTTTGTTTTGTCTCTTCACTTGGATGCTTCAGGCATCTTTACCAGACATGGATCTGTCTGCTCAAGACAATGAAGGAGCAAGTGCAATGCACTTTGCTGCCAGCGGAGGACATGCCAGGATCTTGGAACAACTAATAACAATGAGAGCAAAGATCTTGAAGGACCACTGGGGTGGAACACCACTTCATGATGCTGCTGAGAATGGTGAGCTGGAGGTGGGTAATCAATGTTCACCCTCTCTTTATTAGCAACTTGCAACATTATATGAAGTTCAGGTTGCTGTTTCCATATCTATAAGTCTCTACTAGTGTCTCTCTTACACAACAAGAAAAAGCTGTTTATCTGATGTTCCTTCTCTCTCATCTATAAGCGATCTCTTTCTCTGCATCACAATCATTCTCGTATTTTTCTTCTTCTTGGTTGCTGCTAATGTCATTGTTTATCTGACAATGCTGCAATGGTTATTGCCTTTTTTCTCATGCTCGTCCTCCTCCTTGCATTAAAACAAAAGTTCATCAAAATATCATAACTCATTCTTACATAAATCTTAAGATACTTTGGTCTCATTTCATCTCCTGCTTCCTTCAACGTTGCTTGTATCCTTGCACTTTAGTACTTTGCCTCGGCTTCGGTGAATGAATCATTGCCCAGGCTTCTTCATAGCTTCCTTGGCCATGGTATGCTCAACTAGGAGGAGATCCAATAATCTGGACTGAAGTATTTATTAAGGGTGCCCTCCCCCAACCCCACCAAATTTAGAAAGGAAGGCTCAGTTCTCTTTGTAGCTAATCTCAGCGATGGGTATCCCTAGTGTTGGCAAGCTTTCAGAGGAAAAGAAATATTTCTTGTAAATGGAGGATGGAATAAGAACGGAAACTGAAAATACCATACAGAGACCCAATGTTTAGAAAGCTTAAAAATGTTCTGCCTCAAACCCTTCCTGCTTTCCTTTCTGACTTTCAGTGTTGCCAGATCCTAGTCATGAATCAAGTGGATCCTACTATCCAAGACAAGGATGGCTACACGGCAAGAAAGCTGGCGAACTACAATGGACACATGGAATGTGCCAACTACTTAAGGAGAATGGAGAACATGGTAGGGAGCGTTTAGTGTAACAGGTTGTTGTTAGACTGTAGAGGATATTTGAATGTTTGGTTGGACTGAGACATAAGCCTTCTTGTTTGGATAACTTTACATTGCAACCAAAAACAGAGGCAAATAACAGAGCATTTAAATTCAGTTAGAGAAATGTGGTCAGTGGGAACATTGCTGAAGAACTGAACACTTCTCTTATCCCTGATGCTGACACCAGGTGAAATTCACTTTTACTTCATGGTATATTTAATACACACATGAACAGGCAAGAGAGGACCTCAACGTAACTTCTTATCTGAAGGGCAGCAATGTGAAGAATGCAGCACTCTCTCAGCCTGGAAGATGGGCCTAGACTATAAGTTCACACCTAACATGGGCCTTGACCCACATCCTTCTGATCCAAAGATGGTTGTGCTATTAATTGATCAAAACTGATAGCTTTCTACATCATGCTGGCTGCTGTGATTGACACTGAGTGAGTCAAATCGCCAGCACAAACAACTGTGACAACCATAGAAAAACATCAAATATTAGAAAGCAAAGAAATATTTCCTTTATGAGGTTGGAATGTGTTTTGTAGGAACATTTCATTTTGGTGTTAGGCTTCCACCATACTGTTTCACTCTAATCTTTTGATCGCTAGTAAAGTGACACCATGGCAACTGAGGAGATGTGTGGGATGTTTGTAACTAAACACACAAAGCAGCATTAGAGCTATATATATATATATATAAACAAAAGGAGAATAAACAAAGGCTTAATTACCTGCTTGTGATAGAGGTGAATAAAGGAACCTTCTTATTGTCACAGAGTTCTTCCAGCTATCAATTTACCTCTGCCACTGAGTGTTTGAATGGATAAAAGCTCACCACGCACACATGTCAGTGCATCTAACTTCCATCTGCCTTTAGATTCTTTTGGTATTTCCTTCGGGATGGAACTGGTGGTATGATGTAGTCTGATGGTTATACATTGGGATGGTCCAATGGTTCTTCTGGTGAAATCGCTACAGGCCCCAAGATTGATTCATCTTATGTTGCTGAGGTTGTTGATCTTGGCTGGATTCACAAATTAGATGTTTAGAATGTGAGCTCCAGTCTTGACCAAGAAACAAGAGTGCCACTGACTGAGACAGGCTAATGCCTGGTAAAGCTATTGTACTCATCAAATATGAGTCCAAATAAGAAACATGCTACAATAACTGAGAGAATATTTCAATTTACTGCACCATTCTCCCACACCTTAATGCGCAGGAATTTCACAAAATAAAAACATCTCAGTATTTTCCATGTTAATTGCATTAACACCATCCTTGTAACAGGAATCCTATTTGGGAGCCCTAATATGTATGCCGTTGCCATGATATACACATTGTCCTAGGATTACCGAGCACACTGGCATAAAGCCAGCTTGTAGTAGGTTTTGTTCTTCAGCCTCAATGTCTCCTCTGTCTTAATTTACAGTACTTGGTAACCAGTAGCAATAAATAATGAATGACACATTATTTCTTCTTGTTGAACCAATGTACAATGGTTTCACAGCCATGAAATATGGATCACTCCAATTCCTCAAATTGAATGAGTCTCCTTTCCATTGTCCCAGTGCTTTGAAATAAGATAACTATGAAACACCAGGACGTGCTTCATTGAGCATAGGTATTTTTAAAAAATTCACAAAGCTGCACTTATGTCATTTACTATCAATGACTTTACATTATTTGGACTCAAAATGGTGAAGGAAAGCAATGTTTTCCTCCTTTGTGTTTGGTGTCCAGTGTCCGATCAACCACTGAAAAGTTGGGCACAGCGCAGGTTTGCTAAAGGATAAAGCTCCTTCATATTGGTCCATTAAGCACTTTCAGGCTAAGTACAATATATATCATAGGTCAAGACAAGTGACATCTTGATGGTGTCTCAAAAGAGAAAATACATTCTAACAGTTTGGCTAAAAATAGCTTTTGTTTTTGTCAAATGGTTGAGCCCATGATTCGAATACTCCTCGTGCTCTTCCCCAAGCATTGAAGCCTTTCTGTCTCTTTCACTTGTCCGTTCCAAATGGGAAGGAATCAGAGTCTTTGTAAAGGGAACTTGATCAAAATGGGGAGAAATACTAAATGGGATGCCAAGAGGTCATAGGTTTAGAGTTGTAAATGACAACTTCAGGACAAGAAGGTTTTTCTTTACGTAGAAAGTAATCAATGACTGGAACAGGTTGCCTGTAAATGTGGTCGAGGCCAGGACACTAGATTCAATAAAGGGAAATTTGATGCAATGATGAGGGTAGTGGTAGAATGGGTGTTCTGGGGGGATGAGATCAAATGGACTAAAGGTCTCTTCATCGAGACCAACCTTGTGATCTTGTGAAATGCTTAACCATCCCCGGCACAACCCCATGCCATGCATTGCGCCCTGCAGCAGTATTCAAGGGAAGGATTATCGCTACAATTGTAATTTTTGACCCTGGTCCTCACAAATCTTCATGATCACTGTTGACAGATTTGCATAAATTGAGTTTTTATATATATATATATATGTTTGTGTATATATATATATATTTGAAGAAAGAGCCAAAAAGTGTATATTTCAGGATAATGTCCTTAAAGGGACGTGCTAATCCCCAGTTTGGGTCAACTATTTGGATTGTAATTGTTAACCTTTGAAGTGGGTGTAAACTATTCTTTATAAACTGGTGTTATGAAACAAGCTTTAGCTGAAATATTCATTTCTAAGAAACAATTGCATCAGTCAGACGTATTCAGTGCCACATCGCCTGTACAGTGCTGCATAGAGAATCACAGGTGAGAGCTCTCAACCGAGAAACAATATAGTTTATTTAAAATGTCCTGCATTGTCCAAGAGCAACATGAGAGAGGAGGAAAGCAGCGATGCACAGCAGAGCGATTTACGTCCCTCACAATGGCATCAATAAATTGTCTTTAATTGGCTCCATGACGATGACCTTATTTGTCACCTGAGCTCAGCTAAATAATTCACTGAATACTAAATAGAGTTCCATCATCGGCCCTTATAACTTGGGTGAGTCCAACTACATTCACTGGAGAAGTTAAGTGAAGGTAAAGTCCTGGTGGACAGTCCTCACAGTAGATTGAACCAAATTTTGGGAAAGCTTGGTACTGGTTCATCAATAAATGCAAACTAGGAGTGTTGGTAGAGCTTGGCTTCATCAGCAGGTTCAGGAGAACTTCTTGCATTGAATAATACTGGTGACAGGACTCATCTTGGGACAGTAAGTATCTTGGAGCAAAATTAATTATCAAGTGGTTTAGTATCGGGAGAATATGATTGCTATCACATTGTATGTTAGATTGACACTTATCTAACTTAGTTCTTGGGACTAATCTATCAATCCCAATAGAGCTAGGGCTGATTAGAGAGTGTGGGTTTGGGACAGCAGAAAGATTATTTATAAAAATAAACTGTTGAGCAGTTGGACCATGTAACTTATGAGTAATAGATAATTGCCAAAATCTATGCTTCAGTAAGCAGTTATTAGATTTTGTATAGTTCCTGCTATAGATATTGCCAACTACTGGTTCAGTGTCCATAATTTCACTTGTAATGTTTTCTCTCCATGTTACATCTCTTTTATTCATCATCTCTACTGCTGAGAAACAGACAAGGACTACAATAGTGCTTGACATAGAAGATTATGCTTGAAGGCTTAGTAGAGGAAGGGCAGGAGGAGGCTCATGTAGAGCATGAACACCGGCATAGACCAGTTGGGCTGAATGGCCTGTTTCTGTGCTGTATATTCTAATGTATTCTAATGTGTCTTGGATTTAACTGGGTAAAAATAAATACCAGTGATGTTAACTAATTAAGAAAGCAAATAAAACCTGCTGAAAAATTTCATACAGAGTGGGTCAATTGTACAAATTCTCCCTTGGTAATTCTTTTGGTGATCCTTCTGGATGATTAGTGCTAATGTTGTGTCCAGCTCTCACTGAACTGACTGGTTCAAGTTTTGCTTTCAGCCACTTCTGAAGGATAATTCTCCCTCTTTGCTGAAGGAAGACTCATTTAGAAGGTCAAAGAGCATAGTGAGACGACAGAGTGGTGGTGATTACTACAGGTCATTTAACGAGGGGCGCAGGGAGTTGTTGAACTTTCCGAAGGAAATGGAAAATGACAAGGTAAGTGGGGGTCTGCGACAACAGATATAACTCCAATAGACCACAATATTGGTTCAACCCATTTGATCTGATCCACCCAGAATACCCACCCTACCACTGTCCCATCACAACATCAAACTGTCTTTTAAATGAGTCAAGTGTCAGTGACCTCAACCAACCTTCCTGGCAAGCGGTTTCAGTTATTAATTAAGAATTAAGAAACACTTTCTGGTGTCTGTCCTGAGATTACCCTTTGCAAATCTACTACAACAACAACATTACATTTGTGAAGTGTCTTTCATGTCGGGAGGACAGCCCAAGGCGCTGGACAGTCAGTGTTTCGGACCCTAAACTAAACTTTAAACCTAACTTCTCTTGTTGTATTGTCTCGGTGCATCCAAAAGTATTGTTCTGTGTTCACTTTTTTATCCTTAAACATTCAGATTTGGTATGTGACCAAAAGGAACCTAGATTAAGATCTATATCTCTGGACGTTATGATGCTTCTGTGCAAGTCCAAAGTTTTCTTCTGAGAGTAATGTGTGAAGCTGCCATGTATCAGAAACTGAAGCTGGATTTGTGGCCTTTTAGTTTGAAATCCTTGAAACTGGGAAGTATTTGGAGTTTGGGTTCATGTTTAACATGGTGTTTGAATTAATTACAAACACTGCCCTGCAACAAGATGCGTTTCAGCTATATCCAGTAATCTGTCAGTCAAAGCTCACTGCTAACTAGCAGATGGCCAACTTCTTCTCTGTATAGTTCACTTGGGTTCAAGGAGTGACTCCATATTTATTAATAACTTTGTTTGCAGTTGCATTCAACTCAGGAGATGAACGCTGTTGGTAATATCTTGTTCAAATGCTAATAGAGCAATTTAGACATGTCTAACAGCTACATAGAAAAGCCACGGGTTTAAAGTTTTAGTCAATTTAATCCTTGCTGAAGCATCCAGTCTATTACATTTCATTCGCTGCAATGATCTCCAATCACCATATCCTTTCAACTCATGTCTCACAATGCTGTTGCATTTAAGAGACATGATCTGTTCAGGATGGCTGTTAATTCCCTCCCTGAATACAGACTTACTTTCAAGTGTACTTATCTCTTAATGTTCATTGTTGCTTCAGAAACTCTTCTGATACATGGCAGCTTTCTATTATAAGTAATGGAAATTGTGTGGTGCCCAGAGCTGCAGAACATTCTGGGTTGAACAACTGTCCTGCCAAGTTTTAAATGGCTGACTGTCTATGCCATTCTGACTTATTGATCTTTAAAATAATGAATGGGAACAGCATTTGTCACTCCATGCATCTACATTTTCATTCCAGGATACAATATTGGTAAAGTCGGAGGCACCTATTTATCCACAGCCGCCACCCCTACCACCACCACAGCCAACCCCACAGCTGATCAAATCACAGCCACTGGCAAGGACAACGTCAGCAAGTAATAGTTATCATTGCACCAGCAGTAAGTAGACAGTCCAGCGCTGATCTTCCTCTATCTCACACCCTCTCTATTCAGTCATTGCAGTCTATCCTTGTTACCTTGTGAGCTAACAATCATTAACAAAAACCTGACTCAGGGAAGAAGCTGCAGCTACTCAGAACAACAGCTCCCATTTACAGTATGTAGAGCTCTTCACGTTGGATAATGTCTCGGAGTGCTGATCCTCAGTCTGCAAGTGGGAGAAATGTCATTTTGTTACTTCAAGACAAATTATCTATTCCCAGAGAGTGAAATCCCTGTGTACCAAATACATTGTGAGTCAGAGAACAAGAAAGAGAAATTCTGATGATATATTGCAGGTTAAGCTGCAACCGTTTGGAAAAAGAAAGTCAAATATTTGGCAAACATTTTTCTTGTTCGGTTGAAAGTGTCACAATGCTGGGAGGATAAGCAACCCAGAAATGCACCATTGTTTCCCCACAAATACACAGTCAATCCATTTCACAGTAATTCCTGTAAAGCGCTTTGAGACTTTCTTCTGACGGGATAAGGCATCGTATCAAATGCAAGCATTAGAGCAGTGGTTGGAGCACTTGACTCTCAAGCGAGAGGACCCGACTTCAATTTCCGGGTGGAACGAAACCTTAGGCAAGTTTGCTTATGCCACATACCTCTGTTTACCTAGCATCAAGTAGGAACCCCAGTTATTAGTTGATTGCTTTCTGGGGTAATATTTCCTAAAAGAAAAACACTCAATCCACGACAGTTTGGGGGACACAGTTAGCTGCCTCGTTTCGCCCACAAAATATTCAGTCAATTAACTTTGCAGTATATTCTGTGAAGTGGTTTGAGATGTCTCAACAATGTGATGAGGCACTATATCAAATGCAAGGCTTATTATCATTATTATCATACAACATAATAAAATAACATATTGGTCAAATGTTCCGTTCTGAGCACAGCCCAATGAGCAGTTTGATCCTTGGGAAAAGTAATCGTGAAAATAAAAACCTAGCTCAGGACTCTCTTTTTTTGTAGATGTGAAGCCTTTTAACATGGTGCATCCCACTGATGACAGCTCGGAGCACATCGTTGAACTGAAGTCAGAAACATTGCTAAAGACAGTGGGATTTACCACTGTGTTTGTGGGCAACTCGGGGCAACTGGTGAGTTCCTATAAGAAAGTAAGAGTGGACTTGTATAGAAACAGGAGTAGGCTATTCTGTACCTCAAGTCCAGTTACCCGCCCTTGCTCCATATCCGTTGATACCCTGACCTAATAAGTATAAATGTACCGATATAACTTGTACTTGTTAGCTGGGGACGGTTGGAATAATTCCCGTCCTCAACAGTTCAATCAGTTGTCTAAATTGATTGTTTTTTTTCATTATTGGTCGTGATCAGAATGTGTCAGTTTCATTGTTTTTAGAATGAATACAGAAGTGCAACCTTGAGTAGTAGTTTGGATCAAACTTCCCTGAGCAAGCTAATGTGCTGGTTGTGGAAGTGAGTAACGTAGAGCAGTTTGTTGGTGCTGAGAATAAACTTACTCTGAATCTCACAGTGAAAGGAGCAATTGGGGCTTCTAACCTTTGTTCCCTCGGGAACTTACATTTGTTTTTACTACAAATAAGTCTCATCCACATGTAAACTTCTGAATAGGTTCACTACTAGTTTATAAACTTGCATTTGGGGAGTTCTTTTAATTATACAGTAGTTATACTGGTACCCACAGGAAATCTGAGGGGTGGGAGAGATTACTGAGTAGGAAATCACTAGACATATTCAATTACACATACCATACCATATTGATTGTCTGATACAGAGCTCAGATTTTTTTTGTGTAATTCAATTGTCCAGGCCTTGTCCTGGCCTTAAATCAATTGACATCCTGGGATGTTGGCAAATGTAATAGATAGGCTATGTGAATGGGCAAACAGATGGCAGATGAAGTATAATGTCGGGAAACGTGAAGTCATCCACCTAGGTGGCAAAAACAGTAGGGCAGATTATTTTTTAGAAGGGGAGAGACTAGATAGTGTTAGCGTTCAGAGGACTCGAGTGTCCTTGTACACCAGTCACAAAATGTTAGTTTGCAGGTACAGCAAGCAATTAGGAAGGCTAACGGTATGTTGGCATTTGTTACAAAAGGGTTACAATATAAAAGTAGGGAAGCCTTGCTGCAACTGTATAGGGCCCTGGTGAGACCACACCTAGAGTATTGTGTGCAGTTTTGGTCTCCTTATTTAAGAAAGGATGTACTCGCCTTGGAGGGGATACAACGTAGATTCACTAGGTTGGTACCTGGGATGAGGGGGATGAGTTATGAGGATAGGTTGAGAAATATAGGCCTATATTCTCTAGAATATAGAAGAATGAGAGGTGATCTTATAGAAACCTATAAGATTATAAAGGGGCACAACAGAATAGATAGTGGGAGACTTTTTTTCCCCTGGTTGGAGAAAATATAACCAGGGGTCACAGTCTTAAAATTAGGGGTAAGCCCTTTCGCACTGAGTTGAGGAAAAACTTCTTCACTCAGAGGGTAGTGAATTTATGGAATTCTCTACCCCAAAGGGCTGTAGATGCTCAGTCCTTGAACATATTCAAGACTGAGATTGATAGATTTCTTGTGGATAAGGGGATTAAGGGATATGGGGATAAGGTGGATAGGTGGAGTTAGAATAAATCAGCCATGATTTTATTGAATGGCATGGCAGGCTTGAGGGGCCGAATAGCCTACTCCTGTTACTAATTCTTATGTTCTTATTTTCTTATGTAATAGTACAGTATATAAATACTAACACAGGTTGTGTCGATCGTTGAAACTCTTTCCTCTCCCCCCCACTCCTCCCACCCACCAGTTACGTGCCTTTTAGATCTTGGTTTTATAATATAAAGTGCTAAAGTGTTCCAATATTTTAATTGGATTAGATTGGGAAAGTAAGTCTTATGGAGATCAAAGTAACTAATTTCATGTTCATTATTGGGTAAATATTCTACACTTTTCGTTCTGATCTCCTCATCTTGAATAGAAGCAAACGTTTGAAGAGGATGAGAAGGAGAATGGATTTCTGCCTCTCCCAGTGGACGAGGTTAGCTCTATTGACGTTGATTCCCTTGTGCCCACACATGACGAGAGGGGACGTCCAATCCCTGAGTGGAAACGGCAAGTAATGGTCCGAAAGCTGCAGGCTCGCTTGCAGGATGAAGAGGAGGCACGGAGAAATGTAAGACTGACTACAGATATGACTCACTCCAGTTCCTGTCCTATTTCATGTGTGTAACATGACGTCCTAAGGCACGTCCCATGGTCTTGGGACGTCCTCCTGATGTGAAAGGCGCTATACAACTGTAATTTGTTGTTGTTGTAACAACAATAGTAGGTTAATTGGATTTTACCACAAACTTCACATTGAGATAAGATTTTCCCTTCCAAATTTCTCCTTTTTTAATTTTGATTCCTTCCCCCTTTTTACTGCAACTGAAGAGTGTTTTTTTGTTCTCTCGTGCAATATGCAATAATTGATCTAACAGACTGGCAGAACAGGCTTGAGGGGCTGAATGGCCTACTCCTATTCCTATGTTGCTAATAATAATAATAATCCCTCCAAAAACAATAATAAATTGGTCATTTTCAATCCACGACTGTTTGTGGGACATTGCTGTGCGCAATTGGCTGCCATGTTCGCCCACAAATATACAGTCAATTCACTTTACAGTGTGTTCTGTGAAGCGCTTTGGGACATCCTCCTGACGTGAAAAGCGCTATATCAAATGCAAGGATTATTATTATTATTATTATTATTATTGCTATGTTACGCACATGAAATAGAAGCAAGAATTTTCTAAACCACTTTGATTTCACTGCTGATAGAGATATCGGGCTGCTCCCTCTTGGATGTGCGTTTGGTCATTTTGCTAACTGACGAAATCAAGGGGTACTAATCAACTTCTAGTTGGTGAATTACTTTATCATTGTATTATGCAAACTATGTTTCGCCTAAAAAATTTCAGAGGCAACCTGACCCATACCAGTGACCATCTCATCTAAAAATTAAAGTGGGAAAAAATAAACAAATGAATGTTTTTTAGTTTTAAAGAGCTTGAAGGCTGGAGGCACGTGGGATAACAATAATAATCATAATTCTTACATTTGATATGTAAGGATTATTACTTGCAGTATTAAGGATATAGTTGTGATAAGCAAATATTACAATCATGTTCAAATCTAATTTTACTCAACAACAACATACACTTGTAGGGTGAAATAGCTTTGCCAGAAATATAGTCATCTTTTGCAGGGACCAGCATAAAGCATAAAAATGGAGGCTTGGTTCTCAGTGGAGTCTTAGCCAAAAAAACTGAGCTGGTCTAAACCTAGGTAATTGTGCTACTTTCTTTGAACCAAAGTTGAAGATGATTGCCACAGGAGATTGTCTATGTACGTGTGACTTAGCGCAGACTGTTCCCTAACACTAGCAAACATTTAATTCTTTATTTCATTGAACATTTCATGCTTCAAATGACTTTTTCATTCCCAGGAAAGGATTGAAGGGTGTCATTAGATATCTTATTTTTTCTTCTCTTTATGACAACTTTGAAAGAGGGCAAACTAGAGAGACCTGCGAGGATTATTATTAGTATTATTATATCTATCTGATGGGGAAACATAGTTTGAATGCGTGTTGTGTGTTGGATGTTTTGTCATGTTGCATGCTCACTTTGGGGTTTATTACGCTCTTCAGTAGGTCTATCTTTAGATGATATAGGAATACCTATCCTAATCTGTAACGTTGAGATGGCTAGTTAGGGTGTTAACGTAATGAGGATACGCTTATCCACTAAAAGAAAATGAATGGCCTAGCTTGTTCAGGCTAGTTTGTCTATTATACACTAAGTTATGTTTGAGATGATGACTTACTCTAAAGTTGTATGAGGTGTGCATTGTTTTAAAGCAGAAAAGATTGGGCAGAGGCAGGAATATAAAACCGTTACCATACAGCCTGCATAGCACTGCTCTGCAGTGTTGGATCTACTGCTGTGTTTCACATTGAGTTGCAGTGTTTATGTCTGTTGATGTGTTGCTGTGTTTGATGTTGAGTTGCAGTGTGCATTACTGTGTTTGACACTGAGTTGCATTGTCAGGATGCATTGCTATGTGTTGTATTGAGCTGCAGTGTTCATGTGTACTGAGCTATTTTATAACCTTCTGAATAGCATTGTACAATGATTTTAAGGATGAGATTAATCTTTCAAAAAAAGGCTTGGATTCCACCAGAAGTACATAATTTTAGATTTGGGGATATTGCGGTAAAGGAATGAGGTGACCATTGTGTTTGTCACACTGAGAAATTGCATTGCTGCAGAATGACACCTTTTGCTCCTAGCAAACACCAGGTTTTCCCCAGATCCCACTGCACTGTCCCTATCACCAGAGGCAAAGTATAAATAGGTTTCCTGCCTCTGCCATTCTTAATCTTTTTAAACACTTAACGAAATTCATATCCGCCTCTCCCATTGATAAAATATACAAGTTGAAGTGGAGTAAGAAGGCAATCCAAATTCAGCTGCTCAACCATAATAAATTATGGTTGCCAAAATGACTTGGATTTTGAATTAAGTGAGATCTCCGGGAAGATTCTACCATTTTACAATAGCCTGTGGAGTTTGATTTGGGAGTTTATTCTCATCCTTAGTTCAAAGATTGAGATGTAATCTTAAGATACATTTCAACTCTTGTTTGCTCTATCAAGCATGAAGGGAATGGTTATCTGCAGATGGAAGGGTGGAGGTATTCCCAGGTCCACAACGCCATACTGGGACCGTATGGAGAACTGCTGACTGAGGATGACCTCATCTACCTGGAGAAGCAGATCGAGACTGTGCAAGTGAAGAAAAAGTGCCAGGAGTATGAGAGCGAGCTAACCCGATTGGCAGAAGAGCTTCGAACCATTCTCCCTGCTCCCTTTGTCAACATAACCGTGAACACACAATTCTTCCACCAGAATGCAGGGAAGGACGAACACACTTCGTTGCCTGTGTGGTGTAACAGGATATCTGGGATTGTGAGGAGCATGTCGCTGCTTCTGTCCAATTTAAATGAAAAGGATCGTGGCGATCATGAAAACAAGGAAATTACCAAAATGCCAAATTTGGAACTGGTATCCGTCTTCTCACCAAGCCCTGAGAAAACATCTTCAAAACTGACGAGAAATAAGGTAGAGAAAGAGATCCAGCACTATGGCGTGTCCGTGCGAAACCTGAGGGCAAACTTTGAGAAACAATGTCCGACAAAAGAAAAGTCCATGCCTCCACTTCACATACCGGAAAGCCAGAAATGTACAGCAGAAATGCACAACAAGACGTGTTATTCTGTTGAGCCTGATGTTACGGTTCACCCGGCTAAAGATCAAACTTCAGAGGGTGCCATCCTTGATACCAATGCAGTTATTGCTGAACTAGAAACCTGGCAGGTAGATACCTCTGAAACTCAGCAAAGTGAGGTGACTAAAGTGCAGCTGCCTGATTTTCCTCAGTCGGAGGAGATGGAAGGCACAAGGTCCTCTGGAACTGATGCAGAGGAGAGTGCAGCAGACCCACACCCTTCTGGGACAGAGGCAACTAGTCTAAGGAAAGAAAGAATAGTTGTACTATTCCTGGGCCACTGGAAAAAGTCCACCTATACTATGTCTTTGAAAATGAAAGTCCGAGACATCCACAAAGCAGCTGTCAATGTTGGAAACAGCAGTGAGGTTCTAAAGGTTACAGAAAGTAACAAAATAGAAGAAAATAAAGAAAAGACAGAACCAGAAATGAGCAATGAACCCCAGGCCAAGCAATCCATAGAGAATGGCAAACTCAGGCATCTCTTCTTACAGCGAAGGACCATCAACAAACTAATTGGCAACTGGAGAAACATTATATCTCATGTTCCTTCCAGGCAGATCCGACGGCTCCATCGTCAGCAGATTACATATTCTCCAGAGCAGTTCCTGCCCCGTGTGAATGGTATACCACTTGATTACGATAGCCTTACACTTGACCTTTTTATGCTGGGATATTTTCACATCCTTGAACTTGACCTGCCTCCGGATGAAAGGAAAATGAGGCATCTTTTGTGCTTCGAGGTGTTTGATCACTTGGGGGCATTCAGCTGGGATGTGGTCCGTGAGTTCCACAAGGCAGTCATCGATGAGATTGATGGTGGTAATCGAGAATGGAAGAATGGATTTGAAGACATCAAACAGAGGTTTTTCAGCAACCCTGAAAATACAGCGGCTACAACTGACTTCCCCAAACAGCCGATCGTGGCTGTGAGATCTGTGCCCAAAGTCATTGTGCAAAGTGCCACACCTGAAGAGGACGAGGAGGGAACAGGACATGGTTCCTCTTGTGACCTCTCAAATTTCAGTAATGATGAGATATGCAAATACATCGATAGAAGCTTTGCTTTCTGGAAGGACAAAGAAGCTGAAATGTTTGACTTTGAAGAATAAGTAGCTAGTTTCCAGGTTATAGTTAACTCCAGTGCTAACATTTTTTAATTGGAATTCTGGCAGGTGAAAGGAAGAAGCAGAGATTTTCCAGGGTTGTGAAAGCATAAAGTTTGCTTATATTTGCAGAAGAATTTTAATAAAACATTTGTATTTATTACATTCTAAAGAGTCAACCAAACTACTTGGAGTTATGAAATGTGGAAGGAAAATTTAATGTATCCTCTGTTATTTTGTAAACCGTTATCTTCTGCTCCAATGTTCTCTATTGCTGTTCTGAAGAGCCTCAGTCCTGTTATCTCCTCTGAGCCAGTTCAGTCCCAGAGAGACTCTGCTTTCTTGCCTCCCCCGAGGACATTTTTATCAACCTCAAAAGCATTACTAGGTTAGACATCTTTAATATTTTATATATTTTCAACAGTGCTTTACTACTCTTCCCCCAAATCCCTTCACCAGACTCTAGTGAAATTTACATTAGGGCATCAATGTTTCCAAACAGAGGAGAACCTAAATCAAATCTACGTTCAACTGAAGTATGTTTTCCTGTAGGCCTGACCAATCTGGATTTTTACTGATCCTTAAATTACAATTCCTGCTTCTGTCTCCTTCTGAAGGCAACTTAGGTGAAATCACTACTACGAACGGATGTGTTTTGTTTTACCAGCCTAGTTTCCTCAAAGTATAAGGGACAGCCTCGGAATCTTCAATCAAATGCAAACACCACCCAGCAAGGCCAAAAATAATAATAATTCAAAACACCACACACCACACCTAAGGTGTAAAAGAGATGTACTATAGCTGGTCAACGGACAATTAGAACAGGGAGCGTCTCAGTTTGTGCTGGGGTTCCCCTCTTGGACTCTCGTCAGATTAGTTTAGTCCAGTGAAGCAATGGAATTCAACATGTCTGGGGCCTTCAGAGAAGACTACTGGCCTCAATCCCTAGGGATTTAACTGTGCATTATAAAGGGATTACAGTAGAGATTTGCTGAGGTGGTAATGTAGAAAAGTTTAGAAACTCATAGAAATTTCATGAAGCCTTTCGGCCCATTGTTCCGGTGAACTTTGAAAAGAATTGACCCACGAATAATTTCTTACCCTTTTGTGTCTTTTTGTCACTGTTTGATTGTTGAACAATAAAAATGTAAATGATTTTGAAAGTGATTCTTTTGTACTTGAAATGAAAGCACATCATCTCCTCACATTTCTACAATGGGCCAAAGCATATCACACCCTTTTCCTGTATAAATGTTGCATGAGCATATCACTTATTGAAACATCAAGGAAAACATTTCAACTGGGTCAATACTTTTAGCCTTTTTTTCTTAGCATTTTAGATTTTGAACAGTTTTTAGATTAAGGTACTGTAGGTTGCTTTAAAAATGACAGCAAACTGCCTTCAAAGTTAAGACTGAAGGCAAACTTGGTGTCAACAGTTTGCACGCTCTGAAATCCCAAGAAAAGCAAGTTTTTGTCTAGAGCAAGGTAGAATCTCTAAGTAATTTTAGTGTTCACTAATGTGTAGAATAGCCACAATATGTCAATATTAAAATATGTAAAACCTATAGAAGTAATAATAATAATCCTTGTATTTGATATAGCGCTTTTCACATCAGGAAGACGTCCCAAAGCGCTTCACAGAACACACTGTGAAGTGAATTGTCTGTATATTTGTGGGCAAACGTGGCAGCCAATTGTGCACAGCAATGTCCCACAAACAGTCGTAGATTGAAAATGACCATTTTATTATTGTTTTTGGTTTTGGAGGGATTATTATTAGGAGTGTGGAGTAAGGAAACTTGCCCAAGGTTTCGCCCTCTGCCTGGAATTGAACTCAGGTCTCTCACTTGCAAAGCGAGTGCTCTAACCACTGAGCTACAGGACTCCACGTGATATCCAAAATGATATCCTCCTGTGTCAGCCAGTCAATGCTATGCTTGCCGAATTTATTTGTTTGAATTGAAGCCTGGCATCATTCTTTCCCATGAGAATAGAACCAACAATCAACCAAAAAAGGATAAAGGTAAGACAAGACTATGAATCTATGGGATGAAATACATGACGTGATGGAATAACTATCATTGGTAATGATTATCACATCATATATCCCTTATACATGGCATGAAATATGAATGCTAAGAGCATCCTTCCTTTACCTCTGCATGTGTTTTTATGTGAACTCTAAAAGACAACAGTAAACTAAAGAGAAACATTAAATATATAACAATAGATTTCTTTTGTGAAGTATTCATTAAAGAGAATGTCAAAATGCAACCCATTTTTTACAATTCACTCAATGTCAGCATCAGTTTTTTCTCCTGTCTAAAAAGATTTTGAGGTTAATGAGGTGGATGTTTTTGATCTGTTAAAGCTACTTCATTGGACTTTCAGGGCATTGGGCAACACTGAAGTAACCCCACTAGCTGTTGGATGGTGAAAGGTCAGCCAATGATGGTATTGATTTCTTTAATGAATGGAACATGTGCTTAGTGAAAGCAAAACAGTTCTGGAACTCTTCCTTGTTGCTTAATTCTTTATAATGTGCTTGAATGAATGACCTATTTCTATCTTCTGTAAGATCTTCCCCAGTTATTATCCAACCATGGAGGTCAGTGTCTTCTCTTCCCAGGAGCTCACTATCCTCCGCATAGTGCAAATTCCAGCCCAATGTACAGAGGCAGATAGTAAGTAAATTACTCTCATTCACTGCTCCACAGCAAATCGAGGAAAATAGACTATTGGGTGATTGGCCTCCCTGGAAACGGGAAATGATGAAAAGGAAGCTTGATTATGAAAAGTAAGTATAATCAAAACAGAAGCTACTCGAGGAACCATTCTGCTACAAGTAATGTCTCACTGTGAAGCGCAGAAACTGAAAGTAAACATCGACATGTTAACGGTTCTCCCAGAAGTTTTCCAACAATTTATTTCTGGAATTTCCATGTGTAGATGGGCTGCATGGAATTCTCAGTTTGGTTTGGATACTCTTAAGCAGGGTGATGGGTTTCCGTGTGTGTCAGACACCCGGCTGAACCCCTCCCCACCCAAAAAAAAACACCAAATGTATATTGTTCCACCCAGATATAGTCCGACTCTGATCTCTATTTATCTAAGGTTTAATTGTGAGAAATGGACCTGGGTATGAATGCATTGCTGTCCTCTCTCTTTCAAGCCATCATTCCTTGGCTACTCAGTCTTTTGAGTTGGCTGAACCTGGGACCTTGAAAGTATGCGTTACTCAGCTACTCACTGGATAAACGTTTTGCTCATTGAAGAATGTTCATGCAGTTATAAACAAATCATACAGATTGATTTACTGTTTCGGTGGCACTATTAGAAACTTAAAAATACTTCTCTTCTATCTGATCAAACATGTTAAATCTCTTCATATTAGTCTTATCTGCCCGCTGATGCATTTTAGGCTTATTTCTGTGTATTTTTAAATCTTTCTCTCTCATTTTGTGTTTTAACAGGAGGAAGCAAAGGTGAGTTGGAATCCCCATCCCACAATCAGGAATTGAAAGTGGGTTGAATTTGCTTGTTTTAGGTGCTGTGACAGGTATTGTCAGGTAACGTGCTGTGCTCCTAACCCTTAAACATTGAGGTTAAAAGGGAGATAGATTGTTCATCCATTGTTCATATTATACCCTAGTTAGAGATTGACAACTGGAGGTCTCCCACTTTTCAGAGCTGCTTGACTTCAGATCCACTGACTGAGTGTAATGCTTTTTGGTTAGGCTACAGTGTATCGCACTATGCAAACTACTGCAACTAAATCAGGTCTGTTCCTGATCAAGTGCTGAACTGTCCATTCCAATCGCTCAGTTTACATTGGAGAACACTGATGTGAAGCATCGAAACTCAGCACAAAACAATAAAAAATCTTGGGAACAATGATTGTGGCAACTCTCAAGTATTTGTTTTGTTAACATTCGGAGCAGTGTACTGATCTGCATGGATCAATAGCACACCAGAAGGTGCAGCATGCACTTACCTAATTTAACAAAGCCACAAATATTGTTTTCTAGATCAGAGGAGGAAAGAAAGAAGAAAGAGGAACAGAAGGAGATGAGGGAGCAGTCTAAAATGATCAAGCAACTTGGTTACGATGAAAGCCATTTAACTCCATCACAAGTCCAGGCCATCCTCGTGAGGTACAAATTCAGCAAAAGAGCCCCAGAGAGTGGAGTCATTGCCCAAGAGAAAATCAAGTTCACCTAAATCTAGGATAAATCATCAACATAAGGTTAAAATTCTATTGAAAATCCTTAATGTATTTACAGATTCTGGAAGAATATATACTTTGTTGCAATTGATTTGAAACACAATTAACACTTTCTAATGTAGACAGAACCTGATATCTGTGCCACATCTCTCCAATTTATTACATTTAATTGTAATGTCCAGGAGTCAATGCTGACCCTCACAGGATGATATTCCAGCATCAATGAGAGGTCAGGAATGTTTGAGGTGACATGAAATAAACTTTGACATAATTCTTTAAATTGTTGGGTTAGGTACTGTAGCAGCTTGACTCATCCTAGAGTTACAACCATCTTGCACTGTGTAGACTCCAGACTATGTATCAGTTGTTTATTCTTAATAAAGTCCAGGAGACATAATTACAATTGTATGGAAATAAATATTTTTTTGCCGAAAGCTGCTGTGTTTGCGAGGATTATTATTAGTATTAATATTTTGAATTGGATGATGCAAACCTACACTGATTGATTAACCTTCTGGTTGATCTTTCTGCACATTGATGGGACTGTCAGGCGTTTATATTCTAAACAAAGCGCCTTTCACTTTCATTCATTCAGTCAACCAAGACTTGAGCAAGGTTGAACACCCCTATACTCCGGCAGAAGGCAATACCATTTTCAGGCGACCTTTCTCTTTAGTCAGGATTGCAATGAGATCTCCTCAAGAGTGCTAAACATAGGCAGTCTGGTCTGTGATATTACTGCATAACAGGAACGGATGACCCTGGAATCAGCAGAAGACAGCGACATTGCAACCATGCCCCCGCTTTGTATCGCCTTGCTTATTACAGGCATCTGTTACAAAGGACCTTCAGCCTGAATTACTCTTTCCAATTATAGCACAAAGATAATCAGTCAAATTCTTCAGGGTACAATGCAAAGAGCGCAGCAGCAGATGAAAGCAAAAAAAAACAGATTCAATAACTGTTGGAGAGGGGCGGTCTTGCTGTTGACATTTTTTGAGGAGAATATCTTACCCAAATAGAACAACAACTTGCACTTCTATAACACCCTCCACTCAGGGTAGGGTCTAAGAATGCTTAACAGTGGTGGAGCCTGACTCTGAGCCGGGAGGGGTGGAGGAGGCGACCCCCGTAATCACGGTCAAAAAGGAAGGTTTTTAGGTGGGTTGTGAAAAAGGGGCGAGAGGGGTCAAGACGGAGGGATTGAGAGAGAGAGTGTTCCACAGTTTTGGAGTGTAGTGGCTGAAAGCGTGACTTCCAATGGTGGAGTGGAGGGAACAAGGGATAAGTTGGAGGTCGGTGCCTAGTCCTACTTTATAAGACTATTTTGAGAATAGAGAATTTAAAATTGTGCAGAAGGTTGATAAATTCTGAAATCCAAATTATATTTGGAAGCCAGGTTTCCAACATTTTTTATATATAAAAAAATCCTCGATTCAAATTGAGACCGAATGTAAGATGTTTCCCTAATTCAGCACGATTTTAGAACAAAATAGCCCTGCAGACTAATACTAAGTTTAAAATCCGGCCTCATGCGAGGAAGAGAGAAAATGGGAAGAACAAATATAAAATGAGTAAGGCTGGTGGGGGAGGTGGAGGGGGCCAGAAAACCTTTTACCAAGGTTAAAACATATTAGTTTCCTGTGCAGTGATTTCTTCCGGGAAGCTTTGCTTTAAGAACAGGTGCTGTGTAGGAAGGCAAAGAGCCACGTAATTACTGTGTCCCCAAGGAGAGTAAATATAGCTGCATATGGAGCTCACAGCGAGAGTATGCGAGTGTCTATGAAGACACAGGACAGTCCGTCACACTGACTGGGGCTGTACTCTTTTATATCTGTCCTCTATACTTTTTTAATTTATATTTCAATATTTATCTTACATTACAAATCCAGCCCAACTACCCTGTTGTGTTTTCTAAAATCCCTTGAGATAAATAACTCGAGAAAGAACAGTTTTGAAGAGCCTTTTAACCGGACGAAGAAGAAACGCAGCTTTCTGTGAGGGTACAATAAATAGACTTTCAGGAAACCGTCTTAAGCTGTAAGGTAAGCGAGGCATGCAGAAGCTGGGTATGATTTGTCGGGGAGGGGGCATCGAGAGAACCTTACTCTGGATTTAATTTTATCATGTTGTAGTGGGCTGTTGGAACAATTCAGAGTGCTGACAACTCAGTATATTTCCCATCCCCCCTCTTCTTAAAGGAAGCTTCTTTCTAACTGTCTGCATATCATGTAACCATAGTGCAGCAACTTAAGTTCAAGTAAACAAAGAACCTGGTGGAATTGAGTTTGATTATGAGTGGATTTATAATCTGGGGAGATTTGTCTTGTGGTGTGACAGCATCTTCCCTAGATATACCAAGAATATGCCATGACTAAAGTGGTGAGACTAAGCTATCTGGGTGTTTTATAGGGGTAACATTACTGTGTTGAATGCAAACTGCTTCTCTTCCTGTGAAGCACCCACCAGTGAACCTGACCAGGGTGTCTAGTTCTTGTGGGGAGACAGAGTTGAGGTCACTGAATACAATGTAAGTTACATGAATAAAGTTCTGGGGTCAGCAAAGTAAAATCACTCCTAGTTTCGGGGATTTCTTGCGGTGGGGGCAGAACTGAGAGCGTTTTACTGTGTATTTACTCAATCCACAACTGTTTGTGGGACACTGGTGTGTGCTTTATGATGTAATAAGGCGCTATATTAAATGCAAGGATTAGTATTTTTATTACTTAATTGCATAATATTTGGCCTGGAAATCCTGGATGCTGACTCTGGCTACCTAGCTGGCAACAGGAATAAGTTCCCGTTATCAGCAGCTGGCGTCAGATTTCTAATGAATCTTACCTCCTCGGTCCTCCTGAGGAAAATAAGATTTATGAGGAAAACAGGAAAAGCTTTCCAGCTTCCTGCTGCGAATGACCCAGGTCACCCCTTCCAAATAACTTTCCCTTATTTATTTTCCATTCTCCAAGGTCACCATCTCATAATGGTTAATCCAATAACATGCTTCTAACCACGCTGGACTTCTCCAAGATCCAGTCCTCAAACAACCAGTCGCAATGGTTCGCAATGTGGACGACCTTGATTTCTGCCTTCCCACCCACTCGCAGAGTATTCTCGACGGACTAAAATCCTTGAGGTTGAACCCCAAGCTATCCGATGTTATTCTCCTGGTTGGCGGCCGTGAGATTCCCTGCCATCGGAGCGTCCTGGCGCTCTGTAGCCTCTACTTCAATGCCATGTTCACTGGGGACTTTGTGGAGAGTATTTCTGCCCGGGTGGAGATCAAGGAGGTAGAGCCTGTGATAATGGAAACACTGATTGACTTCGCCTACACTGGAAAACTTACTATAAACCAAAAGAATGTGGAGGCTCTCATACAGTCATCCAAACTGCTGCAGTTCACTACAGTTCAAAAGGTGTGCACCCGCTACCTTCAGCAACAGATTGACCACACAAACTGCTTGGGCATTTATGAGTTTGGAGAGGTTTACGGCTGCCCAGAGGTCAAAGTTAAAGCTCGCTCGTTCCTCCTTGAGAATTTTGAGGCTGTGTCCCAGAGCGAGGAGTTCCTACAGCTGGAGAGTGACAGGCTACTCGGGTGCCTTGGCTCAGAGCTGCTACAGGTACAAGAGGAGCAAAGCCTGGTCGAGGCCATTCTGCGATGGGTGAAATACAATGAAGCAGAGAGGAGTCGCTTCCTGCCAGAGCTCTTTCAGCTGGTTCATCTCCCCCTGTTAACTGTGGAGTATATGAGAGATCATCTATTACATGAGAAGGTGATCCAAGAATGTGAACTCTGCAGATCAACAATCGAGAATTATCAGGAAAAGGTACATCTTACAACATAGCATCTAAGCACGGTGATGGGTTTCCGTATGTGTCAGACACTCGGCTGACCAAAAAAAATTAGCACTCTGCTAATAAATCAATTAGTAGTTTATAAGTTACATTCAGATGTTATCAGTAGAGCCAGAATATAAATCGTGCACAATCTATGTACAGGTCTGCAATACCTTGGAGTGAGTTATAAGTTGGAACTTAATTGAGGGGTTCAGTTCTATCTACAGTAACAGACACCTGGAAGGGAGTTTACAAGTTGGAATCTAATCAAGATTTCAGTTTGTGGATGTCAATTCTAAATGAGTTAAGTTTCGATCCCAAAGTGTACGCCACTGGATCCCTTAGTTTAAGTTTTGCCTTCTGATGCATTGTGTTGTTTAACATGGTGTTACGTTTCAGTCAATTTTACAGTCAATTTTCTTTACAGTATATTCTGTGAAGCGCTTTGAGACGTCTCAATGACATGATAAGGCGCTATATCAAATGAATAGACAAAATAGCCCTTGCTGTGCCGGGGTATTAAATAGTGGGTCAAGAGCTTGTAAATTTGCTGTCGTCATATTCATGTGCAAAACAACATATGATCTAGTGTGGAGAATAACCAGCTTGGATGACAGAGCAGAACTAAATCCCCTATACACAGCAGCCAGAGAAAACCTATGCAGACATGGATTGCAGACAGAAATGCCTCTATAGTACTGTATTTTTGCCATTTAAAGGCCAAATGATTATTTTTACTTCTATTTTTGTTCAAGAAAGAAGACTTTCAATGAAGTAAGATTGGATCCCAATATGTGGCAGGGCTTGGATGATATTTTTCTGGCAGTCGCTTTCAATATACATGGATTTGGCAGCACATTCTGTGCTGTTGATGCCTGACACACTCCAGTATTTAAAATATTCAACCCACTGACAGAGTCTGCCATTAAATATATCACTGAATCCCATTCCCCCACACACACCCTCCCCCATTGAAACTCCCCCAATTTACTAGCTCCCAGATGCCCAGCTCCCAATAAAACCCAATTCAATGCCTCCAGGATACATTATAATAATATCACTGAACCCCCTACTGAGAAACATCATTCATTATGGCTAAGGTGCAAGAGGATAGCTGAGTCTAAAAATATTGTGGATTTGCTGTGATTGAACCAGGAAAAAAATCTTCCATGTCCTATATTCATGACCAACTACTAACTCCTAATGACCAGACTTCATACAACTTTCCCTATATATTAACAAACATTAAACTCAATATCCAACCCAACTGAAAGCAAGGACTTAGTACGTAGCCCTAATTAACTCTCATAGCAATACTTTTCTAACCACATCCTAGTAAACAGACGGAACACCAATACAAGCTGCTGTGGATAGCCTATAGGCCACTGAACATTTTGTTTTCTTGTCCGCCTCTTTTTATACACATAATGCAAACACAGAAAGTGATCCAATAAGTATAAATTCTACCAATGCATTGTGGACAAGAAATTCCTTCTAAGTGTAGTGGCTTTGACCATGAACGCTTATGAAGGAAGTTTCTCACACAGTTTTAAAACAATAAAATAGTTTAAGTTTATTACGGTAGGTTTATTTAACACCAATGATCAATTGACTACAAAACCAATGTATAAAACAATATCACCAAAATTGCTTGTCTTTCTCCTTTCTCGGTTGCATTGTATTTATAGACAAAAGCAGGAACTGCTGTACAAAGGCATCTCCCCTGCCTCAAGAAGCTTCAGGAGGTCCTGGTGGTAATTGGAGGACGAGCGATGGAGGAGTCAGATGATGAAGAAGATGAGGAGACTCCGATGTTGTCGAGAAATGCAGGGTTTTATAATAACATGATCAGTGAGTTAACATTGCACAGGGCTCTGGGTTATCAAGTGATATTTGCTGCAATTTTTAATCTTTGAATACATATGGCCAGCCTTATCAACATGGCCTCAGGGATTGTATCTGATGTATGTTACTGCATGTACAATCACCAAGGCCATGTTGATAAGGCATTGTGATTCACTGGCTGAAGTCCCCAAAAAGGTTCGAAGAGTGATGACTGAATTTCACATTACTGCACCTGAGTTAGCAGAAAAACATAGAGCGCTACCAGGTCAATCTACCCGAATCCATGTGGAATACATGAAAGATTATCTGGTGAACTAAAAGACTAAAGGGGAAGAAACGTATAGAAGGAATACGTTCTTTTGAAAATATTTTTCGAGATATTTTGGAAAATAGCATTTGTATCAAAATATATCTTATATCTAGCAAGTAATTCCTTCCTTTTTCTTGGCACTGGACCCTCTTTCTCCTGTCTAACCCTTTCTGATGGTGTTTCTCATTGTTGTTGAGCCACATTGGGGTGTTTTTATTGAGTTTATGAGGAATGGGAGGAAAGCTTTATACTGGCTTGAAGACCATTTATTCCCCAGAGAAGCACTACTATTACTGCATTGTTTGGTGTCTGGATGTTTCACAACTTCTTATCTCTAGCTGATGATGTTACAGTTAATTTTATTCCCTTTTACCTCCAGGACGCTGGTTACTGCTCCCAGATTTTCCTGATTACAACAAATGGGGATTTTCCGTTGTAGCCTTAAACAATGATGTCTACGTAACTGGTAAGATTTCCATCTGCAAAGCTTTGGTCAGAAGCTCTGGAAAATGACCTAGAGTTGCAGTTGCTGAATTGCTGGGAATCTTTAAACAGACTATGAGAAAGTGCTAACTATTTTTATTGAGATCCATTACAGTAGGGCAATTTCTACTTCTCAAACTTGTTAAGGATTTACTGTAAAGTGTAGGGCTGTGTCTTCTGTAGCAAAGGTGGGAGTCAATTTTCGCACAGCAATATTCCATTTGGATGGGCAAAGTGGAATGGAGTCCTTAATTTATCGTTAAATAAAGAAACAAATGATAATATTTATTCTTCAAAATGTTTTCAATCAAACATCAGCATTCCTGACGTTTTCCTTTATTGTCTTTTCAGGGGGTTCCAGAGGAAGTACTCATGACACCTGGTCCACAACACAAGTGTGGAAATTTGATTCCAAAGAAGGGGTGTGGGTTCCGATTGCACCTATGTTAAAACCCAGGACCAACCACGCTACAGCAGTGTTGAATGGAGAAATCTATGCTGTTGGAGGTATCAGAGCAGGGATTACAGAATTAATTAAATGTAATATTGGAGAGGATGTAACTGAGAATTAATTGAAACATAGTAGTTAGAATGTTTGCTTCACATTGCTGTGGAAGTAAAATTGTTCGAAATTGCCTGGACTCAATTTAGTTTCCAAAATGAGGAGTTCTGTTAATTCTAATATTAATTTTGTGCATCAATTCAGAAGAACTCATAGCTGTATCAGTCGTGTTTTTGGCTACATTATCCTAATAGTAAGGTATAGATCAACGTGGCTTGTACTGTGATAAACTTCGATTTCTGTCTGAATTGTAGGGACGCCATTGGATGTTGTGGAAGTGGAACATTACGATCCATACAATAACAACTGGTCTCTGATCAGTCCGACCCTGAAGTATGTCAGTAACTTTACTGTCACTGGGTGCACAGGAAAGCTCTATGTGATTGGCTCTTGTGCAGCAAAATACAACGCTCTCACTCTGCAATGCTACAATCCCGTTATAGGTGAGTCTTTTACACAAACAAAGAGAAACTCACCAGTCCGTGGAATTTGATGCTCTCCATTTAAGTGTAAAAAACAATAGCTCGGGGAAATTCAGATACATCCAACTAGTTTTTTTTTATGTTTTCAATTGCTACATTCAAATAAATACTACTAATATAGTCCTTGTACTTGGTATAGTACCTGATCATGTCATCGAGAAGTCTCAAAGCACTTCACAGGATACACTGTGCCTGTGTGTATTTTGTGGGCTAATTTGCGTACAGGAATGGCCCTCAAATAAACATGGAGTAAATGACCAATAGAAACTAATATTACAACAATGAAGCTGCTCAGACAACAGCAGGGAATGTAATAATAGTAAACCTATACAACATAAAAATAAATGGTGAACAAAATAAAAAGGAATAACAAATTTTACAATGGCTGCTGTTGATTCTCAGCATCTCATGTAGTCCTCAAAAAAGTGACATTTCTTACAAGAATGCATTATTAATTCATAATTTGCTCAGATCTGTTTATTTCACCATGTTAAGTACTGAATAATTATCTGAATTTATTAGTGGCTTGAAAACTTTATTGGAGCACATTGTAAACTCAACCACTCATTACTATTGGTGCTTGGCCTCTTTGAAGCTGTTGCCATTTTATCTGTTTTTCACCATGACGTGTCCCTTTCAAAGTCACATTCCAAACCTTTTGAACCAGAAGGTCGAAGTAACTCGTAGAAACAGTTTGTACCATCTCATGACTTAAACATTTTATTTTCCCATCCAGATAGCTGGAGTGTTATTGCGTCGCCCTTCATTCCGAAGTACTTATCAGCACCTCGGTGTGTCTCTGTGGATGGAGTCATTTATTTGATTGGAGACAACACAAAGAAGGTGTACGTGTATAACCCAGAAGCTAACATGTGGCAGAAGGTGAGTCTAAAGAGCATGACTCAGAAATGATTTCATTTTATTTGTTCTGACTGAATGAATCTTGTCCCTTTTCTTGTTAATGACGATTGCCCTACATGACTAGTGAGTTGAAGGGCTCAATGGCATTCGGTATAAACTGTCGAGTGTCATACTTAGGTGTGCAAAAGAGGTCTCATTTTTGGGAAGTTTCTTCTTTCCTCTCCTGCCCTGACTATGACTGAGAGGGTTCAGCAATTCATGAAGCATTCCATCAGGTAATGACTCAATTAAGAACTGCTCAAACTCATTCACAGAGACAAGTTGTATCTGAACGTGGATTTGAACATGGAGCCATTCAATGGGAGTCAGTGACTTTTTCATTGGAGGTTTTTTTTAGTGTTTGGAATTTTTTGGATTTCGCTCTCTGAATGACTCAGCATGTTTATATTGTGAACAGCTAAGCCGTACAGATCAGATTTCTTTTTATAGAGGGGTTTATTTGGACTTATGGACATTTAAGGGTTAAGATTATATTTAGTTTATAATGTTTTATGTTTGTATTTAGTTTATAATGTATAGTTTATAATGTTTTATTTGTAGTGACTGGTAGAAGAGGTATGTGAAAGTATGTCACATGGGGAATCCTGATCTCTGATTCAATCCATGTTGTGTCTGCACCTGTTTAAACAGCAGATCAGATAACTCAGACTGAACCGAATCACATTGACACAGCTCCATCTATATCTTGACAACAAAACTGTAAAAATTACAAAAACGTGCTAGTATTGAATTTAAAAAAATTGATGATTCAATCCACGACTGTTGGTGGAACACTGCTGTGTGCAATTGGTTGCTGTATTTCGCCCACAAAATCTAGTAAATGCACTTTATAATATATCCTGTGAAACGCTTTGAGACATCTCAACGACATGATAAGGCCCAAATGCAAGGATTATTATTATTATAAATCCAGCCCCCTGTGGCATCTTGCTCAAATGACAGTTCTCTATTTATGAGCCTGTCTATTCCAGTCTGTTTTTTGATAATGGGGCTAAATAATAATAATACTTTCATTTGATATAGTGTCTTATCATCAATGTACACATAACAAGTCAGAACAATTGCTTCTCGCTGGTCTATGTCACAAATCTATTTCTACATGCAGCTAGTCTGATGAATTTTATAACACTGATGAAATTATCCAGCAATTCAAAAAAAATGTAATATATCAAATAGAATAATTTAGAATCCTGCTTGGTTGTACTGCATTGACGAGATAACCCATTATCTATTGTGTATATATTTTATGATCTGTTGTACACATATCTCATTGTCTTTGGTATGTCATATTGATATCCAATAATCCTGTTGACCTATTCTTCTACCAATTCATTAATTTACTGAACTTGTGTTTATCTCACAATCCATAGTTTTCTTCTCCTGTTGCAGGTTCAGATGCTGCACAAGCTACATGAGAATGGAGGTATGGTGGTGATTGCCAGGAAGATTTATGTTACTGGTGGCCACTGGAAAGGAATGGAAGGGGACTACAGTGTAGAGATGGAGATGTATGATTGCACTAAGGATGTGTGGTGCATTGAAGGCTTCTTGCCTTGCCTTTGGTTCTATCATGACTCCTGTTCCATTTTCATCGATCCATCCAGATGGACTGAACCATTTCCTCAGAGCAACGCCTAAAACAATCACAAACTCTTTTGTGGTCATCTGCGCTGGATCGAGGGCTGTCATCTCCCCCAAACCAACATTATTACCAAAATATTACAACAGTTTGCGGAAGACATTGCAGTAAATTGTACGCTTTCAGAGGTGACAAAACTGCAGGTGTGAATGCTTTCCATGTAAAGCTTCCTCTTTATGTGCTGTGTGGTTATTTTAACAAGAACTGCAATACCCTTATTCTAAATGGAAACCATCTCTGGAAATCCCTGAGGATAAGATTCATTTTAATGAAGAGAATGCACTTCACTGGCGTCAGCCATGGGATTGGCCTCGAGTCAGTACCCTAGCATTAATGAGGACAAAGTGAAGCTGAACGCCATATTTATTTTAAACTTAGTAGCAAAAGTGAAAGACTGAGTTATCGATTTAACTAATGAAACTCCCGGAGATAGGCCAATGCTGGAAAGTAAGACTAATTCTAATTGTGTGAGGTTCACTCCAGCAAACTTCAGGCTCATCAGCCTCTAGTGGAATCCTGCAACAGTACCATCCTTACCATTACAGTAATAACAAAGTGCTTCAAACAATAACAACTCAGACCACATAAATAATAAAGCACTTAACAACAAAAGCAATTACCCACATCTTTCTGCAGCTTTGAGAGCAGAAATAAGCAGAGAATGCTAAGCCACAAGTCGTGTTTCTCATGTTTGTAAAATATTTCCTCTCCAGCGCCATGGCAGGTTCCTACCTGAAGGCTTGTGCTTCTGTGACTGGTTAGCAAGAATTGTAGGAGGTAGATGGTTTGAGCCACTCTTTCCTTTCCTCTCTCAGCTCCTTGCCGAATTCACCCAAGGGAGAATCTTTCTTGTGTCCTGTCAATCCATTGGCACCTTGAGCCATGCATCAAATATGCTGTGCCACAGAGCTGATGTTCCCCATGTCTCTGGTCTGTGAGAGTTCCTGATTAAAGACCAACAAAAACTTGCATTTATATAGCGCCCTTCACGTAGGATAGAGTCCCGGAGTGCTTGACAGTGGCAATGACTGACACCGAGCCAGTGAGAGAGGGAACCAGTGGAGGTGACGATAAGCATAATCAAAAAGTAAGGTTTTTAGGTGGGATTTGAAAGTGGGGAGGGAGGGGGCAAGGCAGAGGGATTGAAGTAGAGAGTTCCAGAGTTTATGTCATCCCAAACATTGCAGGATGCAATACATGTACGTTATTTCCTATGTCCCAGGATAGTTAAAGATAATTAGGTCCGGTGTTGAGAAATTTCAAATAAAGCACCAATATTCAGCTCCTGTGTGTGGTTTGACAATATTTTATTATACATTGCTGATGATGAGATCACTCCTGCAGAAAAACAAATGAGTTTGAAGGATAATGAATCAGGAAGAGCAATAAAGTTGTCAATCAATCTGAACGACAACACAGTTACCTGCAATTACCTGTACAGCTGGATAGATTTTGAGCATGAGCCAGTGTGGTGTTAAAGAGCAGAGTGTAAGTGGTGCAGGGGTTGTAAATAAAGTATTCTTTAAAATCCAGCCGAAGACGTTTCCAAAGTCATTGCATGAATCAGAGAAGTAACACATGGTGCCAGAAGAGGTGGAGAATCTGCATAAGAAAAAAAAGCTGAGTGAAGCAAGATCTTGGTTCACAGGTGAGGCTTGGTACCGCATGCAATGCAGCAAGTTACTTTGAATCACTCAAAAGGTAGCTGCTGTCGAGTAAAGAGACTGCGTATTTAGTGACAGATAAGGCAGACAATATGCTCACAGCATGATCCCACAAACAGCCTCGAGGTGAATGACCAATTTTCTTTAATGAGAAGGCAGCACGAGTAGAGAATACTCACACTTACTGGCGCTATTGAAGTCTGCGTCCACCAGATGGAGCTGGAATCTAAAATGTGTGAGAGTTTGGCTCAGTTTGTAGCACTTACATGCTGGTGAGAGGGTTGTGGTTTAAGTCACACAGGCAGGCATTGAGCTCACAATCTAGGTTTTAGCGGTTAATGCAATTTTGAGGTCTCGCTGAAATGTTGGAGATTTGGATGAGGTGTTAAACTGAAATCCTGTCTGTGGGTTCAGGCGGATGTTCAAGATTCCACAACACTCTTTGGGAGAAGAGCGAGTAGTTTTTACTGTGTTCCTGCCAATAATACTCCCTTATTCAAACACACCCAAAAACAGATTATTTGGCCATTAATGTTGTTGTTGCTTAAGACACTTTGCTAGTGCAGATCAGCTATTCGCCGCAGTACTACACTTCAAAGTAACTCATCTTTTGACATTGATAAGATGTATCAAAGAAGGTATTATTTATCTCTGTGTCCACAGGATGGTGCTGTGATCTGAATTCTCTTTTTATCCACTAGACAGCAGCATCTCAAAGTTACTTTAGATGGAAGCACCGTCAGTTTACAGAGTGATCTGGTCAGCTCAAAGATGGGAGAAAAATAGTGCTTGGAAAATTTTGGAAATATATATTTCATGAGCTTGTAAAATGATATGAACTTGAGACTGTTAAGCTGTTGCTTGCAGTCCTAGTGAGGTCGTGAGATGAGATAGCAGACATGATACAGTAGGATGCTACAACCTACTGCACTTTCAGATCTATACTGGTATCAAGTACATAAACAGAACACAGAGCATAAAACAGCAAAACACAACAAATTGCAATGATGCAGAGCCTTTCACATTGGGAGGACATCCCAAGGGGAAAAAATAGCTCTGACTGGCATTGTAAAGTCTGCTTGGCTACAGCAGCTCTTGCAATAGATAGACCACACATCAGGTAAACGGAATGGTACACTGGCATCTGTACTGTTAATGTGTGCTGGATGAAGAATACAAAAATTGTCTCAAAAATTTCATGAAAAGATTGCCCATTTTAAGCTAAAAATATTATCCAAACGAGTAATTATTACAACATTATTTTGTATATGTGAGTGCACATTGCTGTGTGTACATGATTGTGTTTCTGTATGTGTTTCCATGCACGTATTCAAACTTGCAGAGTAAAATGACCCTGCATATTCTCGTTGACCAATATTGTACCCTTACTCTAGACATGAGGTTCTGTATCCACCACTTTGTGACATAGTATCTTTGTAATAGTGATTTAGTTTGAATCAAAACATCAACAACTTGCATTTACATAACTGCCTTCACAAAGGATAACTGCTCGGAGCACTGTAAAACTGCTGCATTTTTAGGAGTAAATGCACTGAATAATTCAATGACATTGCAGTCTCAAATATGCACTTGAATGAGATTATGGGTAAATAATAACTAAATGAACTATGAAAGAGGTTGGAGAAAGCACTTTATGTGGGTTACCAGAAAATGTTCATAACGCAGTACTAAAATTGAGTAGTCAATAAAAAGGGATAATTAAAAAGCTTCTGAAATTAATTGGAAATCAGCATAAAGCTTCTATGAAGTCTAATAATGGCCAAATGGAGATGTGAAGAATACGTTAAGTAGAAATCGGGGTAGATTTCCTTTCAAAAGGAGTAGATTTACCAATAGTGGTTTCAATGTACTGATTGAAGTTGTTCTGGAATGGCAAGAAAGGCTTTTTGGCATCAGCAATATGTCATCAGTGTTTCACGCTAGACAGAGTGCCTGGCAGGAGGTAGCAGATCATGTAAACACTGAGGAGGTCACCAGACAAACCTGGACTGAGGTCTGGAACAAACTATGACTTGAAATCTCTGCCAAGGTTAGTATCAACATTTGTGAGTGCCAAGGGACCAAGTTTATATAAATGATGCAATGCAAACGCTGCTTTATGTGATGCATTAAGATGAAACATTAGTCAAGATTAACATGTAACAAATATTGTGTGTAATCGAATACTTTAGCACAATTTATTTTGACATAAATATATCCAGTGCACATGAAGCAATGTAACTTAGCAGTTATCTGATTCTAAATCTGTCTCATTCCCAAATTGATAAACAGAATAATTATTAAACACCCAAAGTCACAGAAAAGGTTTGGATGTAGAAGGCCCTTTAGCCCAGTTGATCTCATAATAATAATCCTTGCATTTGATATAGCGTCTTATCACGTCATTGAGACATCTCAAAGTACTTCACAGAATATACTGTAAAGTGAAATGACTGTATATTTTGTGAGCAAAATGCGACAGCCAACTGCATACAAAAGGCCTTACAGGATCAATGTGTTTTTTAAATGAGTCCCGTGTCTTGGCCTCAATCCCCTATTAGCTAACCTCTGCTCAATGATATGCTTCTTGGTGTCTACTAAAGGTGCCTCTCATGTCCTGACTGCTGTCTCAGTGTATCTGAAAATGTTCTACGTTTATCTTTTCTATCCTACAAAATACCTCTATCCCTTTGGAAATATTTCTTCTTGAGACTGAAAAGTCACAACTTATCTCATCATTCATTATAACTAATTTCTTTAAAATTAGCATCAGCCTTGATGTTCTCCTCTAAACTGCCTCGGAAGACAACCCGATTATATCACAACAATTAGAGCTGTTGTACAAGCTGATGAGAGCACTGAGCAACTTTAGGATGACTTTCTGATTTACTTGAATGTGACTGATTTGATAATGTGACCTGTATTTGGGTCTCAATCTCTTTGTGACGTTAGAAGCACCATTGGGTACACTGGCGGCTCTTCTGTGTCTGCAGACACAGTTCACTCGACCAATTAGTGGCCACAGTTCTTTGTAATTTTGAATCAATTGGTAGGATCTTCACCAAGTTCTGGAGCTAAATTTGGGAACATTGAGGTCAAAGTCATTGTTGAGGTAACAGACATGTTCAAAATTTGTGGACTGGATTACCATCTCTATGTAAGATTTGAAAATCAAGTTGATGATGGGTTAAACATAATTATATGATTAATAACCAATGTAAAGGATTACAGTAATCATTTCATTAGTTGTGTTGAATAAGAGCGCTGCTGATGATAAAACAGCCAGTCAAGCTTGTCAGTAAGACTTGGAGAGACAGACTTTGAGCAGCGATTCTTTCTACTCGGGTCTTGTAACCCCACAATTAAAGCCCCAATGGTTAGGGTTGTCCTAGCTGGACAAACAGCAGGAAGTTTGCCAGACAGTATGCTAGTTGGCCATCACATCCGCTTCTTTCATAGATCACTTACAATTGACCGTATCATAGACTCTAGCCCACCTGTTCAGTGATTGGGAGGAAATCTCACTCCACTCTGTTACATCAGGCAAAGAACGGGAATGGGATAGACTCAGAGTTAAGCTCCCATATAAAGCACTGTCACATCAACAACAAATTACACTTGTATAACGCCCTTCACGTCAGAAAGACATCGCAGGGTGCTGTAATAATAATAATAATAATAATAATAGGGCGCAGTATGAAGCAGATCTAGAAAAGCACAGGGTGGAATAGATTCAAAATAGAGTGCACTTTACACTGTCCCAGGTCAAGTACAGCACTAGTTAAATGCGAATTAGGTTCTTACTGAACAAGAGCTGACACTGCGACGTATTCAACCTGCAAAATAATGGTGTGTACTGCAACTGACATTTGTGTTTTTGTTTCCAAACAAGCATGGTGAGGAATGTGGTTGTGACAGAGTTAAATTCTACAGCTTGGAGTAGGTGTGCTTTAGGAATGAGAGACAGTCTGTAGTCTGGGAGGGCTGTGGTGGAGAATGAGGCGGGAGCAGATCAGATATTTACAGAGAAAGAAACACCAGCAGAGGCAGACAGACAGACAGAGAGAGTGAGCAACCTCTGCACATTCAGCTGAAGCAAATGAGAGGCAGAATCACCTGAAGAACAGAGAGAAGGCATCAGTTCCCACAGCAAGACTACACAGTGGAAAATTTCACTGCCTCTTAAAGCAAAGCTCTCCCTCAAATTAAAACCTACAATGATGAGAAGTGAAGGGTCTGTTGATGTAGCTGAGCTGAAATTACCAGCAGGGTGGTTTTCTGAGGCGCTTCTCTGAGACAGTGGGCAGTGGATTAATCACCATTGATTCTCAAGACACATTATCCAAATGGACCTGAGCAACAAATAACCAAAGAGGGAGAGACCAGCGATCACTAATAGCAATATCCAGGGGAAACGAAAACTTGTCCCTCTTGAACTTGCTTCAGGAGATCAATTTATTTTTTTGTACTAAACGACAAAGTTTGTGAATGAGAATTAACAGTGAGAAGAGGAGCCATTGGAATGTGAATGCTGGTTAAGACTTAGCCTAGAGATTCGAAGACTCCTCCAATAAGAAATCTTCTTTACATGCTGGATCTTAGTCTTGGTTGCAGTGACCAGCGCATTGAGTCCATAATCTCCAGGCAAACATTTTCAACCCCAATATTTATATTTTTTTAACTATTTATCTTCTGGTGGGCAGGACCGTGCACGGGGACAAATGGCATTGATTCTTACTGTTACACTGTGTGTGTATTTCATGTTGATTAAGCCATCACTGGCAGATCGGGCTGGCATTAGGTCCATGGACAGAAAAACTCCGCCACCTGACAAAGATCTGGAAGAAATAATAAACGTTCCAGAGTTCACCGGCCGGCAGGTAAGTCTGTGCGCAGCAGTTGTTTGATTGAGGCATAATTTACAGAGGAGTTTTAAATGTTTTGTTATATTTTTCTGCTCAAATGAACAGGACAATTGAAATCTATAGTCAATGATAGTGAATAAGAGGATACCGTATACACAGGAGCGAGTTGCAGGATGCAATCTAACTGAGGATTTTCAATACTTTTTAAGCGGAATAGGAGATCCCTGGGATTGAGTTACATGCTATTCAAGTGGTTTAAATGTGAAGTAACACATTCCAGCAGTGAGTTTCAGATTGGAATAAATGGGTTTGGATGCACTGCATGAAGAATAAGGTATAACACTGAATGAGTAACAAGTGGAATCTAATTGAAGGGAAAAAAGCAAAGGAAACAGTGAAGGAATGGGGATGGAGCGATAACCTTGATGTTGCTTGCAAGCTGGTGAATTGTTTTGTCTGTCAGTCTCACGAATGGTAGAAAGGACGTTATCCCACGATTGTAGGCGAATGGCAATTCCTGATTCACATTTATGTGCCAGGAAGTTCTATCGAACTGCAAGTGATGAGAATGATATCAAACTGGAGTTAGTTATCACTGCTGTGTAGTTCATCACGCGATGCATTCCAGAACCCTTCAAAAGAGTAGCACTGCCTCTTTAAAGGAACAGTTCTGTGTGTGTGTGTGGCATGCGATGCATTCCAGAACCCTTCAAAATGCACCCCTGCCTCTTTTTAGCACCACATCATGGGATAGTTCCATGCTGTTTAAGAGTACAGTTGCCTCTTTGACAGTCACTGCCCGCTAAATACAATCCATGCCAAAGCCCTTTAAACTGCAGTTTTGGTTCTTTAAAGGAGAGTTGCGGTGCCCACTGCACACAATTCATTCCAATATCTTTTTCAAAGAATACTGCTGCCTCTTTAAAGGGATTGTGCTGCTTCAGTCGCTGCGGGCAGGAAAATAAATAAGCCAATTAAACAGTGTTAAAAATTGAAGCAGATTTATTTCTTTTCCAGTGAAAAGGCTTACAGTATAATCAAATTGTTCCCCCTCCTTCCTCCACGAGTAGTCATTGCAGCAAGTCAACATCTTCCCTTGTCATCCCTTGTGATTACTATCAATGATGCTTTTATTGTATATTAAGTCGCCAAACAAGGAGGTGCAACTGGAGTAACTGTAACAAGAATGGACGTCGCACAAGTCTGACTCCAGACTGAGGATTTTCACAGTCTGCTGCACTGTCCCGGAGCAATAAATTGTAATGTTAGACCTTCTGTACGTTGGGATCTCTCTATATAAAATACACAGAGTCTGCTGGTTTTCTGCGACATGCAGTGAAATAAACTATGTTAGTAAAATCACAACCCTGGAACCTCTATTACCAAAATAAGTCACCAACAAACTGAGCTTTTCTGGCCCTTCCCCTGACATACGTTTATACAGTAAACTCCTGATAACTCATCACTCCCAGGGGAAATGGTTCAGTGATGAATTAGTCAGAGTGGCGAGTTAAGCATATATATATATATATATATATATATATATAAATACAGTCAATTTCTGATAACTTGACTTTGGCTTAACTTCTCACTTTCACTTAAGTCATCATGCTGTCAGTATCCTCACAGTATCTATTTATACATTTGTGCATGTGCTAACTTGCCCCTCTGGATAACTGGTCACTGAACCCTTTTTCGCTGGGAGTGACAAAATATCAGGAGTTCACTGTACATAAATAAATGCGGCCGAAAAATTGACAGCAGGGTAACGTAGTGGTAGTAGTGACCAGTTAAGCCAGGGTTGAGTTATCGGGTGTTTACTGTATTAGAAAAAGGAACAGCATTAATTAGCTGTTTAACACATCTTGGGATTCATGTGGTTTTGTAAATGATGCCATCTGAACCTTTTGACGTTACTGTTTTTGTGCAGCATCCAGGCTGTGGCATCCTGACTTAATGTACTAGTACTGAAGGATGGGGTTTGAGTTTAATAATTTTGCGTTTGGGTGGTTGACTCCACCTAACACAGCTTGTTTTCAATCTGGGTGCAATTTAACTAACATTTAACCTCTGAATACTTGGTACTAAAGATTTTCCTTCAACAAAATAGGAAACTAAAAGAAAGTCTGATGATAAGTTTACTCACCAGTTGAATAACTCACTCCTCCATGTTAAGATGTGACCTGGTTGGATCATTAGAGTGTCAGCACTATATAAGTTTTACATGTGTCTGAGTGACAGGTCACCCACTGCTGGGTGATGAAGACCTTCTTCATGTATGAGCCTTGTCAGCACATTATTTTACCATGGGCATGTCACAGTCCAAGCTGATCCAATTCTCAGGGAGGGGGGAAGTGACCGTAGGCACGATCAAAAAGGAAGGTCTTCAGGTGGGATTTGAAAGTGGGGCGAGAGGGGGCAAGGCGGTTGGATTGAGGGAGAGAGTTCCCGAGTTTCGGGGCTGAAGGCACATCCAGGCTGGTGGAGCGGAGGAGACGAGGGACGAACAGGAGGCCGGAGCCAGCTGAGATACCCATTTTGCAGCGAGGATCAATGGATGATGATCAGATGTAGAGTGAGCTCTGGCTAATTTCCTCCCCCTGGCCCTCTCTTGCCCCAGGTCAGGCATACTGGGGTCAAAATTGTAACACTGCCCTGGCTGAGATCAGTCTATTCAGTCTAGACAGAGGGATCGAACCTAAGTGACTACATTTTACTTATGTGTGTTTCAGATTGAAGACAAACTATTGGACCACTAGGCAAGAAAACAGGAACGTCAAATCATTACTTAAACTGTAAAAATATTTCAAAACTTAAAATATTGGTATAGTAATGTACATTGTAAATATAGTCTTTAGGTAATAAACTACGTATAATGAAGATTAAATGCACGAGGATGGGAAGATGAGGTAAAAAGAGAGCAGAACAGAAGCAAATGTTCTTTAAATATTTTCATTTAAAAAAATTGTGCAAGAGTAATTTTTATGAGAATACCATTGATATTACAGTATAACACGTACAGCTCAGTTTCACTCCAGTCAGTCGAGTGACAGTCTTAGCCATGGGGAAATCTGCCAGATCAATCTTTAACATCATGTTCGGAGTAAGTTACGGGCAGCAAAGTGATGTGAAAACAGACAAAACTAGTTATCTTATTGGTGGCGGGTGAAGGGTTAAGAACGAGTCTCAGTTTGAGTGTAAATTTCTGTCTGTGTGACTTGTTGGCTCTCTAAGTGTAAATAGAACCACATTTTTACATTGACAGTTTATGAAGGAGCTCAAGCAGGGACCATGTCTGTTGCCGACGATTAGTGGTCAGGCTTCGAGCCAGCTCTGATTACATTTATTTATGTTCACATTAATGTTTTAAGTGCTAAAAAATCCAGGAGCAAGAAATTTAAATTAACTCCCTGACAAATTATCAAACTAGGTTTGCTGGGGCTGTACTTGCCCAAACATTTCATTTTAATCTCCACAACTGAGATTTTCAAGATAAAGTTCTGGAGAAAAGCAAAAGCTGCCTCTGCTAAAGCCATAAGAGGTATGATTGTGCCGTCCGTGTTTATAGTAGCTTAGACTGATATTAAACTAATAGAGTAACACAATTTATAGAATTTCTTATGAGCATAAGAGAGCATAGAATGTGAAGAGGTCATTTGGCCCAAGTTCACTGCTCTTGAAGACTGTGTACAATCTGTTGCATCACGGACTCTAATTATCCCCGTTTCATCTTGTCGCGTATTGGTTACTCTCGCTTGAGTCCTCTCGCAAGCAAATTTGATTCCCCGGGCAAGGTGAAACCTTAGGCAAGTTTCTTTACACCACCCACCTCTGTTTACCTAGCAGTAAGTAGGAATAAGATTGGCAGATTGCTTTCCGGGGTAATAATCCCTCAAAAAAAATGTGATCACTCAACCCACGACTGTTTGTGGTACACTGTTGTGTGCAATTGACTGCTGCGTTTTACCAACAAAACACACAGTCGATCCACTTTACAATATATTCTTTGAAGCACTTTGAGACGTCTCAATGACGTGTTCAGGCGCTATATCAAATGCAAGGTTATTATTATTATTGTTTTCTGAAGGAAGGTTTTGTAGGTCCTCTCTGCATTTTGTTTCATGCAGCTTTGTTTCAAGGCTGCATGAAACAAAACTGATCAATCTTCACATCCTACATTACACATCCCTGACTGGTTGTCTTCCTCGGCATGATATTTTCATGGTCTCAACAGTTCAGGAGACATTGTATAGGGTTCATTCATCTCCATCTGTACTTATCCTTTCTTCCAACACGTTCCTAACCAGATGTGCAAGGAAGTATTTTTAAATGTGTTAATTGACGCAGTATTAGCTGTAGTGACTTGGACTCTATTCCACATATTCAAACAAAATTCTTCTAGTCTCAAACCTTGCTTGAGGTTTGTTAATGTTGTACTTGTGTCCACTAGCTCTGGGCTCACAGTCCAAAATAAATAATCTGCTTACGTCTGCATTATCCATTTCTCTTTGCATTCAAAAACCTGGGTTGTATCTGCGCTGCCTTTTCATTTCTTTAATGAAAACAAAGTACATTTTATAATCAAATCTGTGATGTGAACAGAATACTCAGTAAGTCACTGAATCTGGATTTTATTAGGCTCACCAGTAGGATCCACAACTGCTCATAAGTATTGGCTGGGGAGCTTTGCTGTCAGTACTGCACTTTTGTGAATAAATTCCATATTTAACACCTTGCCATCCAGTATCCTCTATAAACTCCCTCAGAAATGTAGCCTGATAATATTACATAGTGAGCGGGTTCTCTCCGCTTTGTTATTTTTATATTCTTTTTGGTGTATTGTTTCTTCTACAGCTGATCCACTCTTGTCCTCTATGATCTGGACCACTGTCAAGATGAACAATAAGTCCTCTTTCTACTATTGAAATGCGCACACTTTATGCACTCTACTGCTTTGCCATTTGCTATGGCGTGAACCAATTTGTTTTATTTATACCCAGTTAAGAAAACACATT